ATCGTCTAAGAGGTAATCATTAATTCTCCATCTAAAAGTTCTTTCCTCAAATCCTTTCAATTCCATTTTTATTGGATTGTGATCCAAAATTATTCTTGGTTGAATCTCAATTTGTAGAATTCTTGGAGTCAATTCGTTCGAGACCCATATTTGATCTATTCTTGACATTGACTGATTCGGTTCAGAAAAATAAGTGAATTGTTTCTCCAGTGGATGTCTGAGTCTCCAAATATCAATCAAATTATAATTCTTAACCATTGAGAAAAAAGGTAGTCTTAGGTAGTTTTCCTTCTTTGCTTATTCCATCTCTTAGTCTATCCATCTCCAATGAAACCACTCCATTCATATCTCCCATTACTATAATTTTCTGATCCATATACTCGAATAGTTTTTCTTCTAAGGTTTTATAAAAATCAGTCTTATTTCCATTAGGTGCATAGATCCCGACAATTATCAAACTTTCGCCCTGCCCTTTGATCCATACTGCTATAATTCTTCCTTCTTCATCTTTGAAGATTTGTTGTGATTCAATTTTACTTTGGATGTATACGACTACCCCTCTTTTTTTCTCTTTATCTGAAGATATAAATTCGTTTCCTAATCTTTTGTTAATCAAGATTTTCCTGTGTTTCCTTGCGACATGTGTCTCTTGTAAACATATAATGTCCAGCTTTTTCTTTTTTAAAAATTGTTCGATTTTATTCCGTTTTTTTCCTCATTCATCCCATTAATATTCCAATTCCATAATTTTAGTGCCATATTGATTTCCAATTAAATAAATTTAATTTACTTTTAACTCTTTTATAATTTATCTGTTCCTTCTTCTTCTTCTTCTTCTTCTTCTTCTGCCTTTTTTCCATTCTCTTCTTCTTCTTCCCCCCTCGATTCTGATTCCTCCTTGGCACGTGCTCCTTTTTTTGCTCCTTTGACTTCTTCAACTTCTTCATCTTCTGCTTTTAGTTCCTTATACCTTCTCAGAAACTTTCCTGTTTCTTCTGGACTCATCAATCTGCGCTTTTTAGTTTTGTAGAAAAATGAAATTCCCACCTGAATTCAATGTTGTTTTTCTTAAGTACCTGCACCAATGGTTTGTATGGGTCTCTTAGTTTCAATAGTCTTATTGGTATGTCTTTAAAGATGATTATGTAACTTCCATCTATATATAGTCTTTTCTCTCTATTCTTCTGTAATATCAAATTTCTCATTTCTCTGTCCTTAAAAGTGATTAAGCAATCTCCTAGAAATTTTCTTGTTTTAGATGTTCTTACTCTCATTCTAAATGCATTTTGTACTGTTTTACCTACCTCTTCTATTGGTAACTCCATCCATTGGGCTAATTCCGATGTCAGTCTCTCTTTAATATTTTCATTCTGTATCTCCGGAACACCTCTCAATCTCAGGTTAATTTCCCTCCGTCTCAGTTCATTCATAGCAATCGAATCTTTAATTTCTTCTTGTGATTTATTTAATTCCAGCATCTCCACTCTGATCCTCTCTTCCTCTCACTTCACTTCCTTCATTTCTTGTTTCGTCCTCTTAAATCCCTCCTCCAGTGAATGAGTTCTCTTAGATACCTCTTTTATTTGCCCTTTAAGTTCATTAACTGTCTCATCAATTTTTTAATCCATTTTCCCAATCTTATTGTCCACTGATTCTAATTTTGATTCTGAATTCTTTTCGCTTTCTTTTATTTCAGCAAACATCCTCAAAATTTCTGCTTTAAAATCTGCTTCTTGTTTAGACCCTTTCCTCTCTGCTGGTGTCCCCCCATCTGCCCCCTTCTTTTGCTGGTGTGTCATTTTTCAAATTTTATATTTTACCAACTTAGTACGAAATAAATAGTCAAATCAACAACCTAAATAAAACAAAATCAATCTTCTTGCCACCAGTTAGGCTATTCCACCAAATAATTAGTTCGGGTATAGACCAAGCAGAGTAATGTAAAGCAATGTTGATCTTCTTGCCACCAATTAGGCTATCTCCAAATAGGTTTTTTCAAATTAATCCACGACTGTCTTGAAAGGAAGAGAAGCTTAAAATCAAATTAAGTCCGCCCAAGGAAAAAAGAGTTCCAAAAGAGAGAAAAGATCTTATTCCAAGGTTATATCCAATTATCAACTCTTTCCAAAATTATATCTAAGTGTCCAATATCCGGAGGTGAAGTTCACAAATGCAAAGAAAAATTACTAGTGAAAAAAGTTAAGCACAGATCACTTTCTATAATTGAAGAAGCACAAGTCACTTTCAGATGTTATATCTCCCACCAAAAATCTCGAAAAACAAGTTGTAATGTCTCATTCCCTCCACTAGGATTATATGTTATTTGCTACTTTAAAAGTTCCAATTCATAAAAAAGAGAGAGAAAAAATTATCAATAATTATATGTCTTAAGTGGCAGGGCAGCTAAATTCTTCTTTAGTAATAAAGACCCAAAGCAAGGATTTAAAAGCCGTTATTCTTAGTCTCCACAGTACTACAGTACTACGAACCCAACAAAGTCTTAACAATGGAGTCGGAAGCTCCCTTTCCGTTTCAGAGCTCTTTGTTCTTTGTTCTTTTAAAAGCAAAAGTAGCTAGTCGCTACCACCCTCTGTTTTTCCCTTCCGTAACATTGAGGGCTTCAAAAAAAACCAAAATCGTTGCTTTCTGCTCCCCCTTTTAGCTTTGGAAATCCTTGGAACTTGTAACTTCTTAAAAAGTTACTTTTTAGAAGTTCAGGGAGAGAAAAGAAACAATAACCGCTAGCGGGAACTCACTTTCTGTTTCCAGCTCTGCGCGCTGCGTTGCGTCTGTGTTGATTCCAGATGACAGCCGAACTCCTCACTTTTATTTTGTACTTCGAATCCTTCCTTAGTCTGTTTCCATCAAATTTATAATCCAATTTGTTTCGAATTTCTTCTATTTTGAGAATGAAGCGCTCCTCTTGCAAGCTCGGGGCTTCGCTATTTGGATATAGAAAATGGCTTCCCTTAGCCCACTGCCCGCTCCGCCGTTCTCTTCACCCCTTTTTGGGGTTACCTGACGGACGGACGGGCTGGGAACCTGTTCCTCTGGATGTCCCCCCAGAGATTAAAATTGGGGGCTACTGCGCCCTGTAGCACCCCTTTTTATCCAAAATAGCTCAGGATTCACCTCGAGGTAAAATCCCTGCTTGCGGCAGAATCGCGCTCCACCGGAAGTCCTCCCTTCTGTCTACAATGTTCACGGGTTGAGTGCCATTGTATTCGAAGCCAAAATGACAAGAGGGAGCTATCAGCAGACTCAGGAGAACCTCAAGGGAAACAAGGATCCCCTGAAACAGCCCAATGAGGACCATGCTTGCTGAAACCCAGGATTATCCAATGAAGCAGAAGGATAGGTTTAGGACAGCCAAAAAGAAAGACTTCTTCACACAGCAGCACACAGTTTGTTTATATTGGGTTGTTAGTCCTACTCAAGAGTAGACCCATTGCAATTAATGAGCATGGCTAACTCCGGTCCATTAACTGTTGGGGTGCAACTCAGTTTTTATTGATAGCTAGTGGATCTGCATAGAAAGGAAGTAGAAAACTTATCTATACAACTGTTACTGAAATGGCTGTACTTTTCAATTTCTGTCTTTGACAACCACTTCTGAAATTTATAACGTTAAGAACATAAAAACAGATTTCAATAAATAAATAAAAACCCAGCAAATTTATAAAATTATGCATAGCATGGAGAAAATGGGTAGAGAAATGTTTTTCTCCCTCTCCTGTAACGCAAGTACTCATGAACATCCAATGAAGGTGGATCCACCAACATGGATGGCTTTTAAAGGAGATTAGGCAAATCCTTGAGGACAAAGCTATCAAGGGCTGCTAGCCACAATGACCATGTTCCATCTCCACTGTCAGAAGTGCTATTCCAGCAATACTAGTTGCTGGGAACTGCAGGAGAGGAGAGTTGCTCTTGTCCTTGAGTCTGGCTTGTAGGTTTCCCACAGGCATCTGGCTGGCCATAGTAAGAACAGGGTGCTGGAGTAGATGGGCCATTGGTCTGATACAGCAGACTTGTCTTATGTCCTTAACCTCCATGTTAAGGAGCAATCTATCTCTGAATATTAGGAGGGGGGAAAACTGGGGGAAGGCTTTTCCTTGTGAGGCCCTGCTAGCAAGGTTGGCTACTGCTGGGAAGAAAAGGCTGAGTGAGATGGACCTTTGCAGTTCTTTATGTGCCCTGATAGGCACACATACACACAGAGAGGAATACTAGAAGGGAAGGAGAGAGCTTGTTGTTCTCTCTCCTCCCCCTCCTCCCCCCTGCACACACTCCATCCTTTTCCTTGGCTACAGACCTGCCTCTAACCCACCGCCATGACCCCATCAGCTATCTCAGCCGTAGCAACCGCAGCTGGAGTCACTGGGGATGCAGAGAAGAGTCTGTGATGAAGCCGACGGCGGCACATTTCAATTAGCAAGGCCGCCCCAAAGCCGACTCCAACATGAGTCATTTGCCATCCCGGCAGCTCAGAGCAAAAGAGAGAGGAAGAAAGAGTCTCTGCAGCAGCGACCTGGATTAAAACCAGACTCCTCTGTTGTCATCACACACAGATCTGTAGAGTTAAACCCTGCCTTTTTACAGCCCCCTAATAACAGATGCCCTGTGAATGTCAAGGAGACAGATATCTGCAATTCCACAGAAGATGCACACAGCACACATCCCCACCCACCTACTCAGGGCTTAATTATGCAAGCCCCACCCCTGCACAAAAGCTGGTGTACATACTCAGGAGAGCCTATTTTCCAATGGGTTTGGAAGGGCAGGGGGAAGGATTTTACTCTTCATTCATCCTTTGTTTAATTGCATGAATTATTTGCAACCCAAATGGCCAAAAAACAAACAAAAACAAAATCACAGTTTGTTAAGGGGGCTGAGAGTTGTTAGGAGACCTTGTATTCCCCTTAGAGAGCTTTAATTCCCAGGGGTGGCTACTGTGAGGACAGGACGTTGGACAATATGGGTAGAGGTGGAACAGCCACGGCTCAGTGGTAGAGCACCTGCTTTGCATGCAGGAGGTACCAAGTTCAATTCCTGGCGTCTCCAGGTAGGACCACTGTCTGAAACCCTGGAGAGCTGTTGCCAGTCAGTGCAGACAACACTGAGCTAAATAGACCAGAGTTCTGGCTCAGGCAGCTTCTTAAGTTTCTATGTCTTAAGAGAAGGGCAGGGCAGCTGCTCTGAATGAAGAACATCCCAGGTTCAATCTCTAGTATATATTGTACATCAGCTTGGGATGCCTCATGGAAAGATATTGGAGAATATAATAAATAATAACAGCAATGATAGGGCTGGGGTGAGACTCTCCTGTCTGAAAGCCCTGGATAGCCACCACCAGTCAGTGTAGGTAACACTCGAGCTAGATGGACCAACATTCTGACTCCATATAAGGCAGCTTCCTATGTCCCTATATTGAATGAGTTCAATTTTATGTAAAAGGCGGTATTGGAAAGTTGTCTGTGAGCCTCCTGCATGTAATCACTTTTGTTCATGATGACGACAGCTCCACCCTTGTCCGCCTCTTTGATTATAATGTCTGAGATTATCTATGGCTCTCCTTTCAGCAAGGTTTAGATTATGTTGTAAGCAGTGGTGTTTTCTGGTCACATCCGTTTGGATTCTGTGGCGGAAGCAATCAATGTACAGATCTAGTGTGGTATTGCATCCATCAGGAGGGGTTCATGCGGAGTCCATTTTTGTGTAACATTTTTTCGGCGGTAGTTGGTGGTCAATGTTCTGTTCATTAATGTGTTGGGAGGGTGGTGGTTGTTCCCCAGTAGGTTGAGAGATGTTGTGTTGTGAAGAAGTTGTTTGTTCTACTTTGTCTTGTTCTTGTGTGTGTTGAAAGTACTCCTTCAGGCGTAAACGGCGGAAAAATGCTTCCAAGTCCCCGCAGAACTGGATCATGTGTGGGGATTTGGGTTAGGGTCATAAGGAGAAAGGGTGTCCTTCATACAAAGGATAACCACCATCATCTAGCTACCCTTTGTAGACAATAACATTTCCCAGCATCATAGGATAAAATCCAAAGAAATCAATTCTCCTTTTGGGAGAAGGGACATAGCTCAGTGGAAGAGCACTTGCTTTCCATGCAGTAGTTCCCAAGTTCAGTTCTTGGTGTTTCCTGGTAAGGCTGGGAATGCCCCCTGCCTGAAACCCTAGAGAACTGCTGCAAGTCACTGTAGACAATAACTGAAATAGTGTAAGACAGCTTCTTGTGTAGATAATTTGAAGGCTCACAGATCAGTTGTGGTCTCCTCCAGACTTTTGCTGGAAGCTTTTTTTCCCAGGGCGGGGAACAGAGCCTGGATTCCTGTCTGGCTCTGCAAAAGCCCTATGTAACATAAGCCAGGTGACCTTACGGGAAAAGCAAGAGCATATCACCTGAACTTCTTTGCATCAGTGCACAAGGGCAGCCGCTTCTTACAAGGTCTGAGTCACCTCTGACTCATTCAGCCCTTCGGGGAAAGGTGGGCCTTTCCAGATCAAGTTAAGGTTATTGGCTGTTTTGGTTTTTTGTTTTGACTCTGCCAGGTACAATGGAAGTGCTGGAGGCAAAAGTCAGGTGCCCGAGTGGGTTGTGCCCAGTGGCTGGAATGAACGAGTTCGGTTTAGTGACATTCACTGAATTAGTTCAAATATCTCTGAACTGCACCTGAAAATAGTTCCCATAAATTGCCAGGGTATTCATTGCAAGATGGATGCATAAATACATTTTTAAAAATTTATTTTTGCCATGTTCACATATCATCAAAATGCCAGTCTGTATAACGCGCTCATTTAACCCAGATTTCCTCTTTGTGGGGGAAATCCACCAAGTTAAAAAACCTAGCAAACTTGTGGATAATCAACCATCTTCAGTATCTCAATGAGCCATTTTACAATAGTCAACCTCCCCGCACCCCTGGCCCAATCTAGAAGCACCTCGTGTTGAGCATTAGAGATGGGGCAAGAAATTTGATTCAGTTCACTTTTTTATTATCATTATTATTTATTAAATTTATTAAGTCACTTTTCACTCAAAGCAACTTACAATATTTTTTAGCAAAAAACAAACGTATACATCCATTACAAGCAGTACTTTTAAAACCCACTACATTAAAACATCCTGCTCATGCAAACAGGCCGTGGATAGTTAAAAGCTTGATTAAAAAGGAATGTTTTTGCCTGGTGCCTAAAGATATGTAGCAATGGAGCCAGGGAACTATTGCACAAGCAGGGAGCCGCTACTGAAAAGGCCTGTTCTCATGTTGCCACCATCTAGATTTAAAGGTGACTGACAAATACACATGTTCTGAAACAATGCGAACCAAAGCACAGCCACCCTTTGAAATTCACACCTCGCTCCCCAACCAATGTTGACAAAAATACATATATAAAGGATGTACATAAAAATAAGCCTAAGTGAAAATAACATACAAAAATTAATTGCACTAGGGAAAATCGATTGCAAAAAGGTGTACATGAGCCTAAAACTGAATACAAAAAATGTGTTTATTAGGCGATATTCACACAAAAATGCTGTTGAATTTTCCATGAGGATTAAAAAAGAGGAATGTATTACTCATGTCTCTAGCCATCCCTTTTGTTTCTACTTTGATATTTCATACCTGTTTTCTGTGATTTTGCTTTATGCTTTTTAAATTATTTTAATAGGGTTTTTAAAAATAAAAAAATCTGCAATTTGTTGCAGAGATGTGGAGAACTGAATTTAAGACTGGAAAAATGAGAAACTGAGAGAAACCAACAGATTCATCCCCACTGAGCATCAGAGTGGGTTTCTCAGAAGGAAGTTAGGTTTCTCTGTGCATTTTTGGAAGATCCAGATTTGAAGGGAATGTTGATGGCTGAAAGCTGGACAGGAATAATAAAACTCATGCCTGTAGAAGCTGGAACAGCTGTGCTGAGATCTCTCTCTCTCTCAAACACACCCACCCACCCTAAAAAAACACCCCTATTTACTAGACTAGAGCTTGCTTCCAGGGAAGGATTCCAGATGCTCAGCATGAGACCAGCAGGAAAGTTTCATTCCCCCCTGCTGGGATATTCTGCAAATGCTGCCATTATAAAGCCATGATGCGCCCACATTTTCCCATTACTCACCTCCAGAGCAAGCAGGGAGGATCTTTATAGGGGAGAGGAAGGGAGAACGTTCCCTGGAGTGCTCTTAGCATCAAGGGAGTGATGGAGCGTTGAGTGATTGTAAGCAGCCAAGCCAGATTCAGCAGCTACTCTCTTGGCCTTTAAAAAGCCCCAGAGACTTTGCCCAAGAACTTTGCCCTTTATTTGCCCGGGGTTAATACCTTCCTCTAGAGCCACTGTGAAGCTTTGCTTGTAACTCTTCTATCCTGATTAATCCCTCTCCCTACCAGGCAGACTTTGAAAAAGTCTCACGTCTTCATTCCCCTCCTCACCACCACCCATCACCACCAACTCTGTGCACTGAAATGCAGCATATAAAATCTGGTGCCTTTTCTCCCATCTTCTACTGTTCTAGTGAAGATATGCAAGCCCTTTGGCTCGGCTGGAATGTGCACATGACAAGGTGAGCTACCCCCATTTCAGAAAATAGCTCTCCCCTCCAAGCCCTGTGCCCACTCCTGACCTCATCAGGACACCGTTGGTAGCTAAACAGGGTTCAAACAGCTCTCCTCGTCCTTTTGTAAGATGTCCTGCTTGCAGGCTTCTGACAGGCATCTGCTGTGGCCACTGTGAGGCCATAATGCTGGACTAAATGAGCCCTTGGATTTCTCCAGAACGCCCTTCTTGTGTCCTTATTCATTGTGCTCTCTTTGGGTGGCTTTAAAGAGGGATTAAGCAGATTCAAAGAGGATAAGGCTAATAACAATGGCTACCAATCATGAAAGTGATGTTTCACTTCCCCGCTTGGAGGCAATATGCCTCTCGAATACTAGTTGCCTGGAATCACAAGTTGGGAGAGTTGCTGTTGCACTCAGGTCCTGCTTGCTGGTTTCCCACAGGCATCTGGTTGGCCACTGTGAGATGGGTGGGCCTTTGACCTGATCCAGCAGCCAGGCTCTTCTTATGTTATATAATAATAATAATAATAATAATAATAATAATAATAATAATTTATTATTTATACCCCGTCCATCTGGCTGAGTTTCCCCAGCCACTCTGGGCGGCTCCCAATCGAGTGTTAAAAACAATACAGCATTAAATATTAAAAACTTCCCTGAACAGGGCTGCCTTCAAATGTCTTTTAAAGATAGGATAGCTGCTTATTTCCTTCACATATGAAGGGAGGGCGTTCCACAGGGCGGGCACCACTACCAAGAAGGCCCTCCGTTCTTATCTTCTTCCCTTTTCTCTGACAGCAGTGCAGGGGCCTTCAAGGCTGGTCGCTTGCCATTTTTAGTTACTCAAACTGTAATGTGGCTGACCATATACAATGGTACCTCGGGTTATATACGCTTCAGGTTACATACGCTTCAGGTTACAGACTCCACTAACCCAGAAATAGTACCTCGGGTTAAGAACTTTGCTTCAGGGTGAGAACAGAAATCATGCTCTGGCGGCGCGGCAACAGCAGGAGGCCCCATTAGCTAAAGTGGTGCTTCAGGTTAAGAACAATTTCAGGTTAAGAACAGACCTCCAGAATGAATTAAGTTCTTAACCTGAGGTACCCCCCCCCTCTCTCTCTCTCTCTCTGTGTGTGTGTGTGTGTGTGTGTGTATTTCATTGTATGGGTAAGATCTAGATCTAGACAGTAATAGAGATGTGGGCCACGCCATTGTATTTGGGGTAACTGGCAGGTGGCCACCACAGATGCCTTGTGGAAAGTGGCACTGTGGCCAAAGCAGTAGCAGTAGCAGCAGCATCAGCAGCAGCAGCAGCAGCAGCAGGAAAGGCATGTGATGTCACCACAAGCAAGGCAGCACCCTGCCCTCATTCTGGTGTGTGTTGTGGGACAGGAGCCACTGTCAGCACCGTGCCAATGGCCCCCTCAAGTGTGGTGCTTGTCCTGGAAGCCCTGCTGGAGGCCTCTGCACCTTGGCAGAATTCCCAGCAGTACAGAACCTGGGGAACCGGGACATCAAGGCATTTGGAAACATCAACCCCAAATGAATTCATTGTTAACTTTTTTAATATATTTTTTGTCCCACTCTTCAGCCTATTACTGTTCCCAAAGCAGCACATGGGAGAGCGGAGGGAGGTACCCTGTCAATGGACTACAGGCATTTCTATCCAGACAGGCTGATATTCCCTTTGCTGGTGTTTTTGTTTGAATAGCAGTTGGTGGCTCCTGTTCCTTTGGCTGGTGGAGAGCAGATGGTTTTCTCACTGGGAATGAGAAATAAAGGGAGTAAGACAAAAGCCACATGGCCGGCTCTGCGCGTCACTCCCAGCAGGGAAAGGCTATAAGCTCAAGTGGCTTTGTACACAGAAGGTCCCAGGTCCAATCTGTGGTGTCTCCAGGTAAAGTTGGAAGAGAACTCGTATCTGAAACCCTGGATGAGTGTAAGGCACTTTCCTATATTCCTATTCAGGTAAGGGCTGCAGCTTAGGGGAAGATCACCTGTTTTGTATGCTGAAGGCCCCAGGTTCAATCCCTAGCATCTCCAGTTACAGCTGGGAATGTCCTCTGCCAGTTGGTATAGATAGCTCTGAGCTAAATGAGCAAGCAAAGAAGAGGCTCTACCACTGAGCTTTGACCTTTCCTACTAAACTGCCTTATACTGAGTCAGACGACTGGTCCATCTAGCTCAATGCTGTCTCCACGGACTGGGGGTGGCTCTCTAGGGTTTTAGGCAGGGGTCTCCCCCAGTCCTTCCAGGAGATGCTGGGGGTTAAACCTGGGACCTTTTGCATGCAAAGCAGGTGCTCCACCACTGGGCTAAGCCCCCACTTGGATGACTCACCACTGAAGGTGTGAACCACCCCCGCAGCAGTTATGTTGTCTGATATGCAGGTTGCCTGGTGTATGACCTTTAATGGCAGTTTCAGATAAACAGGTCTTGACTCAGATAATGTTGGGCACTTCCAGACTGTTGTTATTTTTGGGTGGGATGCAGTCATATACCAGCAAATTCAGGTTGCACAATTACAGTTGATTTGGAGCTCTTGCTCAACAAACCTGCAAGTCCCCACCCTGCTCCTGCAGTGTAGGGGTCCTGATCATAGCTGCCAACTTTTCCCTTTTCTTGCGAGGAATCCTATTCAGAATAAGGGAATTTCCCTTTAAAAAAGGGAAACGTTGACAGCTATGGTCCTGATGCAGATCAGGATTCTATGCACTAGCCATTTACAATTTTAAAAGCCATTAATGTCATTGCTAATTGCGTGAAATAGCACTACATCTAGCCTGGCCCTCAAGTCTTCATTTCTGTAAGTTATTGTCACTAATATGTGCATTCATATGCATGCTTCACCCTAGAATATACAGTTTTGTACACATATTACTTGGCTAGGGAATTGTGTTGCACAATGTGGAAAACAGAATTTCCAAGGATGGCTGTTGTTTCTCATATAGTTTCAGAAAGTGTGAATAGAGGGGCATTATTTAAATGCAGGGAGACCCACTATTTTGTGCATTTTATAATTTTATAAGTTATGTGACTTCGCAGCTCAGTTTATCTTCTTCTTCTTTTTTTACAGTCTGTGGTGTTTTATGTATTGTGACTTTGTTCTTATTTCAATTGATTATAGCCTAGTAATGATTTGTTGTATATTGTGAATGATTTACTGTTTATTTATTATTTGCTGATTTTGAGAGTTGATTTTATCGTGTGATATTTATTTTTCAAACGGATTACAGAGTATGACTTAGACTGGTTTCTTTATTTTAGTAGTCATGTTTTCCACGATGCCGCATTTGCATCTTTCTCGTTTTGTCATTTCGATGGCATGCACAGCAATATAGAATGGTGGGATACAAATAAAACGTAATGTGAACTGAATTGAATTCATCCCACATCTCTACCGTTCAGCCACTATAGGACTAAACGATGGCTTAGCGTCACATCCAAATATGGCCAGTGTACATCACCTTTGCCTTTATAGCTTTCCTCCATTGTTATTGGCAAGTGACTATGTCCAGGGCAATAGAATGGCTTGAACCTGGTTGCCTAGACTAGCCATTTCCAGATAGGTGACCTCCAGATGTTTTGGACTCCCATCCAAAGGGTGACCTAGATTTCTTGATTCCCCTGCTTGTTGCTGTATAAGGATCACGCAGACTGAATGGGAGATAACACCTGTTTCTTCAACCACTGTTCATTGCCATTTACCAAGAACTTGAACCTTAAGTGTGTTTATTTCTCCTCCCTCTCAATCCATGTTCCTTTGAGTTGCGTCTTTTTAGACTGTAAGCCTGAGAGCAGGGATTGCCCCCTTTTTTATTTAAATGATGTGTAAGCCACTCTGAGAGCCTTATTTGGCTCAACAGCAGGATGAAAAATTCTCTAAATAAATAAGCAGTCATTAGTGATGAAGAGTCATTAGTGATGAAGAGGGACGCGGGTGGCGCTGTGGGTTAAACCACAGAGCCTAGGACTTGCTGATCAGAAGGTCGGCGGTTCGAATCCCCGTGATGGGGTGAGCTCCCGTTGCTCGGTCCCTGCTCCTGCCAACCTAGCAGTTCGAAAGCACGTCAAAGTGCAAGTAGATAAATAGGTACCGTTCCGGCGGGAAGGTAAACGGCGTTTCTGTGTGCTGCTCTGGTTCGCCAGAAGCAGCTTAGTCATGCTGGCCACATGACACGGAAGCTGTACGCCAGCTAACTCGGCCAATAAAGCGAGATGAGCGCCGCAATCCCAGAGTCGGCAACGACTGGACCTTACCTTTACCTTAGTGATGAAGGGGTTGTCCAGAGGAAGCCAGTATCAAGTTTCAAGGGCAGCGGAAAGGTCATTGCTCAGTGGTCAGGTTTTAGCTTTGCATGCAGAAGGTCCTTGGTTCAAGTCCTGGCATATCCAGGTAGGACTGAAGAGATATTGGTCTAAAATCCTGCCGGTCAGTGTAAGCAGTACTGAGCTAGATAGACCACTGGTCTGACTCTGTATAAGGCAGCTTCCTATGCTTTATGGGAAGGGCCACAGCTCAGTGGCAGAGCATCTGCTTTGCATTCAGAAGGCACCACATTCAATCCCAGGCATTTCCGAGAATGCCCCCTGCCCGAAAACCCTGGACAGCCCCTGCTGGTTAGAGTAGATAACACAGTTAGATGGACCATTGATTCTGACTCAAGAGAAAGCAACTCCCTGTGTCCCTAACAGGCCAGCACTACTTGCTGAACACAGCCCACCAGCCTATGAACTGTAGCTGCATTGTGTCTGACAACCCTACTGCTGGTTCTGTTGCCTGTGTGGTTAAGACTGCAAAATCGGGGAGGTTTACTGAGTCCCAGCGGTGGTGGGCTGCATTCTGTTTGGTTGGTCAGAGGTCCTGCTGGCTCCTTTCAGAGGCATCTGTTGCCTGCTATTCAGGCCAAAACACAGGACCATCAACCAGACCTTGGCTGAGATCCAGCCAGGAAAGTCCTTGCTTGAAAAATATTCCTCCCCACTTTCTTGAAAGGCCAGGGAAAACAATTGGGGGTTGGGCGGGGGGAGGAAGGTCTGCTTGTCAGCCAAGAGGGTCCTGAAAAGAAAGCTAGGGGAAAGGGCCCCCCTCTTCTCCATAATCCCCATTACATCCAGAGATGCTAAAAAACAAAAAAACCCCAGAGCCTCCTGTCTAAATGAATACATTAGCTGCCCCCACCCGGCGAACCCGGTGATGCTTCACAGTGGAAAATGACTGGCAGCTGAAAGCCCGGGGGGGGGGAGAAAAAGAGGCCACCATGCACAAAAGCCCTTAATTAGGAAACTGAAAGTGGTGGCGGCGGCAGCAGCAACAGCGGGGAAAGTGGGGTGGGGGTGGCGGGGGAGGGAAGAGAGAGGCCAGCCCTGATTGTGGGGGTCAACACTCCTTGAGTGGCTCTCTGAAGCACCAGCAATGAAGTGACCTCCCTAATCATGCGCTCCAGGATAAATTTGTGGTGGAGGGAAGGAAGGATGGCCCCCCCTCCACCATATGTGTAAGCACATCTCACCTCCCCCCCCCCAATGTCTCTGCTCTGTTTATCAAGCTTGACTATTTTTATTCCCCCCCCCAAGCAGCAGTCGATGATTAATCAACATGACCACTAAGACATTAATGATGCAAGGAAAAGAAGAGGAGCAACAGAAGCCCCCCCCCCCTCAAGTGACAAGGATTTGGGAAGCAGGGAGGGAATCATCTCCAGGAAGGGGTTTATATGTGGATGCCATAACGTGGATTTGTTAGGGGAAGCAGAAAGGGAGACACTTTAAGGTTCTAGTGCTGGGTGGGGGGCTTTATGAGCCCAAGGGCCACATTTGCTTCTGGGAAACCTTCCAGGGGCCACATGCTGGTGGTGGGAGAGGCCAGATACAAAACTGGGCAGAGCAATTAATTTGTATTTTACCTTGGCTAGTTTACACACACACACACAAGCACATCTTTTTCTGTGCAGAAACTAGTCTCCTGAACAAAGGTAATATTTAAATGAATCTCCTTGGCCACTTTTGCCTTTGGCCCTGCCCACCACTGACCTAGTAAATATGGAAAATCTATCTCAAACAACAACCAAGAATGAAGGAAAAGCTGACGGTGGGAAGGCAGATAGATATACATATCTGCTCCCTGGCAAAATACCCTCCCGGCACATCTATGCTCAACTCTTAGCAGCAAAATCACTCAGATCCATTGTCAAACATTGTGCCACAAATTAGTTCAGATTCATTGGAGGTCTCTGGAGCACTGACTAGTTACAGCCCATGGGATAATAGAATCATAGAATTGTAGAGTTAGAAGGGATACTGAGGGTTAATTAGTCCAACCCACTGCAATGCAATAATCTTTAAAAGATAGTACATGACAAATGGCCATCCAACCTCTGCTTAAAAACTTCCAGGGCAGCAGAGTCTACCACCTCTTGTGGGAGACCATTCCATTGTCGAACAGGCTCCTACTGTCAGAAAGCATTTCTTGATGTTTAGTCGGAATCTCCTTTCTTGTAACTTGACGCCATTGGTTCAGATCCTAGCCTCCAGAGCAGGAGAAAACAAGTTTGCTCCATCTTTCCATGTGACAGCCCTTTAGATATTTGACTGAGGCAGATGGGCTATGACTTCCCTTGATCGAGACACTATACTTATGTCAACGCAATAGCATTAACTTTGTTGCTGCTTGTTAGTAGCAATACCCCTTTGGTGCTGATGCATGACAGGGCCTTCTTACTGGTGGCTCCTTATCTTCCGAACAAGTTATGTGTATCCCCCTTATAATAATCAGAGGAATTTACCGTGCTTTTCCATGTATAAGACTAGGTTTTTTCCTTTAAAATGTCAAAATTTGGGGGGCGTCTTATACACAGATACATCTCCCCCATTTTCTTAAATCGGAGTCCCCCAAAATAGGGGGCATATTATACACGGGGGCATCTTATAGAAGGAAAAATATGGTAATAACATTCATTTTCACCTAGGCATGCAACGGCTAAAATGTGCTATTCCCAGCAACTCTGAAATTATAAGCTGTCAGGGTAATGTTATGTGACTGTTTCAAAATATTTTGAGGTTTTTTTATGGGTTTTTGACATTATGCTGAATTCGGCCGGTTGCTAGAGGTTTGTATCCAACCAAGTTCTACTTATAGACCCACTAAAATTAATGAACCTAGTTAGCCGTGCATATGAGTTTCAATGGGTAGGGCTGGCATTGGATACAACCCTAGGTTTTTAAATGTTCTAAACTGTTTTTAAGAGTTTTAAATATGGCTTTATATTGTTTTTTACTGTATTGTTTCGCTATGAAGAAAGTTTACAGCATTTAGGACTTCTGAGTCTATAGAGAAAAGGCATGGAGAAAGTGGATAAAGAAAATATTTTCTCCCTCTCTCATAACACTAGAACTCTTATGCATCCAATGAAACTGAATGTTGGAAGATTCGGGGCAGATAAAAGGAAGTACTTCTTCAAATAGTGCACAGTTAAACTATGGAACTCACTGCCACAGGAAGCAATGATGGCCACCTATGTGGATGGCTTTAAAAACGGACTGGACATATGCATGGGGGATAATGCTATTGATAGCTACTAGCCATGATGGTTATGCTCTGCCTCCACACTCAGGCAGTAAAGCTTCTGAATGCCACTTGCTGGAAACTACAGGAGAGGAGAGGGCTCTTGTGCTCAGATCCTGTTTGATGGTTTCCCAGAGGCATCTGTTGGTCCTCTGTGAGAACAGGATGCCGGACAAGATGGGCTATGCCCTGATTCAGCAGGCTCGTTTTCATGTTCTTATGTTATTGTTTTGCCACTTTGTTGTTTTGCTGACCTGGGGTCATTTGAGAGGAAAGATGGGGCAGAAATCTGAAATAATACTAATAGTACCGTATTTTTCGCCCTATAGGACGCACTTTTTCCCCTCCAAAAATGAAGGGGAAATCTGTGTGCGTCCTATGGGGCGAATACAGGCTTTTGCTGAAGCCTGGAGAGCGAGAGGGGTCGGTGCGCACAGACCCCTCTCGCTCTCCAGGCTTCAGGAAGCTATCAGCAAGCCTGGGGATCCCGCGGGAGTTCCCTCAGGGCTCCCCACGCTGCGGATAGCAGCCTGCCGCCCGGCGCGCAAAGCGCCCTGAAGCAGAGCGCCCCGCGCGCCGGGCAGACATCGGCCAGCCCCACAAGCTCAGGGGACAGCAGGGAGGCGCAGCGCTGCCACCCCGCTGTTCCCCGACCTGGTTTTGGGGGGGAAATAAAGGGAAAAAAATTCCCCTTTATTTCCCCCCCAAAAAACTAGGTGCGTCCTATGGGACGGAGCGTCCTATGGGACGAAAAATACAGTAATCAGAAAGGGGAGTGGAAAGCAGCAGAGGATTTCTCTGGAGAACTGAAAAGCAAGCTTACCCTGGGATGCTGCACATCCATGCAGGCTGAGTTCTGCCACCCGCCCCTCCACTCGTAAAAGCCTCAATTAACTCTGCATTAATTATTCAATCAGAACAATGTGTCTCCGGGTCCCACGCAGCCCAGATTCAGTTACCGATGCTCCTTGGGAGAAAACTTGGCTAGGCTCACAGCTCAGGACATAAATATTGTACTTCCGTGAGCTTTGGAGTTGCTGGTTTGGAATTCCTTATTTCCTCAAATCTGTCCCTCCTCCTTCTGTAATCATTGCCTTTAGCAGTTTTAATTAATGTATCTCCAGCCTTTGTTCAGAACAAAACACAGCAGTGCAGGGACGAGGCAGTGGGGTCTATCTGCTCTGTATCCAGTGCTACTTCTACCCAGCGTAGACCCATTGAAATGAATTAACACAACCATTTGTGGTCCTTTAGTTTCAGTGGGTTTACTCTAAATAGGACTAGCATCTGCACTATACACTTAAAGCAGTATCAGACCACTTGAAACAGTCAAGCTTCACCCAAAGAATCATGGGAACTGTAGTTCCACTGCACAAATGAGAACCATTTGCTGGACCTCCTATGGAAGAAGCATGCAGTAGTCCAGACTACAGTGCGTCTATTTCCCAACCTTGACCTATTAGCAAAGCCTTCAAGCTCCCCTCCAGTTTGTTTTGTCATTGGTGCAATTATGGTGCATTAGTGATGGATTATTACTGGACAATCCACAGATCGTTCAACTTTCTTAGTCATTCTACAATGCTTTCCAAATGTTATCACATTATTCTCATCTGGAAGGGCACTCTTGCACTATCACAGAACAGAAGTGGGACAGCCCTCTCTCCCTCGGGATGTTTGCGGTATGAAAAGTTACCAAAATTTCAGCAGGAAGTTACAGGACGTGCACTAATTAGAAACAAAGCAGTATGGATGCCCCAAAACTTTTGCAGGCATGAAACAGTACTGAAAACAGGACTGCATGTAAACCATTCTGTGATCTCTTGACGAAGGGTGGTATATAAATTTAATAAATAATAATACCATCTTTAGCATAAATCATAACGAGTGCACCATAAAGTGGATGTCTGGAAGGGCCCCACAATGCAAGGAAGTCACTGAGCCACAGGAAGCAATAGAAACCAGCAAGTCACTCTCTACCAGGTTTGGTGAAAAACCCTGCTTTGTGTGGCAAGCTCTCAAACCCTTCCAGGGAGTGGAATAAAGACAAATGAAACAGTATTTTTTGTTAATGGGTGAAAAAGGCCACAATTTTATTGGTTATAGAATGTGAGTGGTATTGGCTTAGGCACTGGAAACCACATGACTATATCTGACTCCTGCCTGTCTGCAGGAGTCTTGGAAGGGTTAACCACCAGTAGGGACTCCGCCAGGGTCACCGCTAGGGGTCATGCCATGGCCCTAGCCCCCCATCTGGGGCTTCGGATGGAGACCACGCCCCCCCCCCGATTCCTTTAACGGAGTACCCTTGAATTAGGAGGGGTAGGTGATGGCCACTACCTCCCCTCCCCTTCAACCTAATACTCCAATGCCTAACCGCCAAACCTTACAAAGTTGTGACGATTTGCTACGAGGTAGGCGAAAAAACCAAATGGCCGGTGCCAATTTGCCAAGTGGAAAAATTCCTACTAGGCACCTTGGACAACCAAGATGACCAACCAAGGTCCATAGCAAGGTCAAGAAATAAAAGAGCCTAACCTAAGGGAGGGAGGGAGGGAGAACTGGCCGAGCAGGGAGAAAAACAGGGGTGAGTCCTCAGCTGTGGACAGTTTAAATAACCCGTGCCACGCCCCCGGACCGTCCGAATTGGATGGCCTAAGGGTGACGTGGCTGAGGACCATTCAATGGCGCAGGGGTGATTCTGCCCTGCGAGCGTGGGGAGGGCTTGCTCCTAGCCCGCAACGACATCTCCCCAGGAACGCGAAATGGCTTTAAAAAAATAAAATAAAATAAAATCTCCAAATATTAACTTCAAGACCACTGGGCAATTTCACACATACATGTTTTCCTCTTGACAATTGCAGCAACGAACTGTAACTTGCATGTGTGAATGGAAGCTTCACAGATATTACACTGACCCACCCAAAGATCTTTCACCATTACCAGAGGTGTTGCAGAATTCTGACAGAGAGAGAAACAGTAGTGGAAATCGCCAATATTCGCTCATTCGTCCCACATCCAAAATGGAAACAAATCTGGTGAATGCGATCAGCATTTGCTACTGTTGTTGCTTTCATTCCTCAAAGGATATGTAATTGATTACGTTTTCCTCCCTTTGGCATTATGTTTTCTTTGTATGGCTATGAATGGGGTGAAGCAACTTAACAACACAATTTATGTAATAATGTAAAATTCTGTCACGGCGGACACAGAGACAAATAATGTGGGGTTTTTTTGGTGGAAGACAAACTGCAGTAGAACAGAAACGGTGCTGAATGTCATGACTAGAGGGTATGATGGAAAATGATGCTTCCTTATATCCCTAACCATCACGGCGGGGGGGTGGGGGGTGGGCAGGTGAAGCCAGACAAGATCCATAAACAGGTAACGGAGAAAACAGTCAGCTGTATGGTCCTGTCCACAGAAAACATAGTCCCATATGTCTCTCATTCCTACACACACGTATCGTTGTATCTGGCTTTAACTGCACAACTGCCACTGGCACACAATTGGACCTGCTTCCCTCACAAAGGTGATCACACCCCCTCCATCAACTTGCATATAGCCTCCCATGAGGAAATCCATGGTAGCCATCTCTTGGCAAACTGATTTGCAAAAAATCCAAACAAACCAAGGTTGAGTCGTGGCTGCAGCGGCAGCAGCCGTGGCTGGTGGAGTAAACAAACCAGCATATTTATACCATAGGAGCCATTTCCATGTTGCTCTTTCTTTCCCCTTCCAAAATGCTTCAGGGCAACAAGCGAGGGAGAGAAGAGTTGTAAATATTTCATTCCTTTCCCTTCTCTCGCCCCCCCCCCCCTTTTGGCAGCAAAACACCCAAAGTCTGCACTTCATCGAGTTGGGGAAGAGGGAGGAGAAGGGAGGAGGAGGGTGTAAAAATGCAGCCTGCATGCATCAGCCATCAGGGAGCATCACACTCAAGCAGACGGATGGCTGGTTTTGCGATCTTCAGGTGCAAGGTTATCTGCTAGGGTCTGCTCTCTGGGAGCCAGTGAGGTGCTCAGACCTTGCACTGGGGCATGAGGGAGAGAGGCCTCCAGAGCCAGTCTCAGATGTCTGGGGGCATCTGTGATATGGGCAGAGGGCATTCAGGGCATGCCAAAAGGTGAGGAGGAAAGACAACGCAGGCCAGCCTCTCACTCCGCCTCGCTGGCTCTTGGGCCTGCTGTGCAAACAAAGCGGGGGAAGCAAACAGAATTTGTTTTTGTTTTTCACACTGGGAAGGAGGAGCAGGCCAAACACCCTCTAATATAATTCATTTATTATTTCCAGTGTGGCTTAGTGTCAGACTAGAATGTGGGAAACAAGGGTTCAAATCACCACTAGGCCAGGAAGCCCGCTGGGTGTAACCTTGGGCGAGGTACTGTCTCCCTGCCAAACTTCCCTCACAGGCTTGATGTGAGGACAAAATGGAAAGAGGGGGAAATCATGTACATCTCCTTGAGCTCCTTTGAGGAAAGAAGAGATGTAAATGCAATAAATTATAGCCTGTTTTCTATCAGAAGACCTCAAAGCGGTATGCAAGTGTCCATCTGTCTATCTATGTTACAATAAAAACCATGTAAAATTATTTACATAACAGAATGTACAAACAATATCCATATCCATAATCAATACCTATATAAATAAAATCAGAGAGCGGTAGCACACATTATTCACAGTCTTGCTTGCCACTCATTTCACACCACTGCATACATTTGCTACCTCAAGCAATTTTTTTCTATTTACCAACCACTCAAAAACAAACCCACTCACACTCAACAATATTACAACTCACATGCAAAGGATCGCCACCAAGGAGACTCAAGTAAGATGCTCTTCCCATTTCGGAAGCACTAATGGGCTCATGCCCCACACCCACCAGACTATGTAATAATCCTCTCTCACCTCTCATCTGAGGAACAGAGGCCGTTATATACCTTATTTGTTTCTGCCAGCATCTAAAAGCTGTTCTTTAAAACTGTTTCTCCAAACTTCTGACCACTGGCATGTCCTTAAACAAAAGAAGTTTAGGTTGGAGGTGAAAGAGTAAGAACAACCCACCCTCAGAAGAGCCTATCAGCCTGGAGCTCCTGGGTGAGTCCCCATCCTGAGTATACAATTTGATTTGGAAAGGTGAGATCTGAGACTCATTCAAAGAAGCAACGGGCAGCCTCCTCTGAGGACAGGTAACTCTGTTGCATCCCAACAATAGATGTGGTTGCCCGATCCAAATCCAAAAGTGATGCAGCACATGGTTTTGAAATTCATGGTGTTGTATTATTATTATTTTTTACCAGAACACACTCAAATAAATTCAGCTGATTGGGAGAATCAGGGCAAGGTGCTATGCGACAGCACCTATCAGCAGGAACTTAATCCCCATAAAGGGGCTGCCCAGACAGGCAAGTGAAAAAGACATCACTGCTGCAGTTAGTATGGGAATGAACAAAAGGGTGTGCATGTGCTGCCCTTTTTCTTTCTTTTTTTTTAGGTCGTTCCCAAGACTTGCAAACGAAAACAACAGAGGAAAATATCTCAGCTAGGGGCTCCTTTGAAGTTTCCACCACATGCTGAAGGGACAGCCCACTTTTCAGTTTAAATTTTTAAAGTTAAAACTTAAAAAACAGCTAGCGGCTGCAGGGGAGACTTCAAAGGAAGGCCAGGCTCTGTGCATATGGCGGCGTTCTTGGATCCCGGCCACAGAGGACAAATGCAGATTTAATTCAGGAGCCTTCCCAAGTATCCTCCCGCAAGCTGGCTGCAGGGTAAGAAATTATGGCCCGGGAAAAGGACAAAAAAAGTCAGGCAGGCCTTCCGATAAAACGAAGCCTATTATAGGAAGCGAGAGAGTTGAGAAGGAGGACTCCTGCATGAAAAGGAACCAGTACAAATGCTGGTTTCGGCTCCCACCCTCCAGCCTCCCAGCTCAGAGCAATTTCCATCCTGAAATTAGTAAGTGCTTTGTTATGCCGTTTAGCTCGCCTACGTTTTCACCTCTCACTTGGTTAACTCGGAGGAGCGTCGTTAAATTTGGCTAGAGAAGCCAAGTGGTGACTGCGGCTGATGGAAGTTGCAATCCAAAACACCTGGAGGCCACCAAGCTGGCAAAGGCTGGGATGGAGAATCAGCCACCAAAGCTGCTTCATAAATAAAATGAGACTTCTATTTCTTTTAAAATGTTCTCATCCAGTGACAATCATAACACAATCAAATACCTAGGCTGCGTACACACAATAGATTCCGGAATCAATGAAGACTGCTTTTTTTCCCTGCATAGGCTACATGCCACCTAGATCTATTGCATATATTTTGCCCCTGAAAAGCCCTTCTTGAGACACTGGTTTCATTCCCAAAATAAAAGCTCGTTGCAGATCCCACATTACTCTGCAGTGTATCCATTTGGAAACAGATGTAGGTGGTTCTGGCATTATTATTATTATTATTTTGGCGAGGGGGGGGGACTACGCCTGCCCAATGAAGTTGAGGGTGGGCCAAAGCCATATCATTATCACCACTTCCTTCTTCATTCACTTGGGTAATGTGCAGGGAGGTTTGGCTAACCTACCAAGTAACCAGACCCACCCCTGTGGGCAAGAGGATCTAGAACTCATCTAAACTGGAAGCAGCATGTTATATTTATTTAATTATTTCATAAAATTTATGCATGGCTTGATTGAAAAACACACACACAAAACTCAAAGCGGTTTACTAAAAAACAACAAGGAAATCAAGGGGGAAATGACATCTATACTTTAAAACATGCAAAAGTTAAATCAGATTTAAATTATCTCAGCTTTTGAAGTATCTGGGCAGGCGTGTTTAAACAAGAATGTTTTTCACAGGCGCAAAAAATAATACAGTGTGTGTGCCTGCATGATATCAATAGGCAGGGAGTTCCAAAGGGTAGATACTGCCACACTAAATGATTGCGTTCTCACAAATGCACAATGGGTATTATGTGGCACTTGTAGTAGCTGAGGATGAATGATTCTGGGCTGAGGAAAAGTACACAGCCTGACTCCCTCTCTCGGCAATCTTCGCGGAGCTCTGGCCCAATGGTTGCCAGCGGCTTGAATTAATTAATTTTATAATGAATGATTTTAGAGTGTTGTTTGTGCTGTACTTTTGTACTGTTTTATTGTTGTTAGCCGCCCTGAGCCCGGCTTCGGCTGGGGAGGGCGGGATATAAATAAAATTTATTATTATTATTATTATTATTATTATTATTATTATTATTATTACATGTTTGTGCTACAAATGGGTTGGTGTGTATGCAGACTTACTAAGGAGTCAGATCAACTGGACTCATTGCGGCTTGCTTCTGAGTAAGTGGGTTCAGGACCGCAGCTGGCAGACTGCTGCGGTTGTTCTTTGTTGCTTAAACATGAGCAGCAAATTTTCAGAACCGATAAATAAATGTGTTTATGTCAAAGAGCTGCAAAAAATGCACAAAAAATAGAGGATCAAAGATCTCGTTTTAATTACCTTTCTTCCTGTAACGACACCGATCACTCACTGATGGAATGTCATCACTGCAAAAAGAAAAAGAACAATTCCAAAAATATCAAGCCCAGGATATACAGAGTATGCAAACAAAATGGGTATAGATAAACATTAGCATTAATATTATTTATTCAACATTGTTCACATTGAACAGAACAAGGCATCCCTTGTTATAGCTTTTCAGAAGTGGCTCCATATTTCTGGAGCACTCACCCGAAGAAAGAACACCTTGTGCTGCTAGTTTTATTCTATTTTATTTTCACGGGTGTTGTTGTTGTTGGGTTTTTTTGTATTTTATTATTTTAGTATGTAAACTTGTAAATTGCCCATAGAACTTTTGGGAAGGTCCATAGCTCAATGGTAGAGAACCTACTTTGCCTACAAAATGTCCCTGGTTCAATCTCTGGCATCTCCAGATAAGACTGGGGAAGATTCCTAGCTTTAAACCCTGCAGAGCAGCTGCCAGTCAGTGCAGACAATACTGAACTAGATGGACCAATTTTGTGACTCAATATAAAACTATTTCCTATGTTCCTGTGTCTTAAAGGGAGGGTTGTAGCTCAGGGGCAGAGCATCTGCCTTGTATCCAGAATGTCCCAGGTTTAATCCTGTACATATCCAGGCAGGGCTAGGAAAGTTCCTCTGCCTGAAACACTGCAGACCTGCTGCCAGTCAGTGTAGACATTGAGCTAGATGGCCTGATGGTCTGACTCAGTATCAAGGACGGCCAGCCCGTGAGGCAGGCTAAGTCAGCTGCCCTTGTACCTCATGTATTGGAAGCCCAAGAGGAAGAATGTGGTATCATGAGAACAGGCCTTTTTAGTGGTGGCACTCTGCTTATGAAATGCTCTTCCCAGGGAGACTCACCTGGTGCCATCTTTATCTAGTTTTAGGCACCACACAAAAAATTCCTTTAACAACCCACAAGTCTTAATAAAAGAAAGAGCAGTCAATCACACAGAGAGACATCAGGTAAACTCCTTTCTGGATGATGCTTCTAGCTCTGAAGAGCCTTTGGTCTAGAGATGGGGATGCTCTCACTGGACCACAGCTCCCATCATCTCTGACCATTGGGCCTGTAGGCTGGGACTGGTGGGAGTTAGGAGTCTAACAATGGGGAGGCTTCAGACTTCCCAGCCCTGGTGAGCATAGAAGCCTGTTGTTAGTTTGCGCAGTGGTGGTAAAAGACCCATTTCCTTCTCTGCTGACTAGATGAGACAGTCAAAACTCCATGGGCCTGCAGCGATGGTCATTGATTTAATTAGAAGCTGTGATCTCCAGCACATCCGAAAAATCGGCTACGAATGATCAAAGGATATTAGCTTTTGGGAGTCCCTAGCAAGCAGCATTATCACCTTCAGAGCCATCAAAGGAAATCTAACATCATCAAAGGTGGTTGGGGTGAAATCACCAATAAACCCACAAAAATATTTTATACAATTGCTCTTCTTATTTTTATTTTAAAAGGTTTTTATTCCATGCAGGGCTTACTGTCAGCCACACCCCTGAAATTTGTGATCAGCACATCCTCTGATGTTTGAAAAAGGAACCTGTTTTATACCAGGATTGGTATTTCATAGAACTGTAAAGCTGGAAGGGATCACAAGGGTCATCTATTCCAACCCTCTGCAATGCAAGAATCTTTTGTCCAACATGGAGCTCATGCTTTACCGATTGAGCTATCCAACAAGCCAACTGACCCAGTACCATCTGCTCTTCCTGGCAATGGCTCCCCAGGAGATCAGGCAGAGATAAGGTCTTACCCATAGGGACATAGAAAGCTGCCTTACAGAGTCATACCATTGGTCCATCTAACTCAGTGTTGTTTGCACTGACTGGCAGTGGCCCTCTAGGGTTTCAGGCAGGAAGTCTCTCACAGTCCTACTTGGAGATGCACTACCACTGAGATACTGCCCACAGAAACATAGAAGTCAGACCACTGGTTCTTCTAGCTCTCCAATATTCCAGAGAGGGGACATTCCTAACTGTGCCTGGAGATGCCAGGGATTGAACCTGGGACTGTTTGCATACCAAATGCAATGTGTTCAGTCAGGCACAATCCCAGGGATGTGGCAGAAGCTTTTGTGGACCTGCAATACAGAGGTTCAAATTGGGCCAGTCACAATCTTTTAGCCCACCGTTTCTCAAACTTGGCTCTCCAGCTGTTCTTGGACTACAACTGCCATAACCACTAGCTAGCAGGATAAGCGGTGAGGGATGGTGGGAACTGGTAGTCCAAAAACAGAACTGTAGTCCAAGTTTGGGAAACCCTGTTTTAGCCTAATCTACCTCACAGGGTTATTGCGGAGATATAACAGGTGGGTGGGACCATGTAAGCTTCTTTCAGAAACGTGGAGGAAGGGCAAGATAAAAACGAAAGTTATTAGCAGGGCTTCCCCCTGGGGGGTATTCAAAGGTACTCTGTACAGTGGTACCTCAGGTTAAGTACTTAATTCGTTCCTGAGGTCCGTTCTTAACCTGAAACTGTTCTTAACCTGAAGCACCACTTTAGCTAATGGGGCCTCCTGCGGCTGCCGCGCCGCTGGAGCACGATTTCTGTTCTTATCCTGAAGCAAAGTTCTTAACCTGAAGCACTATTTCTGGCTTAGTGTAGTGTGTAACCTGAAGCGTATGTAACCCGAGGTACCACTGTATCAGCACCTCTTTGTTGTTGTTGTTGTTAAAAAGTGTAACAACTTCATGGTGAGTACCGCACCTGTTTTTCAAGAAAAGAAAGCACTGGTTATTACTATTATTATGAAGGATAAGAAATCCATAAAGACTTTTGTCACCATAATTCTGGCTTTCAGGACAAAGAACAAGAAGAAACAAGAGTAAAGTAGTCAATAAAGGCTTCTGCTACAGTAAGTCTGGTCACCTTTCAGGTGCCACAAGTCTCTTTCCTCCTTATGCACTCTGCTCCTGTGTGTAGACCCCCAGGCTTACCAAGCCAGTCACCCCAAGCTTAATTTCGTTTTTACAAAACAAAGACTGCCCCCATCCCTTAGCACCACCATCAAATAGCTGAGTTTGGGAGCGGGAGCGCAACGAGGAAGGAGAGGGGCGGCAGCGCGGCGCATGGATGGAAAGATGGATGAATGCTGCGTTCCTCTTCCTCTTCCCAAGAGGCCTCGATGGCGAAGGGGGCGACGACGCTGCGCCTTTACGCGCCGGGGTCAGGTCTCCTCTGGCCGCCTGGCTCCGCTCCGGCCTGGCTGCCCCTCGCAGCCGGCAGTCGCGGGCCTCCCACGTGGAGCCGCCGCCGCCGCCTCTCCTCCGTCTCCTCCTCCTCCGACAGCTGCAGACGGCGCAGCGCAGCGAGACTCCCCCGCTGGCAGATCGATGCCGCTCGCCTTTCATCTGACCGGCGGCGCTCTGGGGAGGGGACGGGGAGGAATCCAGGCTTCCCGGAATCAGCAGCAGCAGCCGCCGCCGCCGAGAGCGAGGGAGGCGAAGCGCGGAGGCAGGAGCCGGCGTTGTTTACTGGCCCGGCGCACGCACAGCCGGGAAGGGAGGGGAGGGAAATGCGGGGAGGAGAGCTGCTCTGGCTCCTTCCCTTCCTACGAAAAGGATCAGAGGAGGAGAAAGAGAGGCGCTGCTCAAAAAAAGAAAAAGAAAAAAAAGCATGCCCAAGCTGTTTCAAGCACAGGGACATAACAAGGTGCGGGTCTATCCAGCTGGCCGAGGCTCTCCAGGGTTTCAGATAGGGAAACCAATAGCCTGGAGCTAGATTAGAACATGGGAGAAAATAGGATACTGACTTGAACGAAATCAGGCCAGTGGTACCTCTCACACTGGCTGGCAGAACATGGGAGCTTCTGAATGTGAAGCAGGTGCTCTGCCCCTGAGCTTATGACGTTTCCCCAATGATGGGGGCAATGATTTGGAGCAGCACAGGTTTCTAATACTTGCCAGCAGGGAGGGACCATGGCTCCCCATATGCTTCAGAATACACACATACAAAATTCCCAGGTTCAGACCAGCACCTCCAGTTTAAGACAGTGGTAAATGGTAAAAAAGAACAGCTGTCCATTACAGAACCTAGGAGAGACTAGACAATACTAAGCTTGATGAACAAATAATCAAACCTACTGTTCGATCCCAGCTCCTGCCAACCTAGCAGTTCGAAAGCACGTCAAAGTGCAAGTAGATAAATAGGTACCACTCCGGCGGGAAGGTACCGTATTTTTCACTCTATAGGGCGCACCGGACCATAGGGCGCACCTAGATTTTAGGGGGGGGAAATAAAGGGGGAAAAATTATTCCTCCCCCCAGCCCCAAAGAGCAAAGAAGCCAAGACAGTGAGCGGGATGGATCCCACTCGCTGTCTTGGCTTCGTTTTTAGCCCCCAGAACGGGTCTGGGAGTTTGGGAGCGGCGGCGAGGTTGCACGCAACCTCGCCTTCGCTCCTGGAGCTTGCCGGGCTGGGGGCCAGAGCTCCCCCCGACCCCAGCCACCAGAACGGGTTCGTGAGCGGGGGCAAGGTTGCACGCAACCTTGCCTTCGCTCCTGGAGCTTGCCGGGCTGGGGTGGGGAGACTTGACCCCGGCGCGCTCCGAAGGCTTGCGGGTAGCTTCCTGCAGCCTGCATTTGCTCCATAGGACGCACACACATTTCCCCTTCATTTTTGTAGGGGAAAAAGTGCGTCCTATAGAGCGAAAAATACAGTAAATGGCGTTTCCGTGTGCTGCTTTGGTTCGCCAGAAGAGGCTTAGTCATGCTGGCCACATGACCTGGAAGCTGTACGCCGGCTCCCTCGGCCAACAAAGCGAGATGAGCACTGCAACCTCAGAGTCGGTCACAACTGAACCTAATGGTCAGGGGTCCCTTTACGTTTACCTTTACTATGATCCAATTTATTGTAGTTTGAACTGTAAATTGTAGAAGTTGCTGAAAGCTGTTAGGAGACCCTTATTTCCCTCACAGAACCACAATTCCCAAAGTGGTCTAACAATAAACCCCTCTTCCCCAGAAACTCTGGGAATTTTAGCTCTGTGAGGAGAACAGAGACCTCCAAACAACTAGCAGCACCTTTCATGAACTACAGTTCCCAGGATTCTCTGGGGGAAACCATGACTATTTAAAGTGGTATGATACTGTTTAAATGTATACATTTCTGTTCTGTTCCTTGCCCCTGTGCATGTTGGCAGAGTGTGTATAAGTGCTCCCTGGCCCTGTTCTGCTTCTGGGTCCTAAAGGACCCACACTTCAGCAATCGCACAGCAATTGAACATGTCTAAAATGGTTGTCACTGTAGTACAGAGGGGTTCCTATGTTCCTACACTGTTCATGTTACCTAATCTGACCAAGAAATAGGTAAAGGTAAAGGGACCCCTGACCATTAGGTCCAGTCGTGATCGACTCTGGGGTTGCGGCACTCATCTCACTTTACTGGCCGAGGGAGCCGGCGTACAGCTTCCGGGTCATGTGGCCAGCATGACTAAGCTGCTTCTGGCGAACCAGAGCAGCGCATGGAAATGCTGTTTACCTTCTTAAATTCTTCATAGTAGGCTTAGCAGCTCTTCCTACAGCAGCAGTTTGTTTTCCCTTCACAGGCTTAGTGAATCAGAAGAACTACATGGCAGGCACATCCATAAATACATCTCTCTTCTTCACCCCTTCACCACCTTTTTTTAAAAAAAAATTCACACATGTACACACTAACCACCACACCCTGTCCTTCCATCAAGCTTGTGTAGCATTTAAAAAGTTCAAAGATATGATAACGGAACAGAAAATGGTTCATCTCTTATCTCTTGGGTGTCAAGAGTCTGAAGGCTCCTTGCTGTGGGATACCACAGCCTTTTTTAGTTTGCATGTGTGGGTGGAACGAGTAGAAAGGAAAACGATTACAATAAATGTGAAGCAGAAGACCAGAGGCAAACCCCTGGCTGAGACTTCCTTCTTGCTGAGCTGAAAACCAGAAATGCAAAACAGAGGAAGTTAAAAGTGGCTTTTTATCTCCCTAGCCCCAAAGTGTGTGTGTGTGTGTGTGTGTGTGTGGGTTACGACAATAGAAGGGGTAGAACCTGGGGCTGATGATTAGATGGTTTTTATTTTTAGATTTGGCCTTAATCTTGCTTCATAAACAATGTTAGCGCTTATGCGCTCAATGTAGCCCTCTGATTCTTTTTCTTTCCCATATGCTTTGGAGATGGGTTTGGTGGAGCTTCCTGCATCACACAGATTCACATGTGTTGCATGAGAGAGAAGGGGGGTAGGGAGGATAGGAAATGGCATTTGCTATGTGTAGAACCATGTTACATAACCATACTTTCATGGCTGCATCCCTCACCAGTGCCACGAGAACACTTAAACGGTACACAGCTCAGCTAAAAGAGGGATTGATTTTCCTGGACATTTTGTCCTGTACTGAAAGGCCTCCCCCTGCCTCTTTCAGTGATAAAGGAACAATAAAGGGTTCACCTGTTCAGCAAACATTACAATGATCAGGCTTCATTCACCTTTAGCGACACCATCACATTCATTAACTGATGCTTGATTGTCTAGGACAATGGTTCTCAAACTTTGTCTCTGGGCCACACTTTCATAATAAAAATTTGCTTGTGCCGCACCAAATTTTTTATTGGTGTGGTTTTATTATTTTATTGGTGTGGTTTTATTATTATTTACATGGGGGGGGGAGAGAAACAACTCCTAGCAGCGCTTGATTTATAACATAGAGCACAACTACCTTATAATATGATCAAGGGACATCAGGAAAGTATAAAACAATAGAGCTACATTAGGATATTAATCATTCCCAAATTATAATGATAAACGAGCCTCTTACTATGTACCTTAAGTATGCATACAAACTCCATGAAAGGTGTCAATTTGCTTTTGCCGGGTCATCGCATTTATATTAGGTCTAATTTGGGACAAACAAACTCTCATCTCCTCATCAAGGCAAAGAAACCTTTCTCTTTTCTGATCTTTCATATTTATCAGAGCTGAAAATCCCTATTCACAACATGTGGAAAACTGTAGAACAGCCAATGCTCTTGACGTAAGGCAGGCATCCCCAAACTCAGCCCTCCAGATGTTTTTGGGACTACAATTCCCATCATCCCTGAACACTGGTCCTGTTAGCGAGGGATGATGGGAGTTGTAGTCCCAAAACATCTGGAGGGCCGAGTTTGGGAATGCCTGACGTAAGGCATGGATACTTTTTCTGGGTGGGTGTGCATGTAATCTATGCTATGCTATACTATACTGAACCATTTAAATGCTTCTTTACTTCTCCCTGAATCTTCCTGCTACACTTGCCATCCTCTCTTGCTACACTAGTGTGGATCGCCACACCCTTTGAAAACCACTGGCCTAGGGCTGTCCTTGTGGCCAGTCCAGGAGCATTGCCTTCATTCTAAATTGGCTCTGGACAACACCAAATCCAATGTGGTACATAGCTGTGCAACACTGCCACATTTACCATGTGATCTGTGACCGGAGGCCTCACCCAAGGATGGAGAAAGAAACTCTAGCAAAGAAAAATAATAATGGTGTAGCATCAGCAGCAGGAAAAGAAACGAGTGGCAGCACACAGCTCACAAACACACACCACACAAAGAGAAGTGAGCATTCACACATTTAACGGTTTATTGTTGCAAATGCTCTACTCTGAACCCCAGAATCAAAACAGGTGCACTAGCAACCCTAGCTAAAAGTGTCTCTTCCTTTATGAAGGAAGTTGGAGAGAGAACAGGGGCCTGCATAAACTTGACAGGCTACCTCCTCTCCCTTTCATACCAGTTTCTCTCTCTCTCTTTCTCTCGCCTACGAAGACTCAACTGAAAAGGAAGACTTTCTGTTAAACCCCAGGATTGAAGCAACTTGGCAAGAGGAGGATCGGGGGCTAGGGGGCACGTGCGTTGTGCTAATACCAGGGATCTTGTGGCCTACGGCTGATGCCTATTAAGCCAAGCTCTTTGGGGAATCTGTATGCATTCATCCTTTAAAGCCACCATATGTTCTGTGCCTTAATATTGCCAGGTGAGGACATTAAGATAGAGCAAACGTAACCCAGAGTTTTGTGCACCAGTGCTGTAGAGTGTTCTCTCTTCTGAAATACAAGAGGCCCCCATTGACACTGGCCTTCCAGCAGCTCTTGAAGACACACCAGTTTGCCCAAGCCATTCTCCTGATCTCCTGACTTGAGCTTCCAACTTTAAATGGGTCTAATAGTTGTTTTAACTGTTTTAGTTGTTACACTGATTCAACTAGCTCATCCCAAGGCTCACAGGGCTATGCAGGAATGTTTCCTGCACAGTCCATTTAGAAATCTACCATGCCAGGGAGAATAAGTGTATATAGCTGCTGTTTCTTCCTCACCTACTAGCTTCCTATGTGCAGTGAGCCTTGCAAATAAGTCCAGAAATGTTACTTGCTTTGATAAGCTCAGTTAGCAGTCCATCATACATGATATGTTATTTATGGCATGATGGTAGCCTAAAAAGTGGGAGGGGCCAGCCAGAGAAGAACATGCTTTCAGTTACTGTACATGTGGGCGATTAACAGCCAATCCTAACAAATGCATTTCCTTGCTAGTTAGCATGAGAAGGGGCCAAGTCCATAGAGATGTATTCCTGATAGGCAGACACTCAGGCCATAGAAATACAATTGTTAGAGAGAGCTGTGTGTGATGTCATTTCCCCTCCTCCTCTGGAGAGGAAGGAAGATAGAGTACTTCCTGTCCCTCTTTCTCTCCTTGATCAGCCATAAAGACAGATATACTCTGTGCTTGCTCCAGTCCCAGGCACAAGCCTGAGACTGTTTTTATTGTAAATATAAGTATTTTACCTGCAAAGCTTTTACTGCTGCTGTAGCTGAAAACCAATGCAAGACTAATAAGTAATTAAGTTATATATTATTATTTTTTAAGCCTGATCTTTATTGATCTAATTAAGTTATATTTTAAGCTTGCTTTTCAATATGTTGTCTGATTTCTTTGTTAAATAGAGGAAGAAAGGGGGAAGCCATCTTACTTCATAATTGGGCTTCATTAAGAGGCTTCACAGCCTATTCCTACATGCTTCAATTTTGCTGCTAAGGATGGGACTTTAAAACTTCAACCAACACATGTGGCGGCCTGGAAAGATAAATTGCAATTAATATATCCTCTCCTACCTATTAAAACCCATCCCACAGTACAAACATTCCTGGAGGAACTAATTTACAAACTGGAGCTTATTTTAAAGGAGGGGGGGCGACATGGCAGGAGGTTCCCATTAGAAGAAAGCAGGGCTCAACTCTCTGATAAAGGAAACTGGGGCATCCCACACATACAAGTGGTGGGAAATCCAAGGTGAAAAGCAGAGTGGAGGATGTCTGCGTAGAGCATTGCTGGAGAGACTTGAAGCATGGACATGAAATATGGTAATGTAACAGCTGTTTAGCACATTAGCCTGTTGGTGTGTGGGCATCAGGCCAAGGACTGCGAAACTTGAATTGCAGCCATGATCCCTGTGCTCTACCTCTACAGTTGGAGGCAGTCATGCTTCTGAATGCCAGTTGCTAGAAGTCATAGGAGGCGAAAGAGGGCTCTTGTGCTTAGGTCCTGCTTGTGGGCTTCCCATTGGCATCTGGTTGGCCACTGTGAGAGCAGGATGCTGGACTAGGCGAGCTATTGGTCTGATGCAGCAGACTGTTCTTATGCAAACAAAATCTTAAGGGCTGCTTGGAGAAAGTGTTGAGTGTTCCCTTTCCCCGTGTTTACAGCAATTGTGGTTTTGTGCTTTTGTTTCCAATGCAGCAAGGGGTGCCCTGGTCTCGCTGCATCATGAAACCTAGCTGCCACCTACTCAGACTATGTTTCCTGGAACCACTTGAAACCCAACAGATGTTTCCCTTTGTGATGCATGCAAAGCAGAGGTGGGAGGGTTGCTGCTTGGGGTGAGGCAGCCCACGCGTGTGGTTTAAGGGATAGCCCCTATTCTTGGGCTTCCCCTTTTGGAACTTCCCTTGTACCAGAGGGCAGAAGGGAAGGAAGCTGATTTAGGGGAAGAGCTGCAACTCGAGGGCTAGAACAGCTGTTCTGCATGCAGAAGATCCCTGGTCCAATCCCTGGCTTCTCCATGGCTTAAATAATGGAGAGCTGCTGCCAGTGTGTGCCTTACTGAGCAAGTTGGACCAATGATGTGATTCCATGCAAGGCAGCTTCTTATATTCCTATGCCTTAAGGGAAAGGCAGTAACTCAGTAGGAAAACCTCTGTCTAGCACGTGCAAGCTCCCAGGTTCAATCCCCAGCACCTCCAGGTAGGGCTTGGAAATACTCCTACCTGAAACCTTGGAGAGCTACTGCCAGTTAGCCCTTCCAAGTGAGTTCCAAAATGTCCCCTTAAAAAGTTTCTTTCCCAAGTTTCTCTCATCCCCCAGAATAGGAAAAGACCACACATTTGGTCAATTAAAAAATGGTTTACTTACAAACACTTCAAAGGTCAGATTAACGTGCTTCAGAAAGCTGCCCAGGCAGTAAAACTTGGCTTAGTTACAAAGTGGTGAAAGGTCCTAAATATTGGAATAGGAAATCAAGAGTGGCTTGTGAGATCTATGGGGTTTTGCTGGAGCAACCAACTCAAACCTCTTCATAAGATGAGCTTTTTGGGTAGACTGGGGAAGAACAAAGGCTTGATTACCTAGTACCTCCCAAGGTAAGAGGAAGTGGACATAGCTAAGTTTGGCAGGACATCTTACTCTATGGTATTAACCCCTTATTGTATTAAATAAACTTAAGCATGTTGCTTATATGAGGCTAGTTATCCCAAAATCTTAAGGGAGAGGGCCATAGTTCAGTGGTAGAACATCTGCTTTGTATGTAGAAGGTCCCAGGTTCAATATCTGGGTTTAACTGTTGTTGAATCAACATTCCAAACTTGTTCCAACTCCACATGGAGCAATCCATCCTGACCTCTGACCTTGCCATAAAGCCCTGTTTCAACTGGGATCATTCTTTAGAGAAGAACGCTATAGAGGAGAAAGACTGAACACACAGATTTGCTGGTCCATACAGTCAGCAAAGCAGCACATTATCAACCCTGCTGGATTAAACAAGGGTCCATCTAGCACCTCCTCTCTACCAGTGGCCAAGCAGTGGAAGAGGACTATACCTCAGTGGTAGGGCATGTGCTTTGCACATAGAAAGTCCCAGTTCAATCCCTGGTATCTCCAGGTAAGGCTGGGAAAGAACCCTGCCTGAAACTCTGGAGAGCTGTTGGTAGTCAGTATAGACAATGCTGAGTTTGATAGACCAAGGATCTACCAGATGCCCTGACAATATGGCATGCGTTCAGAATTTGTCTGTTTTCATAGGAAATTACAGACGCTTGTGTATTTGCAACACGTATCTTACTCCAAGCATCAGGATTCATGAGACTCTGCATGCTGTAGAAACCATTCATTCCCTTAGCAATGAACAGCATTTCATGTGCTGGCTTCTGAGGTGACTTGTGTTAGTAAACTGACCATAAGTCTCTTACTTAAAAAAGAATTAAGGATGTTTAATGGTACTCTATATTTAAACTCACAGTAGAACTGGTTCTGCCCTCAGAAGAACTCTTCCAACATTCTGTAGAATTCATTATCTGGATGAACAGGTTAGGGGTGAAGGGAAGCAATGTGCTGCACATGTGTGTGCATGGGCACATATGCGCACAAACGTCAGCATGGGTCCACACACACAAAAATTTAATGCAATCACCACCATGCATCCTGTCCAGTCATTTTCTGCTGACAGCTGATTTTGATTTCCAACCAAGTAACAACTCACAGAAAACACACCTCAGGCCACAGGAAAGGGCAATCTAGTAATGGCAATTGACCTTGATCAAGTCTAGCTCAGGAACTTCCCCAGATTCCCTAATCAGGTCAAACCTAGGTGCTCAGGTGCACAAAGACTTAGGCACTTGTGTGCAGTTTTTGGCTGTTCATAGAAAACTGTTTAAGAAGAGCGTTTCCCACCACAAAACCAGAGTGAAAGTTGCACAATGGCCAAACAATTTATCTAAATATACAAAACACATTTCCTAGATTCAGGGAATTGGAATTCGGCAACCCTACTCTGGAGAAATCTTTAAGAATTCTAGTGTTGTTTTTAAAAAGGCCCCTCCAACTTAAAAGAGCCTCCTTCATTAGCAGAGCCCACTGAGCCAGGCCAATGGCCTTTCTAGGCCAGACATCCTGCTCTTACAAGAACAGTCTCCTCTCCTGCAGTTTCTAGCAACTGGTATTTGGAAGCATTAGCTATTCCCCTCCCATAGATACAATTCCCAAAATGGTTTCATAATCCATCCCTCCTCCCAGGGAACTCTGGGAATTGTAGTTCTGTGAAGGGAACAGAGACCTCCTAACAACTCTCAGCACCTTTCATAAACTACAGTTCCCAGGATTCTTTGGGGGAAGCCATGACTGTTTTAAAATGGCATTATAGTGTTTTAAACATCTGGTGCAGATGTGGCTTCTGCGTGTTACTGCTGGCCACAATCATGCCAGGTTTATCAAGAAGCTCCACTTGACCCACCTGAGTCCTGGCTGCCTGAGGTAGGTGGAGTGGGATCTGAGGCCGAGGTGGAAGAGCTGGCCTGTTTGTTTGTCTGTTTGTCTCTTTATTTCCCACACTTCCATTTTATTGCTCACAGCCACGCTTGGGCACGTTTTAATTAGCTTATTACTTTTTATCTGAGAAGACACGAGCCGGGGAATAGAAAACGGCTCCCAAAAAACGTCAGCAGCTTCCCTTCATCTCTAGTGATTAAACTGCGCACTGCTCCAGCGCGGCAAAATTTTATCGCAGCGTTATTTCCTTTAGAGTCATAGTTGCCATAGTTGACTTGATTAATTCTCCATGCGCTGGCCAGCCTTCCTTCCCTCTCTCCCTCCCTCCCTCCTGTTCCTGAATATTCAGAGGAGATGCTCATTAAGTAAGCCACTATCGCTTACTACAGGAGTGGCGGGAACCCCTTTCAGCCCAATAGTCACATCCCATCATGGGCAGACTTCTGGGGACCACATGCCAGTGGTGGGCAAGGCCAGAGGCAAAAAGTAGGCAGAGCAATGGATGCAACTCTTATTTTTGTATAGTAGGCTACATTTTAATCCCACAACACTCTGAGGTCTATACCCTCCCTCCCTCCCTCTCTCTCTCTCTCTCTCTCTCTCTCTCTCTATCTCTCTCTCTCTCTCTTACACACACACACACACACACACACACACACACACACACACACACCATCTTCCATCTAGGCAGGCAAAAGTTATAATCACAGCTGAAGGACACATTCCAGTCAGGCAGTAACACTCAAGGAAGGGCATGAAGCAGAGTTAATGAGGACCTGAATAAAGTATTGAGGGCCACAAAGAGAGGCTTGAAGGGCCACATTCTGTCATCCCCTGATTTGAGATCCCAGTTTCATTTCACTAGGCGGAGGAATCAGGATGCCTGTCCACACAGGTCAACTCTTAGCTGACTTTCCAGGGTTTTGTGGGCCTTTTATGAACCTCCTCACCATCACCTTCGGACTGGGAAGTGAACATAGAAAACTGTTTTCTACCATGTTGATCTGTTAGTCCATCATTTAGCCCAGCATAGTTTACTCCCGGGATAGTTGTTCTGGTACTGTCTGAAGGATTTGAACCACAACTCCCCAATGGAGTCCTTCTTTTTAATATTTTTGTATTTCAGCTACAATCAAAGGTAGTTAAGAGAAGCAACACAGCTCTGTTTGAACTTTGTAGGTGTTACATGAGCTCAATTTTTCAAGGCCCTCCACGTCAGACTTTGATCCAGGGGTGAGCCCATCTGAAACTCCCTTTACTTGGGATCACTGCCATGTGCACAGGCCGCTCAAAGGGAAGAGAGAGATGGATTTAATTAGGCCATTGTCTTCTGCAAAAAAAAAAACCCTTCCACTCCTACCACCCCCATTCTTAAGGATTAACCCGTATCTGCTCAAGTGTGCATGTTTGTTTGCTCTCAAAGAGCAAGAGGAAAAAACGAGAGCAGTTAACAGGCAGGATGGTGGAGGTGGTTAAAGATGCATCCCAGCTGCTGCCTTCAAATTTTAACCTGCCTACTCAGTGTAGGTGGGGAAAACAGTGAGGCTTATAGGTCAATTTCTGCCCCTCTGTCAGGGATATAGAGGCTAATCCAGGGGAGGTAATGATCATCTGTACCAAGGGATGATGTTGCTAGAGTAACAAGGAGTGGAATAGGCCAGGGGGTGAAGTGGTTAGAATGCCAGACTAAGACCTGGGAAACCAGGGTTCAAATCCCTGCTCAGCCACAAATATGAGTGAACAAATCTGTCCATTTCAGTTTCACATTTTTCCAGTCTTGAGTGCAGTTCTTCAAGTCCTTGTGAAAATTCAGCAGCATTTTAGTGCAAATCTCTTTTGCAAAGCAGTGTTCCCTAACACAATGCATTTTTGTAAGTTATTTCCACTACATATGTGCATTTCTATGCATGCTTCACCCCAGTATATACAGTTTTGTACTCATTACATGGCTGGATAACTACACTGCAGAATTCGGACAAGTGTGACCCTCAAAGGATGGCTGCCTTTTGGTTCTCATATTGTTTTGAAAAGTGTAAATTAGGTAAGTTCACCTTCAATTGTGAACTGAATCAAATTTCTGTCCTACCCTTAGTGGTCTTCAACCCACAAGAACAAGCATAGGCACGGTGATTTAGTGCTTAGAGTCAGACTAGAACCTAGGAGGCCAGGGTTCAAATCCCCATTCAGCCATGAAGCTTAACTGGATGACCTTGGGCCAGTCACCATCTCTCAGCCTTACCTACCTCACAGGGTTATTGCATAAATAAAATGGAGGGAGAACCATGTACGCCGCCTTCAGCTCCTTGCAGGGAAGGTAGGATAGAAATGTACAGTAGTACCTCAGGTTACATACGCTTCAGATTACAGACGCTTCAAGTTACACACTCCGCTAACCCAGAAATAGTACCTTGGGTTAAGAACTTTGCTTCAGGATGAGAACAGAAATCGTGCGGCGGTGCGGCAGCAGTGGGAGGCCCCATTAGCTAAAGTGGTGTCTCAGGTTAAGAACAGTTTCAGGTTAACAACGGACCTCCAGAACGAATTAAGTACATAACCAGAGGTACCACTGTAATTTGTAATTAAATTAAAAACAACAACAACCACTATTCCCACTGGCCTCTCCCTCAAGTTAGCTCCTAGCAGTCGCTAAGCATGCACAGTCAACAATCACTGGGTGATTTCATGGGCTGTTTGCCCCCTTTGAGTCTTCCTGTTTTTCAAATGTCTTGCACTACTAGATCAGGGATTCCCAAACTGTGGCCTTTGGGCCACCAGATGTCCACAAACCTAATTTAGGTAGTCCACAACATGTCTGTGAAGAATGGCTGCAGCAGTGGCTGTGAATAGCCGCTTCAGTGGCTGCTCTGCCATTCTTAGAACCCAGCAATCTGGTCCAGTCCAGATGGACCAGACATGGAGGGGAGGGGAGGAAGCGCATGAAAGGAATGGAGAGGATTAGCAGTGTGAAAGAAGGAGTGATGAGGTGACTCGAAAGGAGTGGAAAGAGTCCTATGGAAATCAAATTGGAATGCGGTAAAGTACAGCATATGAGAAAAAGAAGCAATAAAAGTACAATTAAAAATCACACAGCATCTAACACAGTGCATTTACAACCGCCGCAACAGGCAGAAAAAGCACGAAGCAGCCTGCCTAGAACCTCAGCAATTTTCAAGTGGTCTGTTGGGGAGGGGGGAGAAGTTAGGTAATGACTATTCTAGATAATTCTGGCTATACACTAGCATGCTAATGCCTCCCTGTTGTTTTTCAAAGGCCCAAGTTTGTCTCCAAATCCTGTCACCACTCAAGCACCTGAGTTTGCTATTAGAAGGAATGATAACTCAAGGGCAGAGCAAAAACAGAGCCAAACTCTAGAAAACCCTGGCAAACAGAAAGTCCTGTTCACACTGCCTTTACCATCTGAAAACTATTCCATCTATGTATGTGTATGTGTATGTGTGTGTATATGTATGTGTATGTGTAAGTATATATATATATACAGTGGTACCTCGGGTTACATACGCTTCAGGTTACAGACTCCGCTAACCCAAAAATAGTGCTTCGGGTTAAGAACTTTGCTTCAGGATGAGAACAGAAATCGTGCTCCGGCAGCACGGCAGCAGCAGGAGGCCCCATTAGCTAAAGTGGTGCTTCAGGTTAAGAACAGTTTCAGGTTAAGAATGGACCTCTGGAACGAATTAAGTACTTAACCTGAGGTACCACTGTATAGAGAGAGAGGGAAAGATAGTTAGATTTGCTTTAATTCCATGTTTATAGATGGTGATGATTAGGGGACTGAGCACCTTCTCGAAGCCCTTAGAGTGCAAGCAGTCTCTTTGGGGTGTGGAAATAAGATCAGCAAAGCTCTTCCTGTGCCCTGTTGTTCCAACAAGCATGCAACAGCTCCCAGAGCGTCACTCTTGGAAGAGGAAAGGGGGCAGCTGCTTTGGCTACAAGGCAGACACCGTCTTCACGGGGATTAAGAGCTTTTTGCTCTACACGGTGTGCCATAATCCAGGCTGGCAGAACGCAGTCCCGATTAGTTATGCAAGAGCAGTTGTTCAAGGAGAGACTGGGGGCCAGTGAAATAACAAATATCTAAGAAATTTGTGGCTTGTGAGGACCGTCCATTGCATTGGAGGATACAGGCATTCTGAGAGCCACTTTTAGCTTACAGGGGTGAGAGCATACCTGAGCATGTATAGAATTATGCATGACATGGAGAAAGGGGATAGAGAAAAGAGTTTCTCCCTGTCTCATAATACTAGAAGTTGGGGACATCCAGTGAAGCCAATGTGGGAGGGTTCAGGACAGACAGAAGAAAGTACTTTGCCACACAACTTGTGAAATTCACACTCGTAGTGACAGCCGCCAGCTTGGACGGCTTTAAAAGAGAATTAGACCAATTCACGGAGGACAAGGGTATTGATAGCTACTAGCAATGATGCTCTGCCTCCACAGTCACAGGCAGGGCTGGATTAAACATTAAGCAAAATATGCACATGCTTAAAGGGCAATAAGGGAAAGGGGGGCACGAGAGAAATTTTCCGTTGCTGGATTTTTAACATTAATGGCCACGAACTGCTCAGCTGAGCGTTCCTTTTCTCAGATGAAGTATATTAGAAATCCCAAGAGAGCAACTATGCAACAAGGCAGGCTGGATGCCTTATCTCTACAATGTACAGAAGCAGATGTGTTACATAAGATTAGTTTTGAGGATCTTATCAAATACTTTGCAGTTAGAAAAAGTAGGATACAATTTTTTCAAATATAAATGAAGTGGAAGTATACAAAAATAAATATTATTTTCCATCTTACTGTAGATTTTGCTTCATTTCAAAAAATACAATTGAATTTTATGGTTTATTATTGTTTATCTTCTGCTACACCCCCCCCCCCCCAAATCTTTTAAGTGTTTAGGGTCTCTAAAGGTCTTAATCCAGCCCTAGTCACAGACCGTAATACTTTTGAATACCAGTTGCTGGAAGCCAAAGGAAGGGAAGGTGTTCTTGTGTTCCTGGTTTTGGGCTTCCCAGATAGGGATCTGTTTGGCCATTGTGAGAACAGGATACTGAACTAGGTGGGCCATTGGCCTGACTCAGCAGGCTCTTCTCATATTATGATGAGTGGTATAGTCCCTGCATGACATGCAGAAAGAGCCAGGTTCAATCCCTGGCATCTCCTGTGAAAAGGATCAGGCAGAAAGTAACAGGGAAGACCTGTCTTTGCCCAAGACCCTGGAGGGCCTCTGGCACTCAGAGAAGAGGATGTAATCAATTCCTTTTTCCATCATTTCCCCATTTCTTAAATCTTAAATTCAGTTCTCCGCCATTGCCACTTCCCTATTGATATCCTGATGAAAATTTGTTAGGTTTTAGCACAGATTTATCCTGATATACGCATTTTTTGTATGTAATTCTCCTAACATATACATCTTTACAAGCAATCTCCCCTGAAGAGAATGTGTCCCTTGCCCAAAAATGATTTTTGAGTTTAGGTTAACAGCAAGAAAAGCGATTTAACAAAAAAATAAAAACAAGACTAGCAGATACATATCAGATATGATGTGTCCTGCAATAAACATGTTATGAGTGAACTACCGTATTTTTCACCCTATAGGACGAACTTTTTCCCCTTCAAAAATGAAGGGGAAATGTGTGTGCGTCCTATGGGGCGAATGCAGGCTTTCGCTGAAGCCTGGAGAGCGAGAGGGGTCAGTGCGCACCGACCCCTCTCGCTCTCCAAGCTTCAGGAAGCTATCCGCAAGCCTTCTGAGTGAGGCGGGAGTTCCCGCCGGGCTCCAAAGGCTTGCGGATAGCAGCCTGTTCTGGGGGCTGGGGAAGCTCGGGCTTCCCCTGCCCCAGCCCCGTGGCTGCAGGGGGGGGGGATAATTCCCCCCCCCTTTATTTCCCCCCCAAAAAACTAGGTGCACCCTATGGGCCGGTGCGCCCTGTAGGGCGAAAAATACGGTAGTTGTCCATGTGATTCATTTCCCTTGACTGCCAGGTTAGGGAGATGGTAATTGTTCCCCACCCCCACTCATATGATGCATTTCTATGCACATCTTCTAATATTCATGTTTCTGTAAACATTGTTGGCTGGAGAAGCATGAATTTCGAAGTATGGCTGAGTTTCAGTTACTGCCTTTTTAGGAGGTGGGGAGTGAGACTTAGGAACTTTCATGGCACAATGCAAACTGGATCGCAGTTCCCCCCACATTCCTATTCCCCATCAGTTCCTTGATTGGAGGTCCCCTGGAAACCTTATGTATGCCGCCTTGAGCCCTACCACTGGGGATTGGCAGAAGATATGGACATCATAAATCAAATCAATGCTTAATAATAATAATTTTGCCTCTTCAGCTCTCCTGGACCACTCTCTTTGATTAGCGAAGAAATACGATTCAAGCTGCTTCAATTATTTATGTCCAATTTGGTTAATTCCCCAAAGCAGACTCTCCTGACGCAAAACGAGGCAAGGCAGATTTTTAAAAAGCAAAAGTAGGAAGCAGATGTCAAGGAATGTTTGCTTCCCACCCCTCCTCCACCTCCAATAAGTGTGCTTCTTTTTCCACACCTTTCTCCCCTCATTTTTCTACTGCAGCCAAAATCCAACAGATTGGGAAAAATCTAAATGTGACTTCAGAGTAGGTTTTGTTGCTACATCAGCCATTGACAACCTGGTACCTTCCAGATGATGGGGACGACAATTGTCATCAGCTTCCGCCCACATGTTTGGAGTTCAAAATGGCAGCCATGTTGGCTGAAGCTGATGAGAGCTGTACAGTGGTACCTCAGGTTACATACGCTTCAGGTTACATATGCTTCAGGTTACAGAGTCCGCTAACCCAGAAATAGTGCTTCAGGTTAAGAACTTTGCTTCAGGATGAGAACAGAAATCGTGCTCCGGCGGCGTGGCGGCAGCAGGAGGCCCCATTAGCTAAAGTGGTGCTTCAGGTTAAGAACAGTTTCAGGTTAAGTACGGACCTCTGGAATGAATTAAGTACTTAACCCGAGGTACCACTGTAGTCCAAAACATGACCACGCTGTCTGGAGGTGAAAGCAGCTGTGGTCTAAAATATCTGAAGGGCACCAGGTTGGCAAAGGACATGTTAAGCTTTAATCCAGAAGCAACCCAAGCAGAAATGCTAAATGCCTGGACTGAAGAGGTTGAGGGAAGCAAGGCAGGAGGCTGCAATGCTGGAACAAATGCAGCCAGAGGCAAAAGACACAACTGCCAGTCTCATGTAATGAACCATCTCTCCCACTTGGCTGCATCAGGCCTGGCAGTGTTGTCAACTCCCCGAAGCGCCGCCAAACCCGGCAGCCAGGTCCCCCTCCCCGACCCCCCAGCCTCTCTGTCTGCTTCCCTGAAGGTGTGGGAGTTGGAAAGGTTGGCAGTGATAAATTGATTTCCCATGACAAAAAAACTGAGGCTGGCTGGCAACGGGGAGAGAGGTGGATTTTACCTCCCCCACCCCTGCTGCCGTTTCCGCCTCCAAACAAAAACTAAAATCTGACCTGTTCCCTGGCTTTGTGGCTTAGGGCCCTCGTATCTACGGGACCGCCTCTCCTGGTATGCCCCGCAGAGGACTTTAAGGTCCATGAACAACCAAAGTTTAGAGGTCCCGTGCCCTAAGGAAGTCAGACTATCCTCCATCAGGGCCAGGGGCTTTTCAGTGATGGCTCCGACCTGGTGGAATGCTCTGTCCCATGAGACTATGGCCCTTCAGGATTTAACCTTCTTCCGTCGGGCCTGTAAGACAGAGCTATTCTGCCTCGCCTTTAATTTGAATTCAGCCTGATCTTTTATTTCCCTTCCCTTCCCTCCCCCTTCCCTTTTATGAAGATCACCTGTTCTGAGACCCCACAGCTAATTCTCCCCTGGCCTCCTCGCTGGCCCAAGTAGGACCAATTCAGCCAGCTAGCCCTGGGGATTATCTAATGCTTATTTCCCCTAAATTGATTTTTGAATTTTATTGTTATTCATGTTTTTATACTGTATTTTATGCTGCTTTTATAATTAAGTGTTTTAAATATGTTGTTAGCCTCCCTGAGCCCGGTTTTTGAACCGGGAAGGGCGGGGTATAAATAAAAAATTATTATTATTATTATTATTATTATTATTATTATTACATGCGTTTGGTACATGCCTCACAGGGGCAATCCAAAGTATTTTGTTACCTGAGGCCACTGTTGGAGGCAGAATGTACAAGTTGCTTGTGGGCTTCCCATCTGGTTGGCCACTTTGGGACCTGGCTAGATGGGCCATTCGCCAGAACCAGTGTGGCTTGGGGATGCTGGGAGAAACCATGCCCCCTTACCTTTAGGCCCTGTCTGTGGGCTTTCCAGAGGAATCTGACTGGCCACTGTGAGAACAGGATGCTGGTGGTTTTCAGCAACGCCATATAAATCTGTATGGAAACCAATAAGAATTACCGTTTAATAAACAGCAGTGTTCCTATTATCCCTGATCAACCACTGAGGTCTTCGGGGAAGTCACCGTTAGTGGTCCTCTATGGCTCAGATGCACAGCTCACATCCATCAGCAACCTTACGTTCAGCATTGTGAACTCCTTTCCAGTTGAGGTCAGACAGGCCCTCTCCCTGCTGAACTTCTGGTGCTTACTGAATACTATTTTGTTCCAGCAGGCATTTTAACTGAATTCTGATTTTGCAGCTTAAAATGTTTTTTATTTTTTCACATTACACTCAGTTCCTTGTTCACTGTTTAGAGCATAGCTGTCAACTTACAGATTTGAAAATAAGGGACCAGCAGCCTTGAAAATAAGGGACCAGCAGCCAAAATAAGGGACCTGCAGCCTCACCTGTTCCAGGCACTCCAGTCTTCCTGTCCTCCTGCAGTCTGGTCAAACTCATGCTGGTAGCTTCGAGAACACTGTCCAACCAACTTTGTAACCAGAGGTTCAACTGAATAGAATCTGAATCACATGCACCACAAGGCCTATGCAGCCTCAACTTAAGATGGCTCCCCGGCCTGGCTTTGCACTGCAAAGTTTGCAGCAGCACATGCAACAAAATGGCGTCCAGCATTCAAAAACCTCCTCAGCTTGCATTAACTAGCCACACACAAGGCATGCAAGCTCCACCCCCCAGTCGTTCTTAGACTCCTTATTGGGTGAGCAACACAGCCAAGCAACACAGTTGGAGCCTCCCTCCTCCCTGGCTGGCAGGGAGGGAGGGAGAGGAGCTGCTTCCTTTGAAATTTAAGGGACATCATTTAAGGGACATTTAAGGGACATCCATCAATAAGGGATAGCAGTGGGACATGGCGCTGGAATAAGGGACTGTCCCTTCAAATAAGGGACACTTGACAGCTATGGTTTAGAGGTGGCTGTAATAAAGCAGTATATAAATTGTTTAATTAAATAAATACAGTGGTACCTCGGGTTACATACGCTTCAAGTTACATACGCTTCAGGTTACAGACTCCGCTAACCCAGAAATAGTACCTCGGGTTAAGAACTTTGCTTCAGGATGAGAACAGAAATCGTGCTCCGGCAGTGCAGCAGCAGCAGGAGGGGGCCCCATTAGCTAAAGTGGTGCTTCAGGTTAAGAACAGTTTCAGGTTAAGAACGCACCTCCGGAACGAATTAAGTTCTTAACCCGAGGTACCACTGTATAATAATTGTCTAAGCAAACAACGTCTATGCAAATCTTGAGGAAATGAATCAGCATGGATGCTCAATAAACAGATGGGCTGGAAGAGCCCATTGTAAGCCTGACTGACGGCAAAACTTCTCTCTCTGTGTCCCCCACCCCACCCCCGTTAAATTCATATGAGCCACCATGAGAGACAATGATTTGTCTGAAAAGCAAGGTTTAAAAATGCATTTTCCAAAACAATACATGAATTGAAACACAGCTAACCTTCAAAATGTGCACTTCTGCAAATGTGTACGTCAGGGGAAAGTGTGCACAATAATGTGTATAGTAGCAGTTATATACTTTTTAAAGCACATTCCCCCTTGCGTGGTCGTCCACAAGCAAATCAACTGCTGCCTAGCCACTATTCCTGTGCATTAGGGATGGGAAGAAATTTGGTGCAGTTTGTATTTTAACAGGAACCTACCTAATTCACACCTCCTGATCCAGTATGTGAACTAAAGTGAAATTTGATTTATTCGCATTATATTTGAGGAAATTACTTTGCACAAACCTCTATATTGGGAGAAATGTACTGATACGTTTTCAAGAAAACTTTTTCCACCTGCAAATTGATGCAGAAATGTAGAGAATGGCCTTAAGGCTGATGAAAACATGAGAAGTTGAGAGAAATCAACGTTGACAGAGCTGTCAATTCCCTAGACAAGAGTGCCTCTCACCATGGGCAGAGTCCACTTCTAAGACTACTTTCTTTAAGTTGGGAAGGGCCATAGCTCAGTGGTACAGCATCTGCCTTGCATTCAAAAGGTCCCACATTCTATCTTGGGCATTGCTACTTAAGGCTTGGAGAGTTCCCTGTCTGAGAGCCACTGCCAGTCAGTGTAGACAATATTGAGCTAGATGGACCAATGGCCTGACTGTGTAAGTCAGCTTCCTATGTTCCTACACTCTCATCTACCATGTAATCTCTAACTCAACTGCAAGAGGCGTAGTTGTGTTCAATCTTCTGCAGCAAAAAGAAGGAAGAGTCTTGTGCAGGGCCTGCCAGAGACCTTTTGGCACCTGAAGCAAGATGGGCTACCAATGCTCCCCTGCCACAGATCCAGGCCCCAGTGTGGTGGGAGGCCTGAGGCATGTTGCTTCAGGTCTCCTCATTGGTGTGCTGTCCATGCTAGAGCAGGAAGCTAGCTTAGGGGCTGCAGGGCAGACCACATGGCACACCATTCTAGCCTCTTTTCCACCCTTCAGAATTTGCTGCCTGAGGCAGCTGCCTCACTCTGCCTTGTGGTAGGGTTGGCCCTGGTCTTCTGGCACCAGATTTATGGCACAACTGTGTGCACGCTCATTCAAAATTCAACCCCAGTCTGTGTAAACAATTCTGAGCTAAATGGACCAATAATCTGACTCCATATAAAACAGCTTTCTATGTTCCTAATTACAACTCACAATCCTACAAAACTAGGATTATGGAGTGGGGGTAATTTCCAAATCAGAAGCTGTGGCTTCTATAAGCTCATAAAGAACCACCCTTCAGTTTTGTTCCGCTGCCAACACCAGTTTCCAGCCAGCTGCTCTGAGTTCAACCTCCTCCGCAGGAGTCCTGGGGAACCCACTAAGCCAAACAAGAGGTTTCTTTGACTGCCACCTCTGCTTTTTGACAAACATGTTCCGTTCGGAGAATTCCCCCTTCTCCACCCTTTTCCTCCCACACCCGTACCATCTGGTTGTAGTTTGCACCATGACATGTTTCCTCTTGTGGTCCATTTGCTTTTCTTTCAGAAAGAAAGAAAGAAAGAAAGAAAGAAAGAAAGAAAGAAAGAAAGAAAGTGCAAACCCCAGAAGCAAGGAGAGTAATCCCCTCTGGCTGCAACAGTATGTTTGCATAAATTCATTTATATATTTCCTTTCTCTACCCTCAGACATCAAATTTATTTATCAGGCTGGCTTAGAGGTGGATGGGTGAGAAGGAGAAGTTTGGGTTTTACTTTTCTGCCCCCCTAGAGACGCTGGGGGGTTAATTATCAGATTTTCTCGGCATCTGTTCCAATTTAGGAGAGCTGTTGGAGCGGGGGGGGGGGTCATCAAGTTTAGCAGCAAGAAAGGGGATTCCTGCCCCTGAGCATGTGGGTTATGGGATGCCAAATTCCTGCAAAAATGCTCAGATATGTGAAACCTCGTTTCCTATCCTACAATCTTGGGGAAGGGCCATAGCTCAATGACAGAGCACCTGCTTGTCATGCAGATGTCCCCAGCAATTTTGGGCCCAGGAGCACATTTGTAAATACAAGGACTCCTCCAAACAACCTGTTTGTTAAGCATTCATACTGATTTGCTTGTACAAAGCTTAAGCAGAGGTTAGACCAGAGCTTTCCAAACTTTTCATGTTGGCGACACACTTTTTAGACATGTATCATTTCATGACATAGTAATTCAGTTTTACTAGCAAACTGGAGGTTAAACGAACCCCTTTCTAGCCCCGGGAGAAGAGCGGGGTGCATTCGTGTGACACACCTACACACTGCAGCCGACACACTAATGTGTCGTGACACACAGTTTGGAAAGCTCTGGATTAGACAATGGCCAGACTTTATTGAGCATTTGTTTCTGGGGTAGTTATACAACAATTAGCATCCATTCTGCATTTGCTTACCATGTGTTTCCACATCTTCCCATTAGGACACATGTGGGGGAACCTTTGGCCCTCCAGATGTTGCTGAGTTATAACTTTCATCAGCCCCAGCAGGCATGGCTAGTGGCCAGGGATGATGGGATTTGTAGTTCAGCAACATCTGGAGGGCCAAATATTCTCCACACCTGTGTTAGTCATTTATTCATTCCAAATGTTTCCCTGCACTTTTTTAACTGCACCAAGTCCTTATTCTTTTAAAAAGTGAATTGTACAGAGCCTTTTAATCTGCTTTAACTCCGCAAATCTAAAGCACAAGGATGTCCTTGAATCCCTCCTGCAATTTGGAGGCACCCAAATAAAAGTTGTGGGCACCTCAAAACATCGTTTCTTCAGAAAACCGCTCATGCTTACAAATGCCACCACCAAAAAGCAGGGGAAATACCTACCCTCCCCCAATAAACTAAAACAGGCAAAAAATAGCAGGCAACTCTACTACACACACATATCAAACCATGTCAAAAAAAGAGGATGCTGCCGGCTGGGGATGATGTGTTATAGTCGAAAACATCTGGAAGGCACCAGCTTGGGAAAGACAGATCTACAAACATTAGAAAGCAGAGCCATGGCAGAATCAGACATCAGCATGATGGAAGACTGGAAGGAGACAAGCCCAGAGAAGTAGATCATACAGAGACACAACAGGCAGCAGGTGATTTTGTAGTGATTCCTGCAGAGGCAGCAGGCAGCCTCCTTTGCAGGAGGTTACACTGAGCTCAGAGGAAACTCTTAAGCATGTCATATTATTTATTTCTCACAGTGCACTTCCATTCCTGGACATTGTTAAGGCTTCCTTTGCACCCTTTGCAAAAAGTGCAGGATAAATAGTAAGCCCCACTCTTTCATGGAAGAAACAAGACGCCGCCACCAACCCCCCCCCTTCTCCACCCCTCAAGGGAGGCTCTGCCTGCCTGCTTTGGGAAATGGGGAGAATCTTCACCTGGCAATTGGCTTTATTGTTTTTAATGAGCATTTTAAAACTTGCTCGTAGGGCTGGGCGGCTGTGGTCGCCTCGCTGGGTACACGCAGGCACGGCCATTAATCCTCTTTACTCCAGCCTTGATTTAATTTATCATTAGGTTCGGATGAGAAATTTTATCCTGCAACACAATTCAAGGTGATAGATGAGAGTGTGGAAGCAGGGGATCTCCCGGCCTTGGCAACCCTCCCACTTTTCTTCATGCCCCAGGCTGGGAAGTGGCTGAGTAAGTGGAATGTATGAGGGAGGGAGCGGGTAGCACTGGCTGTTGTTGAGCTGGATGGAAAAAAGCACTGACCTTGCAAAGGAAGGCCTTAAAGTTCAGAAGGTGCTGGGGTCAAATCTCCAGATAGGGCTGGGAATGTCCCCTGCCTGAAACCTGAGAGCGCTGCTGCCATTCAGAGATAGAGGGCAAAGCAGCTTCCCGTGTTCCTAATGCACAAGTCAGTTTCATCACCAGTAGCTTTTAATATTAGATCTGCAACACAGGGAAAAGGAAACCTCCACCGGAGCTGGTTGCACAAGCCCTGGCCCAACCTTATGTTTGATCTAATTTACTTCCCTTCTTCCCTTGGCCCCAAACTTTGACCCGAAAGCAATCCAAAGCATTTGAAAAGTGAAAAGCAGGGCAGGGGGCTGGGAGAAAGTGCCACATAGCAAGTGGCTCTTTCTGTCTCCCGCACCTACACGCCCCCTTCCCCCATGTGCATTGCAAGCGCAGATTGGAGCAGTTGCTCCATTAACCCAGCATTGATCTCTCATCACACTTGGGAGGTAGCGATTAAAAACCTCCAGCCTTCCTTCCAAATTTTTTTTGAGGGAGGGGAATGGTGGTGGAGAAGATATTTTGGCAAAGCACAAAAGCCAGCAAGGAGGGGGAAATATGGAGGGATCCACCAATTTCAATTTCTCATTTTACCAACCTTAAGTTCAATTATCCACATTTCTATTTCAGCTTACAATTCAAATTTTGTTTTCTTGTGAAAATTCAACAGCATCTTACATTAAAAACATAAGAAAAGCCTTCTGGAACAGGCCCATATTTATTCCAGCTACAAAATCCAGGTAAACTGGGGTTGCATAGTTTTAGGGTTCCAGCCAAGAACACTTTCCCAGACAACCTTTTTAAAGAAGCCTTCACATTCATTGCATTTCAAGTGCTGCCAAAATACCCAGAAGTTTGTAAACTAAGCATGGATTAAGCAGGCTGGTTCTTTATTCACACTCCTAATCTGATTGCTTTTAACAATTCATTACAGATAGGGACGCTTAAAGCCTTGTTTAGCAACCCACGTGCCCTGTGTAAGTGTCTCAAGGGAGGCCCATTTGCTTTTCTTCCCAAGGTCAAACAGGAAGGCAGGCAGAGAGCATGGACTAGTGAATCCTTAGAAACAAGAGAAACCTAGGCCTAGTTCTCCCATATGTGGCAAGTCTAGTTATGTCCATACAGCACCAGGTAGGGGTGGTCACATGGTAGAACGTTTCTCAGTACCAAAAAACTTGTGTGTCAGAGAGAAGGCTAGGGGAGAGCCATTCATTCATTCATTCATTCATTCATTCACTCTTTCATTCATTTATTCTTCCACACTTTCCCCATCACCAGATTTAGGGTGGTGTGGGCTGTCCCCCCCCCCCCGGCACTGAGCCAAGGTGGCGCATAATAAGAATAATAATATTGAGAAGATCAATAAAAAAGCAACCATACCCAAGGGAATTAGTATGAAAATAAGATTTTTGGAGGGACAGGGGGCAGACAGGCAAAAAATTTCATCCTCGGTCAGGGCACCATATTAGCAAAGTCCGCCTCTGCTTCCCCTCAGAGGTCCTCAGTGTTTCCAAAGCATAGATAATTTATTTTGTGCAGAGGAACATCTCATCATGTTGCCTTCTCTTTATGGGGTTACAGTCCCTCTGAAGGAGTAGGCAGGTAGCTTAGGGGTAATTCTGAATCACTCACTGTTGCTTTAGGCGAAGTGGCCTTGGTGGCAAAGGGCTGGCTTTGAAGATGGTTTTGGAAACTGCAGCAGGTGCAGAATTTGGGAGCCCAGTTGCTTACTGGGACAAGACAGTCTGATAACACAACACCAATCCTGCCCCAACTGCCCACAACGGCAATGGCTACCAGATAATAATAATAATAATAATAATAAATTTTATTTATATCCCGCCCTCCCCAGCCAAAGCCAGGCTCAGGGCGGCTAACAACAAAGTTCCCAGGCTCAATTCACAGTGGTGGTACAGGCATACCTCAGAGATATTGTGGGTTTGGTTCCAGACCTCTGCAATACAGCAAATATCACAATAAAGTGGGTCAAATTTTTTTTGTCTTTGTTTCCCAGTGCATATAAAAGTTATGTTTACACTATACTGTAGTCTATTAAGCCAAGACCCCCTGGCTGCAGGGGCAGGAGGTGAAAAATCACCAGCTCTAGACCTAGCCTGTTCCACACCCATGGCCAGATGAGGGGCAGTGGCAACATCGGGCTTCCTTCCCTTGGAAGCAGGTGGGCTGCTGCAGCTGCAGCTGACTCGTCATAAGGGGCAATATCTGCAAAGTGCAATAAAGCAAAGTTCAATAAACTCAGGTATGCCTGTATTGCTGTATGACAGTATCTTAAAAAGCAGAGACATCACCTTGCTGACAAAGGTCCGTAAAGTTAAAGCTATGGTTTTCCCAGTAGTGATGTATGGAAGTGAGAGCTGGACCATAAAGAAGGCTGATCGCCAAAGAATTGATGCTTTTGAATTATGGTGCTGGAGGAGACTCTTGAGAGTCCCATGGACTGCAAGAAGATCAAACCTATCCATTCTGAAGGAAATCAGCCCTGAGTGCTCACTGGAAGGACAGATCGTGAAGCTGAGGCTCCAATACTTTGGTCACCTCATGAGAAGAGAAGACTCCCTGGAAAAGACCCTCATGTTGGGAAAGATTGAGGGCACAAGGAGAAGGGGACGACAGAGGACGAGATGGCTGGACAGGGTTCTCGAAGCTATGAACATGAGTTTGACCAAACTGCGAGAGGCAGTGGAAGACAGGAGTGCCTGGTGTGCTCTGGTCCATGGGGTCATGAAGAGTTGGACACGACTAAATGACTAAACAACAATGCCTGTATTCACCTATTCATCCTTATTCAGTTCAGGACCTCAAGGACCGCCTCTGCCCATATGAACCAACCCAGAAGCACTTTTTTGATTTTTTGATTCATTCTTACATTTCTATCTTACCTTTCCTTCAAAGAGTTTTATGTGGCTTATATGGTTCCCTATTCCTCTCCTTAGTTCATGCTTGCAACAACCCTGTGAGGTAGGCTAACCTGTGAAACAGTTACTAGCTCAAAGTTACCCAAAGAGCTTTCCACTGCGAAAGTATCCTCTTTCCACCTGCTTTTCCACTGCAGCAGAAAACAAAACATTGTACCTTGGGCAGAGGCTAATAAATCAATACTTCCAGGCTATGACACAAGTCAAATAGTCTCACAGTCTATTAGCACAACACACATAGAGGGGAAGGACATATCCAGGATCTTTATAACTAAGCATCTTTTGAAATAAAGGCTAACTCTGTTGTTAGCTGCAGGGTGCTATGAGACTTTCAAGGAACATCATGCAAGGACAGCAAGCAACTACCTAAGGATGCATCGTTTTCTGTTCTGCTCTGTATTCGTCACATGCAGCACTGTTTCCATTCAGCTGCAGTTCATCTTCTGCCAAAACCTATGCTCTTTCTCTTGTTGTCACAAAATTATGTCCCTTATGCAATTTACATAATTATTCATGCAAATAACACTGCTATTCCATAATTTCAGTGCAAAGGAAACACAGTGCAAATGTGTGCAAGCGAGAAATATAATCAATTACATATCATTTGCAGATTGAAAGCAACAACAGGGAATACTGATTTGCTAGATTGCTTTGTTTTAACATAGGATGAATTCAAGAACACAATTTCTGCTCCCATTTCCACTGGAATTCTTCCAGATACTGTTGCTATTCCAATTCCCATCATCCTTGACGACTGGTCATGCTGGTTGGGAGTGATGGGAACTGGAATCCAGCAACAGCTAGAGGACTACAGATTTCTTATTCCTGCAATAAAAGGAGGCAGAGTTGTGATGGAGGTAGCTGGGGTCAGTAAAGGCAAGGGATGGGGCGGGGAACCTGTGCGATCCAAGAAGGTGGTTCTTTTGGTTTTTTTGCCCATAACATAACACTAATCCTACATGCCCTATTAAACAAGGAGGTGGTGCTGTGAGAATCAGATAAAACAACTAGATTTGGCCTGAGTGCTCCACAACACCATATTAGAAGCACAGATGGTTCAGACAGCAAATAAAAATGAGAATAATTTTGAAATTGGCAGAGACAGCATCCCTACTCAATGTGGTTTATGCATATTTCTTTAGTAGTCAAAGATGTAAGGATGGAGAGAAAGGATGGAAATCCCCCCCCCCCGAAAATCTACATTTTTATACGGTTGTATTGAATGAAATCGTATGCAGAGCAAACCCAGTGAACTTAATGGATCTAAGTCATCTTCATTACTTTAAACTGACTCGGAAACTTCAATTGGTCCAAAATGCAGCAGCCAGATTACTAGCTGGGGTTCCATTTAGATCTCGCATAACCCTTGTTTTAAAACAGCTGCACTGGTTGCCAGTTCGTTTCCAGGCCCAATCAAAGAAGCTAATGTTGGTGTTTAAAGCCCTAAACAACTCAGCCCCAAATATTTGAAAAACCACCTCCTTCCCTACAGACTCCCCTGGATGCTAAGGTCAGCAAAGGGGATCCTCTTGACTTTTCCACCACCCTAAAAAGCTGACGGGGGTGGCAACCTGGGAGAGCGCTTCTCTGTGGCAGCCCCTAAGTTGTGAAACTCTCTCCCCAAAGAGTTGCGCCTGGCACCTCATTATACAGTTTCCAGTGGAGAATTAAGAGGTACCTCTTCACCCTGACTTTTGACACCAGAGATGTATATTCTTAGGACCCACCTTATTTCTGTGATTGTAAGATGTTTTAAACCGTTTTCCATATTGTGCTTGAATTGCTGTAACCTGCCCTGGGAGCTTAGGATGAAGGGCGTGTAAATCATCACAACCACCATACAACTAGCATTGGATACAATCCATAGCCTTTTTCTCTTCAGTCATCAATCCCATAGGCTCTGTGTGCGATGCTGGGCACAACTTTTACGGGCTTTGAACACACTGGAGATTCAAGGTTGCTTCCAAATTAGCCCCCTTTTAGCACTTCAGGGACAACGCTTTCTGTTCAGTCAGCTGGCAGCAGAACTAAAACCACAGTTCCAAATGGCGCTTGATATATTATTATGATTTTATTAATTGCCTTCTGCACAGGAAGGAGATGGGGATAACCTTCTCTGCTTGAGACCCTGGAAAGTGACTGTCAGTCAGAGTTGATAATGCTGGTCAACATGAGCAAAGAGGCTGATTTTTTTTTAAAGCAGCTTTCTTGGGGAACCCAAGCTCAGTGGTTTGCATGCAGAAGGTCCCAGATTCAATCCCCAGCATCTCTAGCTAGGACTAGGAGAAACCTTTATCTGCAACCCTGGAGAGTTGCTGCCAGTCAGTCTGGGCAATACTGGGCTAGATGGACCAATGGTTGAATTGGTATAAAGCAGCTTCCTGTGTTCCTATGTATTAAGAAAAGTGTTGTGTGCTTTGTACACATAATATTCCAGGTTCAACCCCCAGTATCTCCGGGTAGGGCTGGGAGTGACTCCCTGTCTTAACCCCTGGAGAGCCAGTGTCACCTGTTATGTACTGAAGTTCTCACCCTGGGCCAGCAGGGGGATACTGTAGATAGTTATGCAAATGAAGGATCGAAAAGTGACGTTCAGTGATTGGATAGTTTTGTATGCAAATGAAGGATCGAAAAGCGACATTCAGTGATTGGATAGTTTTAGAAAATGGCAACAGTTACATTGTTCTGGAGCTCTATATAAGCAGGCTGACTGCGCTCCTCAGCTTAGTTCTGTTCCAGCTTACAAAATAAAGAGCTGCTTTGGAGAAATCGCTGTGTCGTCTGCTATGTCAACCCACAACTTAACATCACCAATGCTTTATTTTACGGTACTTTCTTCGCTAACTCCTAGGCTAGCTCAAGGCAAAGAAACCCAATGTTAGCTAAGTCACTCAAATAATTCAGATCAGATTCCAGAGAAACAATAAATCATGACAACACTGTACTGAACAAACACCAAGGGAAAAAAAGCAATGTATAACTTGAGGAGAAAGAAACAGAGGTGTTTTGACAGGCCTTGTACATAGCAGGAAAAACATTCAACCAAACATACAGAGGAAAACTCCTGCAGTACTGCACAGCCAGTCAGAGACTTCCACACATAGTTTTTACTTGTTGGCGTGTGACTAACAAGTAAAACTTGGAAATATAGGTTGTAAAACCATAAAATGTGCCCTTTAGAGTGAGTTCCAAAGTTTCCTTAGTAAAGAAAACGAACACACATTTGCAAAGTTAAAAATGGTTTACATACAAACTCTCCAAAAGTCAAATTCATGTGCTTTTCCGTACAGTGTTCAGAAAAAGTTGCATAGGCATTAAAACTTGTCTTAGTTCCTAAATTATTGACATAGGAACTCAAGAGTGGCTTGTAAGAGCTATGGAGTCTGAGCTTGGAGCAACCAGCTCAGGACTCCTCACACATTGAGCTTCTCAGGTAGACTAAGCAGAACAAGTCTTGATTACCTAGTCCCTCCCAAGGTGAGCTAAGACTGGCAGGACAGCTTACTTATGGTCTTAACCCCTTCATGCATTAATTAGACTTAAGCATGTTGGTTATATGTGACTAACTATCCCACACTTCCAACACCCAGCATCTGGGAAGAAAAAGGTACAATTCCAGACTTGGAAATCTAGAAGCGCTGCTGAACCTTGGGGTTTTGGTAAAGGAAGGGTAAAGGAATGAAAAGATTTCAATGTATTTGAAGGAAGCCTGCACAATTATACACTGAGGGGTGAAGTGGAGAGAGTTTATTCAATTTGTCCCCTTCTCTAGGGAGACTGTTATTTTGAAGGACTTTCTGGGGTAGGGAGGCATAGTGGAGCCTTTAGAGACACTGAAATCTTAAAGGGAGGTTGTTATGAAAGACCAACTCGGGGAGAACTCAGCCTCCATAAATCATTGGGGCAAAATGAGATTCATCTGCAGGTTGCAGAGTAAAATAAAAACCTCCCAGGCATGGAAGTTCAGCCAAGATGACAGACCGGCACAGCAACTATTTCTTGAGAAGTGGATTGTCAATTACATGACCAGCACCCCAGTTTCTGCGATATAATATGAGGGAAAAATGAGTGGGGAGTTGAGCTGCGAGGAGTGCTCTGGCAGGAGAGAGGCTGACTTTGATTCCAAGGAAACAGACATAAATTTCTGGTAAAGAACAGAATGGTCAGCACAATTTCTTCTGCTACTGACTGCTGTCCAATGTGGAAGACTTTGAAAGGATCCTTCCATGGGTAGGACTTTTGATTTCAGTAATACTCATTCCCCTGGTCAAACCAGGGAACGTGAAACCTGGAAAGGTGTTGGCACATTCAGGGCTGAGCATCAAGGCATTAAGCAAATCTGGGAGGAGCCTGCCCAGAAATTTATTGTGGCTGTGCTGCAACTCCCTTATATCCATTATTATTATTATTTAAATTTGCATACGGCCTGTAAACTGAACATCATAAGGTAGTTCACATACAAAAACATATAAAATGAGAACACAAAATATATAACAACACCCCCATGAGCCCCTTCCAACAAACACAATTAAAAGTCCATAGATGGTTTAATCAGCCCAAGGCTCATTAACATAACAACAAACAAAACAATACCCCCCCCCCCCACAATTTAAGAGGCCAAAGATGGTTTCATCAGCCAAATCCCTGGGTGAAGAGGCATGTTTTTGCCTGGCACTTAAAGGTATGTAGTGAAGGTGCCAGGTGAGCCTCCCTGGGGGAAACATTCCACAAACGGGGAGCCACTACAGAAAAAGGCCCATTCTCAGGTTGCCACCCTCCAGACCTCTTGTGGAGGGGGCACATAAAGAAAGGCTTCAGATTATGATTGCAGGGTCAGGTTTGCTTCATATGGGGAAAGGCAGTCCTTCAGGTACTGCAGTCCTTAGCTGCTTAAGGTTTTGTAGGTCAAAACTGGCACCTTGAATAGGGCCTGGAAGCCGACTGGTAGCCAGTGCAGTCAGGCCAGGATTGGTTTTATATGTTCAAACCATCTTGCACTGGTGAGCAACCTGGCTGCCAAATTCTGCACTAGCTGAAATTTCTGAACCATCTTCAGAGGCAGACCCATGTGTTGCAGTAATCTAACCTAGAAGTTACCAGAGCATAGGCAACAGAAGTTAGCCTATCCTTGTCTAGATAGGGGCACAGCAGAAGCTGATGGAAGGCACTCTGCGCCACTGAGGCCACCTGAGCCTCAAGCAACAACAAGGGATCCCAACAGTGCCCTCAAACTACATACCTGCTCCTTCAGATGGAAAGTAACCCCATCAAGAGCATGCAACCTCCCATCCAAGTGATCTAGGGAACCACCCACTAACAGTGCCTCGGTCTTGTCTGGATTGAGCTTCAGTTTGTTGGCTGTCATCCAGTCCATTACAGAGGTAAGCAGATCCACAGCTTTCCACAACCAGATGTCCTCCTGATGTTGTGAACCACCCTAAGATCAGGTATAGGGCGGAATACAAATTAATTATGATGATGATGAAGATGATGATTAATGTGCCAAGACCCTAGACTCCTTTTTAAGACGCCCAGTTTGGTTGCTATGTTCTTCATCCTGATCTCAGGATTCTGGGAATTGTACAGACTACAGTTCACAGGATTCTTTGGGGAAAGTCATGGCTGTCAAAGTGGTACATGACTACTTTAAACGTTCGGTGTGATGTTAGTTAGGAAGTAAGATCACAAGTTAGGATCACAGATTAATGGGTGTTACAAAAAGGACACCGTCTTATGAAGTCAAGGTGTTAATGTGTTGAACATCCAATCTGTACCATATTGTTTTTGTAATTGATAAGTGTTTCAATAAAGTATTTAGATAGGTAAAAAAATATATAGCTTCACATGATAACTCTAATATTATGAGGGATAAAAAATTCTCTGTATCCACTTTCTCTACACCATGCATAATTTTATACACCTCAACCATCCCCTCCCATCAACATTTCTCTAAACTAAAAAGCCCCAAATGTTGTAACCTGTCTTCATAGGAAAGTTGCTTCAACCTCTTTATCATTTTAGTTGCCATTTTCCAGCTCTACAATATCCTTTTTGAGGCGCTGCGACCAGAACTGAGCAGAGTATTCAGAGTGCTATTGCACTATAGATTTGTATAACATCATTATATTGGCTGTTTTATTTTCTATTCGTTTCCTAATGATCCCTAGCATGGAATTCACCTTTTTCACAGCTGCCACAGAGCGGGTTGGCATTTTCCTTGAGATGTTCATAGGGATGAGTGAATCTGTGAGCTCTGAATTCTTGAAGTTTCTCATTTCTCCAATCTTAAAATTCAATTCTCCACATCCCCCACCCCATTTGTGTATGTTTTAAAGTCCTCATGAAAATTCACAAGGATTTTAGTGTAAATTTTTTTCTAATGCACATGTTTTGGTATGCAATTTTGTTTGAAACACACATTTCTGCAAAGCAATTTTCACTAGCACAATGCATTTTTGTAAGTTATTTTCAGTTAGTTGTGAAATTTCACCAGTATACTTTTTTTGTACACTTCATCCTAAAATATGTAACTTTGCATACATTATTTGGCTGGAGAATGGCTCTGCAAAATTCAGAGAAGTGCAAATTTCAAAGGGGAGGCTGTGTTTCAGTTTGTGTATTGTTTTCGGAAGGTTCCCATTTAAACCCAAATTGAATCAAATTTCTTCCCCTTCCCCAGCCATCCATTTTGATCCCAGTATCTCTTTACTGGTCAGACATCACCAGTTCAGACCCCAATTGGAGTCCAACAACTTCTGGAGGGTTACAGAGATTCTCAATCCCTGGTTTTAGCAGCAAATGAAGGGGGAGGCAGGAGAACACATGTGCTGCCATGATGGTTTGCCAGTGTCACTAGAAAGGCTTTTGAAAACTTTTTTTAAAAATAATAATAATAAGAGCCCCAAGGAGGGTGTGAAGCAAGGCCAGCAAGGGGAGTGGCCCAGGGAAAGGGTTGGCAGGGTGTGTGGCCCATGTAGATTTCCAAGGGCCGGACAGAGTGACCTGGAGGGCCACATTTGGTCCCTGGGGCCTGAGGATTCTGCACTGAGAAAATACGAATTCTGTGACCTACAGAAATTATGGGACACACAGCCAATGGCCCATGTCAGAAGCACAGGAAGCTGTAGCATATACTCATGCCTTCAACTGCCTGCTCACCATTACTCAGATTGTTTGTATCCCCAACGAAACACATGCGGGACTGATTTCTCTGTCATGCTGAGCACTGGGAGAGAAGACCACCTGGGAAGTATTTTGCCAGCGGTTCCCTCTCTCAACCGCCCACCCCTCCGTCCCTTCCGCCTTCCCCTCCCACTCCTGTCCATCCAGGGCTGATGGATGGCTATTGGTTTTGGCTTCATGCGACGCAGAAATCTGTCACTTCGTGCCAGGGAGAGGTGACAGCAAATACATCAGAGTGGAGACAGCCGTCGCTTGCGGATCACTTTCAAGGCCGCTGAGGGCTGAGGTCCTTTGATTTCCTCTCTCCTCTCCCACCCAATACTAGCTCCCACCCCCACCCCCGCCTTCCATGCAAGCAAGGCACAGTAAATCACAGTTCGAATACACCCAATTGGCCCTGCATTGCACATATCCAGACTCCCTGGCAAACCAAACAGCAAAATGCAGGGTCCAAAACATGAAGAGTCTGCATCTGTATCAGAATGGATACTGCATCTGTATTCAAACTACATTTCTCTCTCTCTCTCTCTCTCTCTCACACACACACACACACGAATGTGTTGGTTTTAACATACATAATTGTTTAGTCCGTGCAACTGTTTTTATATACTTTTCTCATTTTATGGTTGTAACTGTTTTACTTGTTTTACAATTGTATATTCTGTTTTGTGGCTCCCTCCTGAATGATTCTTTCTTTATTTTCAAAAACCAGTGCAGAACATTATAAACAAAACAAAACGAAATGAAAAGCAGAAAGAAAAAGGAACCTAGGAAGCTGCCTAATACTGATTCAGACAATTGGGTCTATCTGGAGCAGTATTGTCCACTTTGACAAGGAGCAGCTCTGTGGGGTTTAAGGCAGAGAATTTCCCCCAGCCCAGCCTGGAGATGCTACTGAGGACGGAACAGGGGACTTTCTGCCTGCAAAGCAGATGCTCTACCACTGATCTCAGACAGGCAATATATTTACATACAATTCACTGAATGCTTTTGCCATAAGTCTCTGAGTATCAGTTTTGTTTGTAAGTGCAACCAAATACCACCTGTCCTCCATGAATCTCACTGTCTCACACCCTCTCTGACTTTTGGCTATACACAGATTTTGAGTAAGTTTTTTCTGGGAGTATAACTTCCCAAACTTTGCTGTACTATCTTGGGAGAGAGATTCCTTACAGACCTTCCCATAATCTGACTATAGGGGTTCTAGCTACTACTAGTAAACATCCCATTAGTGCCTTACATATTATGTGTATATTTAATTGAGGTGATGCAGCTGGGACCTTACGGTAAAGGGCAGGAAAGAAGTATAATAATAAAATAGAACAAGTACTGCATAGTGTTTTTCTTGGAAGCACAACAACAGGTATCATTCAGTTAGTAATCTAAAGGTTAATTCTGTTGACAGTCAACCAAGAGGGGGTGATGGTGGAGGTGCTGCCTAGAATGGCATGATCCTAGCTGAGGTGCTCCGAATGGCTGTGTAGTTCTGAGAGACTTTCCCCCAGTATGTGTGGTTGAGTAAGTCTCCTTGTTCTTATCTAGGCCTGTAACTAAGACAAAACTTATCTATTTCCCCCCACATTTCATATACTGTTTTTGTTTAGTTTGCCCAGTAAAGTGCAATCATTTTCTTTTCTCTCTGGACTCCGTCTGCATTTTTGAAGTGACTCTGGTAACTGTTGTTCCTCATTTATTGGAAGTACAGTTTATAAAGGTCAATCCCAATTTGGCACCTATTTACCTATTTGGACATATGGACAGACTATATCACAATGTACATTCAAATCAGGCTTCATGGAATGCTTTTATTGCTAATGGCAGCAGATGATGGTGGGGTGTATTCAATGCTTGGCATAATCAGAGACTCACTGAAATGAATGAACTTTAGCCAGTCATAGGTGGTATTCAGCACCAGTCATGAAGTTGGTGGGCCCATTGAAGTTAATGGACATAACTTAGGTGTCCTTATTTATTTATCATTACATTTATATCCCACATTTTCTCCAAGGAGCTCAAGGTGGCGTACATGGTCCCCTTCCTCCTCATTTAATCCTCACAACAACCCAGTGAGGTAGGTTAGGCTGAGAGACAGTGAATGGTCAAAGTGGGCTTTAGGACTGAGTGGGGATTTAAAACTGGATCTCTCAGGTTTTAACTAGGGGTGGACTTTGGCACCCTGTGAACGACCAAAATCTGGCACCTCCTGCCTCTCACCTCTGTCTGTGCACTATGTCATAGTTGTAATGCCCTGTGGCGCTTGCCTTGGCGCAGCGCCCAGTGCAGAAGAACCAGTTACGCTGCCCTAAATCCACTTCTGTTCTCACTTAGGATATAGTTGATGCAGCCTCATGTCTATTAGCCTCAATGGGTCTATTCTGAGTAGGACCAGCACTGCATACAACTCAAGTATTCCCCGCACTCTGGTCTGTTGTATTTGCAAATATATATAAAGGTATTCTGGAACAAGGTTTTATGCCAGTGGCAGAAAGTCAGGGAGGCTCTGGGAAATTGTTCCTTGAACTGGCAGCAGAGCACAGCAACGTGAGCGTGGCTCAGCCTTTCAAGCTGACGGGGAGTTTCCTGGCCGCAGTTCCCGTCGCCTCCACCTCCTCTCCTGCGATGCTGCTGGTTCAGCTGGGGACTACATCTGGAGAGCGGCCCAGGGGAGTGCTGCTTGGCCAGCCCTTGCCTCATTTATGGAGAAATGCCCCGCAGGTTCCAGGGGAAAGGGGGCCAGGAGGAGAGAGACCTCGCTGGACTGCAGACAGCCAAGCGCAAGATGATTTATGGGGCTTCCTGCAGATGGCATGTTCCAGGCAGAGAGGGATCCAGACCAGGAAAAGGGGGCGGGGGGCGGATCTGGCTAGTGCTGTCTTAAAGGGCTAGCGCCAATTTACACAGCAGTACACTCGTTCCTGCTAACTGGTTTGGCATTTCAACATTTCTATTGATTGCATTCAGCTTTTCAAATCTTTTAATTCATATATTTATTTGGGCTTAACTCGCCTGAAACTACAGCTCATTAAAAAGCTCATTAGCAAGCTTCCTGAGATGCTTCTCTAGGCCTTATGCACCATCGGATGCTGGTTTTGGCTTCTGAGCTATGGTTGGCAGCACCCAACCTTATCACTCTGGCATGGTCAGGAGCTCCATGTTTTTTAGAACATGGCTATCACCCTTCAACATGGAGGCTCACTGTGTGATCTTGGGCCAGTTGCTATATCTCAGCCTAACTTACCTCATAGGACTGCTGTGAGGATAAAATGGAGAGAGAGGTCCACGTATGTGGGATATAAAAACAAAAAATAAGTAGACAAATAAATAAATAATAGTCCACATATATTTCAATTAGGGAGGGGAACCTGTGGCCCTCCAGATCTTGCTGGACTCCACTCCCCATGGGGCCCCAGCATCATGATCATTATTATCATCATCATCACCACACCCCACCATATTTTGAAGATCTTTCCTACCTTTTACCTGGAGATGCCAAGAGTTGAAAATCTGGGACCTTCTGCATGCAAAAGATGGGATCTGCCACTGGGCCAATGAAGGGCACCACCATAGAAATTTATATTCTATCCTTGTCCTTCCCCAGACCTAAGATACCGCAGAGAAAGGACACTTGCCTTACACTCAGAAAGTCACAGGTTCAATCCCCAGCATCATCAGGTACAATTGGAGGAATCCCCTTTCTAAAAACCCTGAAAAATCACTGCCGGTGTAAATAATACTGTAGGTGCAGCAATAGTTTAAGCTGGTATAAAGGAGTTTCCTATGTTCCTATTATAAAGAGGAGGGTCATAGCTCAGTGATAAGAGCATTTGTTCTATATGCAAAAGGTTCCAGGTTCAATCCTCAGCATACCCAGATAGGAGTGGGAATATCCCCCAAAGGAAAAGCCTGGAGAGCCGCTGCCAGTCAGTGTAGACAATATTGAAGTAGATGGACCAATGGTCCTATCTGGTACAAGGCAGCTTCCTAAGTTTCACAGACCATTACCTGGGGTGCCACCATGCTGTTTTCCCTGATGTGTTCCTCCCACCCTACTCCAACACTTGCAGCATCCAGTCATGGTCTTGGAGGGGGTCAAGAGACTCTGAGTGCCACCTTGCCCCATTCACTGCAACATCAAATGCTGTACACATACACATACACACTTCAGTTCGGCTATCAGCGCTGGGCTTATTTCACAGCAGATCAAACCACATCTTTGAAATTCCATATGGGTTCCCAAGGGACCCTCTCCGTATGTTTAAAATAACAACATAAAAGCAGCCGCCGCTGCTCTCACTGCCAGCAGGACCCTCCCGTTGCCTGCTAGCACAGAAGGCGTGCAGAGACACAGCATCAGCAGAGAAGCCCACGTGGAAAGCGGAGTGTGCGGCAGCCCCTCCAGCGCCTCCTCTCCCCTCCTTCCTCTGCAGCCATCTGGCCTCCGCTTCGCCTTCCAACAAACCCTGTGGCTCTGTCCCTGCCTGGGAAGCCTCCTGTTTTTAGCTCAAGATGCGGGTCCAGAGATGCCGCAATCGGTACATTGCTCTGCTACACCATAAAGTTAAAAGGGGAGCCACGATTACAGAGCAGCAGCTCTCAAGTGTGTCTGAGGTTGTTTGCATGCACATCCACCCCCCTCCCTACAACCAGTTGGCGACCGCAAGCAAGAATGGAAGCCCATCTGGGGAAAGAAAGCCAGGCCGCCGACCCACTTCCTCCTGCCTTCGCCTTTGGCCGGCAGACATAGCAGGAAGGCCAAACCAGAGCTAAGCGGGAGCCAGGGACGGTGGTGACGGGGAGAAATTTGATGCAGTTTACATTTAAAGGTGAACCTCCCTCATTTGCTCTTCCCAGAGCAATTTGTGAACCAAAACACAGCCATCCTTCAAAATGCACATTTATCTGGTTTCTTTAAATTTTTTTTTGTAGCAACATTCTCCATGTGTACAAAAATAATGCATATAGTGGGGTTAAGTGCATGTATTTATGTAAACGACATACAAACATGCATTATATTAGGGGAAGCTCCTTTGCAAAAAATGTGAACTTACTAGGCAATGCTGCATACAAAAACGTGTGTTTTAGAAGCTGGAACTAAACTGGAGATGAATCTTCAGGAGCTAAACTGGAGATGAATCTTCAGGAGGACTTAATAAATAAAATAAAATCACGAACTTCATCTTGGCTCCTGCAGATATAAAGTGCCTCCAGACTACTAGTGTTTCTCAGGAAGGATTCAAGCCCAGCCCAGAGCTCTGAGTCTCTGCATCTCAACAAGGGCTATGTTGCCCTAGCCCAAACAACCCACCTTAATAAATAATCTGGTCGGGTTTTTTGCAGAGGTGGTGGTGGTGGGAAATGATGGGGAAATGCACTAAAAAGTGTGAGATGCACATTTAACTAGGAGGAAGACATATAAACTCTTGCAAGCAAATCAGGATGAATGCTCAGTAAATAGGTCATCTGGAGAAGCTCATAATATCCCTCTTGCTTCTCAGCCATGGAAGAATTCTGATTGGCACATATTAGGGAAGGGGGAGGAGGGAACCTGCATCCCTCCAGATGCAGCGCTGGGCTCCAATTCCCATCAACCAGAGCACTGGCAAGGGACTGATGGGAAGTGGAGTCCAACAACATCGAGAGTGCCACATGTTTCCTATCTCTGTACTAAGGGGACAACCTATAGCACTCACAACGCAATAGCCCTCCTGGATCAGGACAGAAGTCCATCTCTCCCGGTATCCTATTGCCTACACAAGTCTAAAAGATTCAAATGAATTTCCTCTAATATAATTTTATTTGTTTATTTATTTCATAAAATTTATACTCTGCTTGATTGTAAGGGGGGAGACACTCAAAGCGGTTTACAAACAGAATAAAACCATAAAATCACCAGTACAAAGCATTTAAAACAACTATTTACATTTTTTTAATTAAAAAAATTCCTGTTATTTTCATTTGCATATATGTACACATTACGCTAGCATGTGCATTTTTGTACACATTACACGGCTGAAGACTGGCATTGCAAAAGTCACTGAGATGTATAAAATATTGAACAAAGGCTGTGTTTTGATTTGCGTATTGTTTCAGCAACTGCTAATTTGGTAAAATCACCTTTACATGTGAACGGAATCAGATTTTTACCCCAGCTATAGTGATTGCCAATCAGAGGCATGCTGTTCCTGATCTTGGGGGTAAAATATAGCCACGATTACCTGTAGCCACTAATAGTCTAATCTTCCTACATTGTGTGTGCACAGTTTCGGGTGGGAAGGACGTTGGAAGAGCCTGTATAGAAAGGAAAATTAAATATAAACCCAGCAAGTGAGCATTTGAAGTGGTCCTTCTTGCTAGCCAGAGGGCAACGCAATCTCCAGAGTCTTGTGGTGAGGCTGGAAGCTGGACCTATCTACCACTGGAAATGTTTGCAAGTCCCGTCTCCCCCGAAAAAAACCCAATCCCACAGCAGTGGGAAAGGCAGGGGAGTGCTGAGAGAAAGCATTGGGAGAATAATAAACGCTTCATCTTTGCAACATCTCTGCTCTAGAAATGGAAAACCAACTGCTTGCCCGCCCACATAGCCAGACCACTGCCCAGTCCCCAAACCTTCTCCCTCTCTGGGGATGCCTATTTTTGGCTCAAGCAGAACACAAAAGCCCAAGCGTTATTCTCCCCACCCAACCTAGAAAGGGAATAAACCCAGCAGGCTGACAGACTGTGTGGGGAGCACAGAGTGAGCATCATGCTTCAAAAACATATTAATAGGACACATTTGCATTTATATTTCGGTCTTGAACTTCCTGCTGCTGCCGCCGCCGCCACCACCAGCAATCCAATTCTCGGCCCTAAAACTTGTACTCACATTGGTTTGGAGTCTTGAGTGTTGCACCCATTTTACAAATGAAGAACTGAAGCCATGCACACAGGACTAATGGCCCTTACAATATCCATTTACAGTGGTACCTCGGGTTAAATACTTAATTCGTTCCGGAGGTCTGTACTTAACCTGAAACTGTTCTTAACCTGAAGCACCACTTTAGCTAATGGGGTCTCCTGCTGCCACTGCACCGCTGGAGCACAATTTCTGTTCTCATCCTGAAGCAAAGTTCTTTTTTTTTTTTTTTTTAAGAATATTTATTCAAGTTTTAAAATTACAAAAAAGAAAGAACAAACAAAACAAGAAAATCAGTCACATACATCTTACAAAAGATACACACCATACAAGGGGAAAAAAAGGAAAAAGGAAAAAATACACAAAATCAAAAATCACAATAAAAAATAACAAGAAAAAAAAAAGAATTCAAATTTAACGAACCGTTTTCCCATTTACTTATTTCCGTGACTTCCTCTCACTTCTCTGCTTTGTATTCTAATTCAAATTGTGTCTCCAGCAAATCCTTCTAACCTTCTTTTCATTCACTTATTTTAACATTTTAACATTCAAAAATATTTAATTCTCCTCTATCCTTTAGTTTACACTTTATATTTACTTAATTCCATTATACTCTGTCTGCCAATACGGTCTAATATTTCTTCTCCAACCTTTCCTAACATTCTTTTATGTTACAGTGATTCTGTAAATATATTTTAAACTTTTTCCAATCTTGTTCCATCAACCCTTCTTCTTGATCTCGAATTCTTCCAGTCATCTCTGCCAGTTCCATATAGTCTATCACTTTTCTCTGCCATTCTTCTCGGGTAGGCATCCTGAAGCAAAGTTCTTAACCTGAAGCACTATTTCTGGGTTAGCGGAGTGTGTAACCTGAAGCGTATGTAACCCGAAGCGTATGTAACCCGAGGTACCACTGTACTGAACACTACCATAGAGTGTTTTCAGAACATTCTACCTTCAGAGAATACTTTCCACATCAACTTATCCTACAAGGAAACGGGAGCAGGTGGGGCTGTGGTCTAAACACTGAGCCCCTTGGGCTTGCCAATCAGAACATTAATGGTTGGAATCCGCACAACACGGTAAGCTCCCATTGCTCTGTCCCAGCTCCTGCCAACCTAGCAGTTCAAAAGCATACCAACACTGTGTCAGGAAGGTAAACGGCGTTTCCGTGTGCTCTAGCACTTGTCGCAGTGTCCTGCTGCGCCAGAAGCAGTTCAGTCCTGCTGGCCACATGACCCGGAAAGCTGTCTGCGGACAAACACCAGCTCCCTCGGCCTGAAGCGAGATGAACACCGCACCCCAGAGTCAAGTTTGACTGGACTAAACTGTCCAGGGGTCCTTTACCTTTATGGGGTTTTGTTTTGTTTTTTACAAGGGAACCCTTGTAATGAATCAGCTGTGGTTTCTCCATGCATTGCAAAGGATTCTAGGACATGCTTTTGTAGGCAAGAAACATTTACATTCCTTACCCCCCTTCCCTTGGTTCTTTTGTGTGTGCCAAATCCCAGACTCTCTGGAATGTGTCATTGAATTCTGATAATGCCTCTTGACAGCCTGAATGGGTTTGTGAGTGTAGAAACTAGCCTACTGTACGGTACTATGGTAGAAATTTGCATCAATTGCTCCACCCACTGTTGACTCTGGCTCCACCCACCCCTGGCTTGGGCCCTCCAGAAGATAGCCTCAAAGGTAATGCAGCCCCTGTGCTGGAAAAAGTTCCCACCTGCGTGCTATTATGGGGCACTCTTATTTATTGCCGCTTCCCTCTGCTGCCGGGGCTTAACCCCCCAATCAGAATTACACCCGTCCTTTCCTCCTTCCTGTTTTGTTTTGTTTCTTTTCTCTACCCCGGTTTCCCTTTGCTGAGCCGAAAAATTCCTCCCGCAGCCTCTCTGTCATCCTGCTTTTCACTCAGGAGTGGCGCGGCTGTTTTCCCAAGCTAACCAGAAGCACATGAACCGCGGTGGTGGAGCCGGGCATGGTGACAGCTGCAAGGAATTACTTGTTTGGGATCGAAACAGAAAGCGGGGAGAGCCAGCTACTTCCTGAGAAAGCAGCCCTGTGTGTCCAGTGCTCCTCACGGGTCCGGAGCAGGGGGTGGCTGAATAATGCTGAAGCAACCATCCCCATCTTTCTCAGGCCTGACTCATTTCCCCAGGGCTTGGCAGGAGATCTGTACAGGAGGGAAGACAGAGGTCAGCTTCCGTGGGGGCTACAAGAGCCTCAGAGGCATCCGCCACGCTCTCTCCACTCTGACCCCTGAGGCGGCAGCCTATTCATAGATGACTTGTGGGTGGGGGAGGTGGGAAGAGTCCAGGAGAGGAGAGGGCCTCACAGAAAGGTCTACAGGGTGGGTGTGGGAGAACTTCGGAGGGAGGTAAATAAAGGATCACATTGTAAAGCATTCAGCAAGTGACAAATCAAAATTGTTCCCCTCCTGGAAGAGGAGCACGACTGAAAAACAGAGGGAGAGAACTGAGCTGGATCCGTGCTTGCAAGTGCTCAATAACAAGGAGAGATGGCACCCACAACCATCAATTTTAGGGACTGGGAAATCTGTTGATTTCAGTTTCTCATTTTTCCAGTCTTAATTTCAGTTCTCCACATTTCCACGTTTCTTTTTTTTTAAAAGCCCTCATGAAAACCCATTAGCATTTTTGTGCCTTTTTTTGCCTAAAACAACACACACACACACTTTAGAATGCTATGTACACATTTTTGCAAAGCATATATACCCTCATATTTCTATTTCCCCCTCATACAATGCATTTTGTATGTTGTTACTAACATATGCAGTTTTGTGAATCCTTTACTCTAGTATATGCACTGCAAAATTCAGAGGTGCAAACTTCAAAGGATGATTGTGTTCTCATATTGTTTCAGAAAGTGCAAATGACATAGGGTTTTGCCTTTAAATGCAAACTGAATTGAATTCCTGACCCATCCCAAATCTTGATACCAGGTCACAGGCCCAGGAGGAACTTCAAGATCAACTAGTCCAGTTGCATTGCATGGCAGTGTCCCATAGCAATAGTTCATGCTTCCCAGGGCATGAGATATAAAACCTGAAGGAGGATTTGGCTCACTGCAGTGAGAGCTACCTCCACTGTTGATTTTAACATTAACTAACTTGAACTATTCCTCCTTCCCTACCGACCAACAAATCAGAATGGATGCTCAGTAGACAGATCATCCGGAAGAAGCCTGAAAGAAATGTATGTTTTTAAAGGTCTTCCGCTGGGACCAAAAAGTTCACAACTCGGACATCAGTCTGGTCTTTCCACAGACAACACTGCACCACCAGGTTGCCACCCCTGGAAAGACCTTTTGCCTGCCTCCCCTTATGGTGGGAGCACTTGGAGGAGAGCTTTAGAAAACAGCCATGAGTTCATGGTAGGTATACATATGAGAGAAGATGCTGCTTCAGGGAGCCTGGTTAGGGCTTTAATGCACAAATGTGGAACCTGGGGCCCTCTGGGTGTTGTTGGAATACAACTCCCATAATCTCTGACCATTGACCATGCCGGCTGGAGCTAAGAGGATAGGAAGTCCAGCAATGCCTGAATGTCCACAGGTTCTGCATCCCTGCCTTAAAACGTTTACACCAGCACTTTGAATTGGGTCCAGAATGGACTGGCCGCTATGGTCTGAGTCAACTTTCCACCCGATGTTTTGGATTACACCTCCCATCCATGGCTGTGCTGTGGTGGCTGGGCCTGGTAGGGAGCTGCAGCCCCCAAAATCAGAAGGGCACCAGGTTGGAGGAAGCTGTACCGCACAAAAGGTATCCTCACCAATCTCTGAAGAGGAGTTTGAAATCAGAGATCTATTCCGGAGCAGCATTTGGCTGAGCCTTCAATAATGCTCCCCCCCCAAAAAAAACGAGGAGTCCCTCAAGTTCTTTCCCATCTTGTTCAAAACAATCTGCCGCACTCTGCACCCACACTGCCCTAGGAGGCACACTTGGCAGGTGGGGCTTTGTGGCTGGAGTTTGCGCAACATGGCACCATTTCAGGTTTTTTTTTAGAAAGGAGCTGGGGAGGGAAACGGAGGGAGCAGGCAACGGAGGGAGCAGAGGGTCTGCATTCCTGTCTCTGCCTCTGGGGCTGCCTGGATACCTCAAGTCAGCTGTCAGGGGATAATAGGCGACGAGTCCTAATTAGAAACCACCCCAGCTCGATCTGGGAGGGTGGGCACGGTGGCTCCATCTGGCTCGATGGCTTTTCTTTCTGCAGCAGGGAAAGGCAGGGAGAGTAAAGAGAAGAAGAGACGGGGAAGCTCAGTGGCGCTCCAAGGCACTCTGGCTGGGAGACGGAGACAAAAATAACCAGCCAGCACCAGGAGGCAAAAGACTAGGGGGTGGAGGGTGGGTGAGGAGAGGAGAGGATGGAGGAGCCCGCCTGCTCTGCAATGCTGAACAGTGAGGCTCATCTCTCTCTCTCTCTCTCTCTCTCTCTCTCTCTCTCTCTCTCTCTCTGTGCACTTCAGAAAAGATGCAAGGTGGAAGCAAAAAGAAAAGAAAGGAAGGGCAACTGTGATGGGTTGCAGGGGTGTGGGGTGAGCAGTGTAAGAACATAGTAAAGGTAAATGTAAAGGTAAAGGGACCCCTGACCATTAGGTCCAGTCGTGAGCGACTCTGGGGTTGCGGCGCTCATCTCGCTTTACTGGCCGAGGCAGCCGGCGTACAGCTTCCGGGTCATGTGGCCAGCATGACTAAGCCGCTTCTGGCAAACCAGAGCAACGCACGGAAACGCCGTTTACATTCCCACCGGAGCAGTACCTATTTATCTACTTGTACTTTGACATGCTTTTGAACTGCTAGGTTGGCAGGAGCTGGGACCCAGCAACGGGAGCTCACCCCGTCGTGGGGATTCGAACCACCGACCTTCTGATCGGCAAGTCCTAGGCTCTGTGGTTTAACCCACAGCACCACCCACATCCCATTGTAAGAACATAAGAAGTGTCAAAAGCCCATTTTATTTATTTCATTTCTATCGCACCTTTTTCTTCAAGGAGCTCAACGTGGTGTACGTACATGGTCCTCCCCCTCCTTTATTCCCCACAACAACCCTGTGAGGTAGGTTAGGCTGAGAGATGGTGACTGGCCCAAGGTCACACAGTGAGCTTCATGGCTGAGTGAGGACCTGAACCTGGGTCTCCCAGGTCCTAGTCTGACAATCTAACCCCCTATGTCACACTGGCTCTCCAGCCTAACATCCTGTTCTCATAGTGGCCAACCAGATGCAAAGTCATCTCTTTTTTTGGTTCTTTTGGAATAAAGATCATAAAACACAGGGAGCTGGATCATTGATCCATCTAGCTCATTACTGTCCAAACTGACTGGCAGTGGCTCTCCAGCGTTTCAGATGAGGAATCTTTCCCAATCCTTCCTGGATCTGCCATTTGGGACTGAACCTGGGACCTTCTGCATGCAAAGTAGAGGCTCTCTGCCACTGAGTTATGGTCCTTCGCCTTAGGAAAGCAGAGGTGGGGCATCTCCATGGGTTAGAAAACATGAACATCTGAACATGCTTAAAACCTGGAAAGGTCTGATCCACGTAAAACAAATGCGCACAATTGCCGCGAATGCAGAGGCTGAACGGGAACCAGTAATTCCTTGGCTTATCCCTGATGCTAACCTGTTCTAGCTGTCAGCTCCCCCTCTCCTTTCCCCAAAGCTTTTTGCGTCCGGCAGTTATTTGAGGCTGAGGCTGGGGCGGCGGCGGGGGGGGGGTAATGCGGCTGCCCCCCCACCGCTACTCTCCCAGCTTCTCTTCCGCTGAGTTTAACCCAAGGTCAAGTAACAGCCTCGTGAGCTCTTGAGAGATTTAATTTTCAAAGCGCTCCCGACATCCCCTGCCTGACCACCACTGCCACCCCTCGCTGCTCTCTCCACCTCTGGGGACAGGCCTTGGCTGGCGGCCAAGGACTGGGCAGGCTGCAAGGATTTCGCTCTGGGCCAGGCTGACAATCAATAGGGGGGTTTTGGGGGGGGAGGGGAAAAAGGAGGGGGTGCTTTCTCCTCTTCTTCTCCTGGAGGGGGAAGAAAAGCAGCAATCCAGCAGGGGGGAAGGAGAGACCCTGGGGCACCTCTTGGCCTTTTCGCAGGCTTAGCCTTGCCTGCAGGAAAGCGTAGCCTGCAGTTCACATAAGAAAAATAATGCTCACCGGGGTGAGATGCATCACAACAGGACTTTGTTCACCCCCCGCCCCACCCCCATGAAACAAGACAGCTGTGGAAAATTGGCTGCCCGGTAGCAGTGGGGGGTGGGATGGCAGGGGAAGAAAGCAGAGCAAGGAAAGTAAAATAATTATGGAAGAAGAATGACTTTTTTCTGATTTTCAAAGAATGAATGTTCTTTGAATGAAATGAACATCCCTTAGTTATTTTAGTTGGGTTAGATTCGGGGTTGCATTCGATGCTAGACCTACTTAGAGCAGACCCACTGAAATGAATGTGTATGATTAACTCATGTCCGTTAATTTCAATGGGTTTGCTCTAAATAGGACTTAGTTCAACAGATACCCCCAGGTCTTAACAGGTGATAGAGAAAATGAGCAGAAATCTTATTGACCATTGCTTGAATAATTATTTGTAATAACTGGAAATAAATGAAGCCACTCAATGTTAGAAGATTGGATATCAAAATTATGGGATTATAAGCAAATATGTAGTGAAACTAACTAATATGGATAGAGACAGGGAGAAAACAGAGCCCTTGAATCTCGGGGTTGAAAAACTGGATTATTTTTGTCAGCAAAATCTCTTAAAAAAGGCAGATGGAGTCCAGAGAGAAAAGAAATCCTGATAACACTTCCCTGAGGAAACTGAACAAAAATAGAGTACAATTTTAGGAAGAAGGAACAGAGTGGTTCACACAACTCAGGTCTTGTACATAACTGGGAGATGTTTTATCTTGTGAATCGCCCTGAGATATTTTGATGATGGGTGGGATGTAATTTTAACAAATAATAATTATTTTTTAAAAACACCAAACATAGAAGAAACCTCCATCACAACTACACAGCCAGTCAGGGCATGTTGTCTGCTTTATCAGCAAATGTTGTGCCACACTGCCTGGTTGCTAAACAACATCTGCACCTGTCCCCCTCTTGGCTGACATTAACACTTGCAGTATTAACCCTTAAGTTGCACATGGCATGATCTCTGGCGGAGGAACGGGAGTGTGGAGGGAGCGGACCGCCCCCGGCACCACTATTCCTGTAGGGTGCCATCGCGGCAGCTCCCCCGACACAAGCCGCGCACCCCCCCGTGCCGGGTGCCACACCCCCACAGACGGCACGTCACACCCCCAGAATGCATGCCATGCCCCTGCAGGCATTGCACCATGCCCTCGCAGGCGGTGTACCACGCCCCCAGAGTGTGTGCCACACCTCTGCGGGCAGCGTGCCATACCCCTGGGATGCGTGCCACACCCCCAGGATGCGCACCACAGACCCAGGGGGGCACCAGCCCCGCCCCCGCCTGTTCTCTGCCCCCGGTAGCGGAGCATGCAGCTTCGCCACTGATGCAAAGGAAGGGCAAGAAAACGTAAAACCACTGTTAGGTATATGCCTTTCATTCATTCATTTTATCTATTTGCTAAATGCACTTCCCCCATATTGTTATTATGGCAATATATTTATTTTCAAGTAATTTCCAGTTACGACAGACCAACGAAAGCAGGGTAGCCAAGAATCCCTCTTTACAGAGGACAGTTCTCCATTGGAAGGGATGTCTGGTTCAAATGGGAGAACTGTAAAAAGGGGGCAAAGGAGGGGGCCTGGTGTTTAAGAGTTACCACTTACGAATCTTTTAAAAAGATGAGTTGCATCACACAAAAAGGAGAGGGTGAGAACACAGCACAGATCTGCATAAAATTCAAATAAGCTGATTTAGATGCCTAGATACAAATGCAGAAATAATAGGTTGCATCCAGTGCTAGTCCTACTCAGAGGAACCAACCCACCAGCCATAATGTGGAAGCCCGTAGGGCAGCTCAGTCTGCTATGCTTGCAAGTTGTTGATGGGTAAACTTCAAGGTTACTCTGTTCTCCCTTCTTTAAAGGTAAAGGGACCCCTGACCATTAGGTCCAGTCGCAGACGACTCTGGGGTTGCAGCGCTCATCTCACTTTATTGGCCGAAGGAACCGGTGTACAGCTTCCAGGTCATGTAGCCAGCATGACTAAGCCGCTTCTGGCGAACCAGAACAGCACACGGAAATGCTATTTACCTTCCCGCCGGAGCTGTACCTATTTATCTAGTTGCACTTTGACATGCTTTCGAACTGCTAGGTTGGCAGGAGCAGGGACTGAGCAATGGGAGCTCACCCCGTCGCAGAGATTCGAACTGCCGACCTTCTGATTGGCAAGTCCTACGCTCAGTGTTTTAACCCACAGCGCTACCCGCATCCCTCTTCTCCCTTCTTTAGGGAGTACTTATTTAGGTACTTTATCTTTAAAACAGACTGGCCTTCCGAGAGAGGATTGCCTTCCATAAAGTAGGACACACAGACACTCTATTGACATTGCCCATATACAGTTGGGATCTGAGTAGCAGACTGAGCAGGCACACAGGTCACTTGGGCACAGTCTGTTGTATGGGATTTCTATTTAAATCACAGCAATTATTTCTACATTTGCATCTATGCATATAAATAACCACATGCAAATGTGATGCAAATCTGTCTCCTCTTTTGTCCTGTTCCTTGCTTTTACATTTGTTTCAGTGACACCTAAAATCTGGAAACAAGCTCTTCACCAGAAGGGCTGTGGCTCAGTAGGAGAGCAACTGCTTTGCACGAAGAAGCTCCTAGGTTCAGTCCTCAGCATCTCCAGGGAGGGACAGATAGATGGACCAATTGGTCTGACTTGGTTTAAGGCCACTCCTTATCAGTATTTGAAATTCCCCAGGCACCAGGTGCATTTGGCGACTGACATCTCCATCTGGTTGAGTGGCACTGCTGCCTGAGCCAGGTGACTCACATGCAACAAAAGACGCACATCTTCTGCTTCTGCGCTGCCCTGTGAGTCAGCTGGCTCGCAGGGCAGAAACTTTGCTTCTGCACTTCCACTGCAATACTAAGCACACTTTCTTGAGGGTAAGAAAGCCCCTCCGGGTGTGGCAGGGCTTACTTCCAAGAAAACATGCCAAGGGAGGAAGAGGGGGAAGAGCCCTCGTACCCACACCCCCAAGCTCGCCCAGACCCACACACCTGTCTCTTGTGAGGCAGTTGCTCGGTGCTTCGGAGCAGCCATGCTGGACTGGCCAGGCTGCCCTAAGAGTTGCCTCTGATGCTTCCTCCCTGCCCCCCCCTCCCATGGCAGTATTAGTTCACACTTGGGAGGAGGGACACTGCTGTAATAGGCAAAATGTTAAATGTATGTTAAATGTGAAATATTTTAACATTGATGATATACACAATTCATTTTTTGCTTTGTAATATTGCAAAAAACCAAAAAAGGCGGCTAGACATTCCATTGTGGTAACTTGTACAGTGGTACCTCGGGTTAAGAACTTAATTCATTCTGGAGGTCCGTTCTTAACCTGAAACTGTTCTTAACCTGAGGTACCACTTTAGCTAATGGGGCCTCCTGCTGCCGCTGCATGATTTCTGTTCTCATCCTGAAGCAAAGTTCTTAACCCGAAGTACTATTTCTGGGTTAGCGGAGTCTGTAACCTGAAGCGTCTGTAACCTGAGGTACCACTGTATACTGTATATTAGTTTTTGTTGTTCTGTTTTGTTTTCTACATGGATGCTATTTCTTTTTCTGCATCTTATATTACTCTGTGCACTTGTAATTATGTACTTTTTATCTTACAATGAAGAATATAAAATAAAAAGGTGCCATATGGTGAATAGCTGACATATCTGAGTTCCTAATACTGCTTCCTATGTTCTGTCATTAGAGAAGGATCATGGATCAGTAGCAGAGCATCACTTTTGAATGCAAAAGGTTCAAGCCCCAGCTCCTTCAGGTAGGGCTCAGGGAGAGTCTCTGTCTGAAACCCTGGAGAGCTGCTGCCAGTCAGTGTACAGTACTGAGCTACATGGACTAGTGGTCTGGCTCAGTGTACTGTGTCTTCCTAGATTCCTTTGCAATAAATTTAGACACCCCCCCCCATGAAAGATAAGTGGGGTAAAGAACAATAACCCAACGAAGTCTCAGCATCCTTGGGTGGCTCCAAAATGTTGAAAAACAGGATATGGGAGATGCAAAATAAGGTGGGAGGAACACGCCCCACTTTCATCTCTCTTGCACTACAGGATTTTATCCTTCCTTTCAGAGTTCCCTAACCCCCTCCTCTAGACTGCACCCCCCAAAAAAAAACCTAGGCTTGTGCAGCATCCAGACGCCACAGGGATGCACGATGAGGCAGTGCCTGCGGGCCTCGCTCATCTCCGCCGCCCCTGACGCTCTTTCTGCCTCTTGCTTCACTGCTTCGCCTTTCCCTGTTCAAATTGCCTGCGGGAGGGAGGGGAGGAGGAGGGAGGGGAGCGGGTCAGGATGCCAGCCGCCGCCGTGGAGGAAACCTCCAGCAGAGTCACGGCAGCCCTGGGCTAATGGATGTGCGCCGCTCAGGCGTGGTTGGAGCCAGGAATCGAACTGCCGTCCCTGGGGAGTTGCGGTGGCGGCGGCAGCAGCAACAGAAACAAATGGCTCTTAGCAGAAGCAGAAGAGTTGAGGCTTACATTTTAGATTCTTCACCTACACACACACACACACACACACACACACACACGTACATCTCTGAGTGCAAGATTGTGCAGAAGCCCAGCTGCCTCAGCAGGTATGGCCTCGTTAATGAGCAATTAGCTCCCAGCCTAATTGGGCAGCAGAATGGCTAATGAGCCCAACCTCTGCTGTCTGTGCCCTCATTATCCAGAGGCTCAGTCGGCGGGAATATTGAACTTCTGTCCCGCTTCCGTAAGGGCAAAGACTGGAGGGAGCACAGCTCTGGAAGAATAACCAGAGCCGCTGACTGCAGGGATGCTGTTTCCACCACCCTCCTGCTCCCAAAATTAATAATAATAAATAATAATAATAATAATAGGTTCTTTTTCTCTTCCTTCCTTGCCTAAAAATCTTCTGGCATCCCTCCTTGAAAACTAAACAAAACAAAATAAAACAGGAAGATACATTCACTCTGACATGGGGGAAAGTCTGCTTCTAGGGCAGAACTGGGCAACTCTGGGGGAGATAATTTGTCAGGTGTGTCATGGCAGTGATGGGTAGAGTTAGAGCCAATGATGATAGCAGAGATGGGTGGGCAGACTGGGCCAGAGTTCCTGATGGTTCAAGCCAGAACCAAAAATGTTCTAGATAACCATGGCTGCCTCACACAATACAAGTTCCCAATCCAGTACAGGTCTACTTGGAACTATAACTCATTGGGTTTGAAGTGAAGTATGCACAGCATTTTTAATTTTAGTAGAAGACAGCAACATAGATACTGAAAGTAGTTCCTTTCTGACTTTAGTGTATCCCTCTGCCCCCCCTTCCTTTTAACACAAAGGAAGGTTAAAAGAAAGCAATCCCCTCACGCCATACAAGTAGAACAGAGTAATAAAATTAAATAAAATAACTTATCAATATGAATCACATAAAATACTGTCGTCTTCCACTTCCAGCCATATGTTGTTGTTGTTGTTTAGTCGCTTAGTCGTGTCCGACTCTTCGTGACCCCATGGACCAGAGCACGCCAGGCACTTCTGTCTTCCACTGCCTCCCACAGTTTGGTCAAACTCATGCTGGTAGCTTCGAAGACACTATCCAACCATCTCGTCCTCTGTCGTCCCCTTCTCCTTGTGCCCTCCATCTTTCCCAACATCAGGGTCTTTTCCAGGGAGTCTTCTCTTCTCATGAGGTGGCCAAAGTATTGGAGCCTCAGCTTCATGATCTGTCCTTCCAGTGAGCACTCAGGGCTGATTTCCTTCAGAATGGAGAGTTTTGATCTTCTTGCAGTCCATGGGACTCTCAAGAGTCTCCTCCAGCACCATAATTCAAAAGCATCAATTCTTCGGTGATCAGCCTTCTTTATAGTCCAGCTCTCACTTCCATATATCACTACTGGGAAAACCATAGCTTTTACTATATGGACCTTTGTTGGCAAGGTGATGTCTCTACTTTTTAAGATGCTGTCCAGCCATATGTATATGAAGCTATATCAGGGTTGTCAACCTGGTCCCTACCGCCCACTACCGGGCGATTCAGGATTCTGGGTGGGCACTAGGCGGTTCTACGGCACAAGCTGAGTCCTCCTTCCATCAAGAACGGGTGGGCGGTAAGGAAATGTTGCCTTCAAGAAAGATGCATTAGTGGGCGGTAGGTATAAAGAGGTTGACTACCCCTGAGCTATATAAAAAGAAGGGGAGGGTACTTAACAAGTGTAGAGGGCCTGGAGAGAGAGAGAAAACTAACAGAAGGAAGGAACTCAGATGGGATGGAGAAATGGGTGCAGGCAGATGGACCAATGGTCTGACTCAATATAGAACAGCTTCCTATGTTCCTAAAGTCATAACATTGCCACTTGGGTTCAGAGCGAGGCAATTATAACCAAGACAGGCAAAAACTGATTTGTGGACAATCCATCACGGGGGAGAGGGGTGCGGGGAGCAGAAGGCATACAAATAAATTGGCAGTGATGGTGATGGTGAAGATGCCTGCAGGCATCTGGCTGGCTACTGTAAGAACAGAATGCTGCGCTTAGGTGGGCCACTGGCCTCATTCAGTAGGCCTCTCCTTACACTGTTACAATTATAAAAGTATCTGTTCACATCCTTCCTTTGGATGCAGTTACAGTGGTACCTCGGGATGCGAACAGGATCCGTTCTGGAGCCCCGTTCGCATCCTGAATAGAACGTAAGACGCGATGGTGCGTCTGCGCGTGCGAGGGTCGCGTTTTGCCGCTTCCGCGCATGCACATGACCTCATTTTGAGCGTCTGCGCATGTGACGAAACCCGGAAGTAACACGCTCCGTTACTTCTGGGTTGCCGCTGAGCACAACCCGAAAACACTCAACCTGAAGCACATTCAACCCGAGGTATGACTGTACATGGCTTTTTGGTCCCAGCAAGCAAGGACTGTACCTTCCTACATTCATAAGTGAGAACACCACCATTCACCCTTTCTCTCAGTACAGTGGTACCTCTGGTTACATACTTAATTCGATCCAGAGGTTCGTTCTTAACCTGAAACTGTTCTTAACCTGAAGCACCACTTTAGCTAATGGGGCCTCCCGCTGCTGCCGCGCCGCCGCCGCACGATTTCTGTTCTCATCCTGAAGCAAAGTTCTTAACCCAAGGTACTATTTCTGTGTTAGCAGAGTCTGTAACCTGAAGCGTCTGTAACCTGAAGCTTATGTAACCCGAGGTATCACTGTAACCCTGTCAAGGCTCCCTTCCCAAATGGTACAACCAAGGAACTTCTGTGTAAATAAGAATGGAAGCTTTATTCAAGGTTTCCAACACTACAGGTCAAGCTATGGGCTCAGATTGCTATAGGCACGGCTAGTGAGTTCGGGAACAACACCAGGGATCTGAGACCAGATTAAAGATGCAAACATGTCTCCACAAATTACTAATCCCCTCCTGTGAGCTTTTAAAGGTGAGATGTGGTGCACGCATTCACAAGACTCTTTCTCCCACATGCCCCCCCAAATGAGGGTGTGGGTCTGTTACCAGTGGCGGAGGTGGTGCAAAGCTCTTGGTGATGGGGTGGTTAGTCCCCCTGCTTTCTCCTCCAGTTGTCCAGCCTCCTGATTAGTCAATGCCCCCCCCATAGCTAGGGAATCTCTCTGCTCTGGGTGGGGCAGGACAAGAGGTTAGCACAGGGGTCAACAAACGTTTTCAGCAGGGGACTATATGACCCCTGTGCTAACCTCTTGTCCTGCCCCACCCAGAGCAGAGAGATTCCCTCTGCTCCAATGGCTACTGCCACCTCAGTTGGGTAGGACTTAAAACGTACCCTTTCAGGTGCTACCGAGCCATAAGCTTTAGCTGAGGTAGGGAAAGGGGGGGAATTTGGTTCAATTGACATTTTGATTTGCAAATCCATGAAACAACATGCAACGTGAAATGCAGCTACCCTTCAAAATTTTCACTGCACGGAGAGCATCAAGGAAGCCTCTTAACAATAGGCCAGCTGGTCAAGCAATTCAAGAGATAGGAGAAAAATTAAATTCTGTTCGCAATTAAAGCCTACCAGATTTGCACTTTCCAAAACAACTGAAACACAACCAGTTGTGAAACACAACCATCCTTTCAGAACCACTACAAAAAGCGCACATTGGGAGAAAGTATGCAAAGAAATGCTTACATTAGCTAAAGTAACGTATGGTGGTGCATTATAGATTAAGGGAAATTGCTTGCAAAAAAGCGTGTTTTGGAGAAATGTATGTTAAAATACTGAAGGATTTTCATGAGAGCTCTTTTTAAAATAATAATAATAACAACACTATATTGATGGACAGATGTGGAGCTGTGGATAAATGAATAGTGGGAAAATGAGAGAAACAAATAGTAAGATTTCTCCATGATCAAATTCAGCCTGGCTTGCCTTACAAGCCAAAGTCTCGCTACTCCTGGATTTCTATGGAGCTGACAAGAGTTGAGAAAAGCTGTTTCTCTTTGCAAGTCTCTTCCGTTCAGTTGTGTCTTCTCCTAGTGCTCCTTTTCCATTTATTTCTCTCTCCTTTTTTTGGATGCTTTCAGAGAGCCCTGCTCCTGCCTTTTCCCCTTGCCCCCCCCGCCTCCTCTCAGTCATATTTTATTTATTACTTCCTGATTCTTAACGAGCCAGCTCCTTCCCCAATCATCGCTAATTAGATCGCGTGTCCCTTCATGAGCAGAGACATGCAAACGCGGCAGCACACACTTCCACCAAGGCCCTTCAGGAAATCGATGGCTGCGTCGCCCAAAGGTCACGTCGCTCATGCAGACATGGTTTAAGCTCGTAAGCCCAAACCATCGCCAAGTGGGATTAATATTGCATTCCGCAGAGGCGGCAGACAACGTCACTGTGGCCTCAATGCTGCGTTGATATTACAGAAGCACCTTAAAGATAGCAGCTCTCCTTGGTTTTATAGATATCCCTCTCTTTCCCCACCTCCTTGACAGGCTCAAAGCGCCGGCTACGGGCTTCAGGTTGCACCTTGTTGATTTCAAAGTCACGTCTCAGCCTTTGATATTGTCAAGATGTTTTCCAAGCCAGAAAGATGGCCTTTGAATTTCCCCCCTCTCCCCCCCCCAGGGTGAATCCACCAACGGCCTCCAACACAGAGAAGAAGCGCCGAAGGCGTGCGCATCATAATGGAGTGGGGGAGAACTGAGAACTGGGAGAGGATGGAGAGGCAGGTGCTTTGAAGGGATACATCAAGGAGCAATGGGATGCAAGAGCATGAAATATCCCAAAAGGCAAGTGAGCATTGTACGAAGGTACCTGCTGTAAACCTGGTTCCTTGCCTAGTATGACAGAAGCATATACCAGTAAGGCCATTTCTGTTGTGTGCCCACTAACAACACACAGAGGAGGCTGCCCGCTCTCTCTCTGCATTATATACTGGTTTGGCTTTGCCTCTTTCCGACAAGGCTGCCCACACTGGTACTACATTGGGTGTGATGTGAATGATGACCTAATTGCACCCCACACTCAATGCAGAAATGCTACCAGACTTTATAGGCTTTTCCAGAAGAGGCTGCCTGTTGTGGCCCTGTGTGAGGCAGAACTATTTAGCTTCCACCAATCAACTTGCATAATGCGCCATACAACATTTATAGAATACGCACATGCACACACATTACAGAATTCATTCACACTCTTTCCTGAGCGTGAAAAGGAACCTATTGAACCATGCAGATTCACACAGACTCCATTCTAAATGGTTTCTACTGAGTCTGCTGAGAGAGAGTAAGGTAACATCTTTGTTTGTTTATATGGAAATTTGCATCCCACTCCAACCTGAAGAGACCCCGAAGCAACTTACAATAAAAACAAATGTGCACAATCAAGAAAACAGAGTAATAGAGAGAGAAAAATCCAGTGACCTACAAGAGCAGCACTATAAAAACTAAAACAGATTTATGTAGTAACTCAATCTTTGCTAACCTGGTGCCTCATAGATGTTTTAGGCTACACCTCCCATCAGTCCCAGCCAGCAAAACCAATGGCCAGGGATGATGGGAGTTGTAGTGCAAAACATCTGGAGGACAACAGATTGCCAGATGCTGCTAAATAGCTAAATTAAAGTCCTGCTGGAAAGAAACCACTTTCAGGAGGCAGTGACAAGGAGTTCTACAGACTGGGTACCAGGACAGAAGGGATGCAGAAGCATGGGCTGCCTCCCATTGTGACAACAGCAATTTTGTAAACCAGCAAGGATTAAAGTTACCAGGTTGCATTTTTTTGGTCCTTGATGGCTCCCATTTAACTGTAGGGGGTGGGGCACAGCTGTGAAGTGGAGGGGGGCAAAACCTTCCCCCTCTCTCTATGACTGCTGTTGTTGGGGGTTACTGCAGTAAGGAGGGTCCTTAGTCTTTCCACTCTTCCCATCCCCCAGTCACAACGATGTTTATTTTGCCTGGCATGTGTCGACTTTTTTGCAGAACACTCAAGCTTACAGTCAGTATCAGAATCCAACAGAACAAACCTGGCATGGACAGCAAGGCAGTTTTTGTTCTGGAAAAGTAACATCTACACAGCAAAGTTAGAAACATGGAAAGTTGCCTTATACAGAGTCAGACTTTTATCCCATCTTGCTCAGTGTTGTCTACACTGAACGGCAGCAACTCTCTGGGATTTCAGACACAGGTCTCTCCTAGCCTTACCTGGACATGCTGGGGGGGTGGAACCAGGAGCCTTCTGCATGCAAACCTACTGCTCTGTCACTTAGCTATGCCCTTTCCCTTAAGACATTGGAATATAGGAAGCTGTCTTATATATCAAGTCAGACCAGCTCTCCAAAGTTCCAGGCATAGGCCATCTCCAGCCCTGCCAGGAAATGCTGGGGACTGAAGATGGGACCTTCCTCAGGCAGAACAAATGCCCTGCCCATTGATCTATGGCACTTTCCCTTAAACTTATGAACAGGCAAGTCTGATCCAACAGTAAATGAAAATGTTTAGAAAATGAAAAAATGTGACAAACCTTTAAAACAGTCTCACACAAACTCCTGACAGCTGGGCTCACCTCCCCAGCTCCCAATTAAAATCAGAGGTGCACTTTTGTACTGTCCTGGTGAATGAGTCACTGGTCCGCATGTGCCTCTTGGGTTAGAGGAAGCCAAGCTTAGAGCAACAAGTTATGCAAAAATGCGGCAGGTACACAATGCCTGGAGAGTCTGTCTGATCCAAGAACACCTGATACACGGAACTGATGAAATTACTTGCTGCCCATCTCCCCCAGTGGAGGCTTGTTGGAGAGACCAAATCGGTGACTCACACAGAGACACATGGTTTGGGCTCACAAGAATTTTATGCATGCAACTCATTCATTTCAACATGGACATTTGCACTGTTGGCACTGGTGTTGTGGAATACAGTCCTTACGAAAAAACGAGAGGTTCCATCTGTATTGGCATTCTGCTGGCTTTTAAAAATACAACCATTTACATGGACATCCCCTTGATATCTTGACTCAAATCTCCTGTTTTACACTGTTGTGTTGTTTTAAAGGGATTGTTTTATTGTGTTTTTTCCCCATTATGCCATATTTTTTTAATTATTCTGTATTTTAACAATGTGGTGCAATGCTGGGTTTTATGCTTTGTAAACTGTTTAAATGCCACCTGGGCATTAAGTGATATAATAATTAATTAATAATAGTACTAATGGTAGTTTCTCTGAGCTAGGGATGGGGAGAAATAAAATTCAAACTGCACTTAAAAGTGAGTCTACCTAGTTTGAAACAACACGAGGACCTAAGCACAGCCATCCATCAAAACCCACACTTTTTTTCCAATTTTTGAAATGCAGTTCTCTAGTATTCTCATATAAAACTCTCTTCTCCCATCAAATCACGAAATTTGGCTTTCAATATGTGTTTTGCTGCTTTTGTTTTTCTACATTATCTGCTCTTGATTTGGAAAACACAACCTCTGTACCGCATGAATGTTTTGTAACCTTGATTGTGTTTTTTGTTTGTTTGTATACTTGATTTTATGTTAATTAAAAAACAAAACAAATCAGAGAGAAGACAGGAGAGATCCCTGCCTTGGCCGTCTGGCCGTGTTGGCCTGAAGGCATCCTCCTCCTCCTAACTCCCCTGAGCCAACCTCCTCAATAAACTTCCTTTTCCAAACAGAACCAGAGCATGTTCCTAAGAGATAGGCACTGAACTCTTGTTCAACAGTCACACTCCATGGAAGGAAAGGCAGGCTGGGACAATCTCTGTGGCCTGTTATTGCACAGGTCAGACTGGGTTGTTAGAAAAGGCGCCTTCCAGGTTTGGAAACCTACGTTGCTGCAACTGTGGCTGTAGCTGGGGAGGCGGGGGAGGGCACCAGAAAAACTTTGTGGCATTAAATAAATATATCAAGAGAAGACAGGCAATGTCTGCGTAGGGCAAGGGAAAATAGCCTAATTGCTGACCGTATGTTACAAATGATTTTATGGGAGAATTTAACTGCAAAGTGGCTTTTGCTGTGTTACCCTCCTTGGCCTCGTGGCTGTTTCCATGGAAATAAATGGGAGTACATTCTCTGTCTCTCTTGTGTGCTTGTGGTTTGTTGGTTTTTTCCGTGAAATTCTGATTAAAATCACTTTGGGAGGAAAAACGGCAGCTTTCAGGGAAATCCTGCTAAGCTTTCCCTTACCCAGGTGCCATCTTTTCAGAGAGGAGCATAACACATCAGACTTGGCTTGTAAGATGTTGTTGCTCTTCAAGAAAACAGAAATAAGCCAATAAAATTAGGGGTCAAGTGCAGAATCCAACTTCTTAAGTATTTTGAATTCATATTTATTTAAAAAAGAAAAAGTTTCTGGTTCTTATGGGCTGCAAAGAGATGCCCGAAGGTTTGTTGGGTTTTCTATAATGCTTCTTGACTGGGGTGGCTAAAGTCCATTAAGATGTCATAAAGAGGACTCAGGCGCCAGCTTTTCAGAGAGCAGTTTAACAGACTGGACCTGGCATGTATTATGTTGTGGTTCTTTATAAAAGCAGAAAGAAGCAAATAAAATTAGCAGGTAACATGCAGCAATAACACCCACCTGTCAATCATGTGATGCCGAATTTAACCTGTGAGGCTGATCCTGATATGAGAAACTGGCCCATGGAGCCAAAAAGGTTCCCCACAACATTGAATTTGACAGATCAATGGTCTCATTCTCACTATAAAACAGCTTCCTATATATAAAGGAAATCTCAGTGGTTAGAACTCAGCAGTTAGAGCAATTGTCTGGCATGCAGAAGGTCCCAGGTTCAATCCCGGACATCTCCAGATAGGGCTGGGAATGTCCCTTGCCCAAATGCCCAGAGAACAGAGATTGACCAATGGTTCGACTTGATATAAGGCAGCTTCACCACAAACCAGAATATGATACAACTGAAATGGGCAAATTTGAGTCAGGGGCTGTTCAGCTGACTAACCATGATAGAGACTGTTCCAAGTGCATTAAATAAGTTCACCAGTTGCATTCGGTTTTGTTGTAAGATGCATCGCTTTGTCTGTCAAATGAAGAGAACTGCTGGGTGACACTTAGCTGAGAGAGCCAAGGCAAGGCCACCAGAGGTTCTGGAATAATGCCCCCACTTGCAAATGAAATGAGATCAGCACAGGCTTCTTCTGCAAGGCTCCGAGAACTTGTAGAGAGCGGGAGTTAAACTTGTGACCTTGCATCCCTGCAAGAGACAGAACCCCTAAATCAAAATTAAACCACTTGCACTCTGAGAGGGCACCCTCAGGGTCACTTCTACCATGCCAGCACTGGATGGGTCAAGCTGTGTTAATGGCTCTGCGGGACTTTCCTGCAAAACAGCTCTCATTTGCTGGAACAGGCCAATAGAAGCTGCTGCAGAGAACGGAAGAGAGCTTTTTATTGAGGGGGGGAAAGTGTAGATAGCCAAATTTGCAGGGTGTGGGGTAGTATCAAAATTTGATGCAACCATCATGGATTCTGAGCCCATGGTGCCCCCAATTAGCTCTGGCTAAATGAGGGAACTGCAGGGAGAGACTCAAGGAAGCTTCTTAATATTAAGGCAGAACAGGTCACGTGATACTAGAGACTGGGGAACTAATTCAATTCACTTCACATTTAAAAGTGAACCTATCTAATTTGCACTTTCCAAAACAATAGGAGATCGAAAGCAAAGCCATCTTTTGATATTCAGGCTTCTCCCAATTTTACAATGCAGGTCTCCAATCAAACAAGGCTTACAAAAATGCATATTTTCAGAGAGAGCGTGCACAAAATTAGTGAAATTAACATACAAAAATGCATTATATTATGGAAATTTTCACTGCAAAAGTGTGAACATTGTTGCCAAAACTGCATACAAAAATTTGCTTATCTGGAGAATTTTGCGCTAAAATGCTGACAAATTTTAATGAAGATAAAAAAAAACCCAAATTGCTGCAGAAATGTGGAGAACTGAATTCTGATTAGAAAAATGAGAAATGAAGCCAACCAAAACGGGCAGATCTGACCATTCCTGCTTGACTTGCCCTTTAAAGGCTTCCAGGTCACTGCTGCTCGCTGGTTTGAGCCAGCAGGGGGTGCTGTTGCTCCTCCTCCTCCTTACAGATCAGAGATGAGGAAGCTGGTGGCTGCCCACATGATGCTTCAGCTCCCATAATCATAGTCCACTGACCATGGACTATGCTAGCTGGAGGCTGATGAGGAGTTCTCTGGGAAGCCACAGGCCCTCCCACTTCCCTGTTGCAGATGGAGGTTGCCTCAGCGTCCTCATGCCTCTTCAACTTTGCAAGTGGGAGGCTCTCTGCCTGCTGCTCCCCGCACCCACCCCCTCGCTGAGAGGTACTTTCCTACTCCTAATCCCCACACGGGATGCAATTATAAATAGACGACCGGGAATCGTCGGCCAGGAGAGGCACACATTCTGGGACTGGGACCAGCGACCCCATCCCTTCTCATCTTACCAACACAGTCACGACTGGCGGGGAAGTGGCAGCGCCGACTCTCCCAGAGCGTCTCAGATACTGCTGAGCTGGGTTAGCGGAAACGTGCTTTGCAGTCCTGGCTCCTTTTCAAGCCCAGAATGTGATAAGGGCACCACCCAAGGCCCGTCAGGCAGGGAGCCTTTGCTGACATGTGCAGATTTGCACCTGTGTAAGCCAACTTGGGAGACTCAGAGCATCGCGGGCTCCTAGGCCGTGGGGGCAAGTGGACAACCATCACGCCAGAGTGCCAAAACCACCTGGGATTGGATGCACTTTTCGCCCCCTTTGGCTTCTGGGAGAAGTCCTTCAGACAGCTGTAACTAACGCTATGTTTCCAATGGCATCTAAGTGAAGACTTACTTCTTAATTCTTTTTTAAGATCATGCTTGTTTTTTAATAAAAAATAATAATCGCTACAGAGATTTCTAATGTTGTTGTTTTAAGTGAGAGAATGCGCATTAATATTCTGTTTCTATATCCTGTGTTCTCTTAAATGATTTCCATTCTACGCTGCTTCAATTTTTGGAAAACTGGACTATACAAAAAGATAAATCAAATAAATCCCAAGAGCTGTGATCAACACGTTTTAAGGGAGAAAACTGGAAATGATTCTTAGAAATGTTTAGTTGGGGTTGGCGGTTATTTTAATTTGGGTATAACTGTAAACTATTTATTATTGTTGCTGTTGTTATTGGTTTCTATTGATTTATTGGTTTGTTTGTTGCTCATATAGGATATTTTGTTTTATAATGTTTAATGCTTTGTTGTGTTTTTATATATCTTGTAAGCCGCCCAGAGTGGCTAGGGAAACCCAGCAAGATGGGCGGGATATAAATTTAATAAATATTATTATTATTAAATGTGACAAAGATAAATTATTGGAGGCAGTGGACAGTGAAACATGGCAACTTTGTGAACTTTCAGGGAAGGGCTGTAGCTTAGTTGTAGAGCAGCTGCTTGGCCCCCCAGTTATGTCCAAGAACACCTCATCTAAAAGCCACTGTCAGTCTCATTTTAAGGCAGCACTCTATGCGGAGGAGGCCATAGCTCAGCAGTAGAACATCTGTTCTACACGCAGAATGCCCTGGGCTCATTCCCTGGCATCTCCAAGTTGGTTGGGGAAGATGCCCCGCCTGAAAAACTGGAGAGGTGCTGCCAGTCAGTGTAGACAATACTGCCCTGATAGGCCAATGGCCTGACTCTGTGCAAGGAAGGCAGCTACCCATCTTCCTATGCTTGCTTACAATTTTTGAGTGCTTTATTAAGAAAGCAACCCTGTGAATACAGAAAATGTATTTATTGAAATATTTCTGTTACAAAAGAAATCATGCTGTAATAAAACGCTGTATTAGAAAAATCAATACTCATCAATAAAAATCAGCAAAACCAATCACAGTGTCCAAGAGCATCAGGAACTCTTGTTGATAAAAGAAAAAGCTGTGAGAAGCCACAGGTATGTGGTCCACTAGCAGCGAGAATACGCCACAGTTGGTGCTTGTTTGAGCTCAACAGGGAGAGTATGCCACAACAGAAAAGGTGGTGCATTCATGATTTAGAGCAAGAATCACCTTGGGAGGGGCATTCTGTCCTCTTGGGTGTGTTTGAGAAAAGGAGGGCGTCTGGCAGCCTTACTCTGGCTGCATTTACATGTAATAATAAGCCAAGAACTCTGGCGAATAATGGCTCTTTCGAGAAGATCAGCATTTTGCAAGTGCATACTGGGAAATCCAGGTTTCCGCAATTAAAGTGGATTAAAATGCACTGTTACCCTAGTGCCACAAACCCACTTTAGAAAAAGAAACAAACTTTTTGCAGTTAGGAAAGAGTTGGGGGGAAATGCCTTGAAAATTGCAAGATGAGTGAGGAATGAATGGGAAGATGTATAAACACATTGCAAGCAAATGAGGACGAACGCTCATTGTCACATAACTGCTGTGTAGGGAAGTCAGAGAATTCTGGCTGGAATGGGTGACAGAAGCAGAAACGGTTGATGCTCGCTGATTCATCCCGCGTCGGAATGAAAATCAATAGCGTGTCTCCTCCCCCCTGCCCATTTAAATTGTGTTTGCATTGAAATGACTTGTGTGGAAATACAGTGGTATCTCGCGTTACATAAGCTTCAGGTTATAGACTCCGCTAACCCAGAAATAGTACCTCGGGTTAAGAACTTTGCTTCAGAATGAGAACAGAAATCATGCTCCGGCGGCACAGCAGCAGCAGGAGGCCCCATTAGCTAAAGTGGTGCTTCAGGTTAAGAACAGTTTCAGGTTAAGAACGGACCTCCGGAACGAATTGAGTACTTAACCCGAGGTACCACTGTAATTATGTCACTATCTTATACAGCAGAGAGATGTACAGTGTCATATTTAGTGAAAACTGAACTGCAGAACAGAAACAGAGCTGACTGTGACAAAGACAGGTCAGAATGGACATCACTGCCTTCTGATAGCCCTGCCACCCTGCAAGCAAATCAGAATGAATATTCCACGAAAACTGAACATAGCATGACCACCTTTGTGCAAGCAAATCAGGACAAATGTTCAGTCAACAGGTTGTCTGGAAGAACCCACTGTGCATGCAGCCCCAAAATTCTCACTTGGCTCCCCCTTTCACACAAGCAGGTTGAACCAAGGAGAAAGGGCACAGCTCAGAGTTACTTCCAAAACTGTTGTTTGCTTTTCCCTAACAAGCCAGGATTCAAGAACAAACTTTGGGGTGAAGCAGGGCTGGCCGTTCCATGAGGTCAAGCAAGGCAATTTCCCTCAAGCAGCCAGGGCTGAGAAGCAGAAAATTGGTGCCCCCTCTGGCCTGTGGTTGTTTGTCTGGCTGCCAGACCAGTCAATGCTGCTCCTTCTGCCCACTGTGCAAAATGCCTGCTCACTGTGGGGCCCTTTAGAGGGTCTGTTCTGTGGCCTTGCTCAGAGAAAAGGGGTCGTCCCTCAGAGCAAGGTGGTCCACGAAGAGTGCCTGTACCACTGCCGATTTGCCAATGCAGCTAGAAAATCCTTTTTAAAAAATCAGCTTAAAGTTACTGTTCTGTCTGTTCCACCTGATGAAGCCACAGCAGCGCAAGTCACTCTCCTGGGCCACCACACCCAGAATGCCTCCCTCTGAAGGTGTTGGAATACATTTATTAATCCAAGGTGCCTAGCTTCTAGGAATGTGGACACTGAAACCATTGTTCCATACAAGTCCAGTTTTACCTATCTTGACCAGCAGGAGGGGCTCTTCAAAGGTCTCTTGGACCTACAGTCAAAGCTCGGTTGTCAAACGTAATCCATTCCTGAAGCCATTTGACAACCAAGAACTTCCTGCATTCAAGCAGAAGTGGTGTCAGATGTCCGGCTTCCAAAAAACGACCAAAAACCAGAACACTTACTTCCAGGTTTTCAGTGTTCAGCAGCCGAAATGTTCCAAAACAGAGGCGTTTGGGAACCAAGGTTTGACTGTATTTGACCACACAAACTGGAGACCCTGGGGATTGAACCTGCAACCGTCTGAGTGCAGAGGAAATGCTTTTTCAGTGAGCAGTCGTCCCTGCCCTGCTTCCCGAATACCTGTATTATGAAATTATAAAGTAATGCTAATAATAATTTAAAACCTTCTCCCTCTTAATAGGAGCATTGCTTTAGCTGATTCTACTTGAAGAGAAGTCAAAATTAGCTGCAGCTTTCTGCTAGTTACATTCTGTGGCACAGCGGGGTTTGCATCTATGAAATTTTATTTTTGTACTTGTTTTATTTATAGCTCCCTGCTTCTGCCCCAGCAGGGCACACAAGATGGCTAATCTGTGTAATAGCACCCTGTGGAAAGGAAGGAGGGGAGGCAGGTTAGCTGCAGAACATCTGCTTTGTATGCGGAAGGCCTCAGGTTCAGTCCCCAGCATCTCCAGATAGGGCTGGGAACACCCCTGCCTGAAGCCCTGGAGAGCTGCTGCCAGTCAGTGTAGACAATACTGACCTATACAGTGGTACCTCAGGTTACATACGCTTCAGGTTACAGACTCCGCTAACCCAGAAATAGTACCTCGGGTTAAGAACTTTGCTTCAGGATGAGAACAGAAATTGTGCTCCGGCGGTGTGGCAGCAGCAGGAGGCCCCATTAGCTAAAGTGGTGCTTCAGGTTAAGAACAGTTTCAGGTTCAGAACCGACCTCCGGAACGAATTAAGTATTTAACCCAAGGTACCACTGTATAGACTAAGGGTCTGAATGAATGAACTTTATTACGGTCACAGACCAGGATTAAGAAAAGCATATAGATAAAATAGCAGTTGGGATTTTTGAGCGATAATTGTTAGGGCAAATGAGGACAAGGAAACAGGCATAAAACATCCGAATAAAATACAAGAAAAAATGAAGAAGACCAAAAACATCAAATTGAGAGGCCAAAAGGGAACACTGACCTGCCGGACTAAAAAAATGAATTTCCAGAAGCTCTTTAAGCTGCTGGAGAATACAACAACAAAGAACTCTGCTCCTACAACCCAAAAGACTAAGGGTCTGACTCAATGGAAGGCAGCTACCTATGTTTCTATAGGGGAATGGGCTGTGATTCAGAGGCAGAGCGCATGCTTTGTACGGCAAAAGTCCCAGGTTTGATCCCTGGGATCTCCAGGTATGGGGGGGGGGCACCTCAACCCCCGGTAAGCCACTGCTAGCTGGTATAGGTGATGCTGAGCTAAAAGGACCGAGGATCTGACTTCACCTATCTATTTATTTATTTATTTATTTATTTATATAAAACAAATATTTGTATTTGAAGGTGGTGACCAAGAAACAAGAAGACTCCCACCTATTATACTCCATCTCACGGCTGAGTCTATAAATATAAAAACTCATTAAAACCACAAAATAGGCCAAATGAGCAGCATATGTATATATGTATGTACAGTATAAATAAATAAACTACTGCTACTACACAGTGAATAAGATGCAGCTGATAATCCAACAAGCATTGTCTGAGCACACAGTTTTGTTTTTAACAAATCCTAAAATACCACCAGTGGCATTGCTTGCCAGGGCTCGGATGGGTGGTGATGCCATAAAAGAGGCGCCACCACAGAGAAGGCCCTGCTGACCGCTGAGAGGCTTTCACAACCAAGGTAGGAAAAGGCCTCTGAAGCTTGCATGTTAGGAGGCAGCTAGGAGGGGGGACTCCTGCGAGCATCTTTGCTCCAAGTGGTACAAGGCAGAAGTTGGTATAAGGCAGCTTTCTTTGTTCCTATAAATTGTTAGGGGTGAAAACCACAGTCTTCCTTGGGGTTGCAATGATGTGCTTCAGAGCACACCTGGCAGCCTTCCCCCACAACCTGCTGCCTTCCAGACATTTTTGGACTATAACTCCCATCAACCACAGCTCATCCCAGGAAAGCAGGAGGAACCTAGGGACCAAGGGCTAAATACAGCTCCCCAGGCCTCTCTCTTTGGCCCTCAAGGTTCTTCCCAGGTCACCACAAGCCATGACCCCTATTCACTTTCACCTGACTGGGATGTGCCCTTGAGCTGACTCTTGCTAAACCTAGATGACGAGGCGGGCTGCGTGTGTTAGCCTGCGTGTTGAGAGCTATCTGATTATTGCACAGCAGGAACTTGGCCTGATATTTAAAGCAGTTGTGGGGAACTTTTGGTTTTTCCAGATGTTGCTGAACAAGTCCTATTATCCCTAGTCCTTGCCCATGCTTGCTAGGGCTGACCGCGGTTGTAGTTCAGCAGCACCTGGAGGGCCAAAGGTAAGAGGTATAAAAGTAAGTCACATCCGTTGCTCCACCCACATTTGCCACTGGCCACACCCACAACCAGCCACGTGGCCCCTAGAAAGTTGCTTATGTGGCCCTTGGGCTGAAAATGATTCCCCAGCCCAGTCAAAAAGGTTGCTTCCCAAATAAAGGTATCGCTCAGCTCTGTGTGTCTTTACAGCTTGTAATTCTGTGTTTATGGGGTTTTTGTTTTTGTTTTGTTTTTACAGTGTTGAAGGGTCCCGTCCCCCCTTTAGATCCCCTTGATAAAGAGGTGACTCTCAAAATGTGTCAAGAACGTATCATTTGGGCAACTGTTCCGCATACGGATTGCTGGTACCTCACATATAGCTTCTTAACCTTCCTCGCAACTCCCCAAAACCAGGATAAATTAAGCAAAATACAGTTGTGTAAAAGAAGCATAGCTGTCAAGTGTCCCTTATTTGGCGGGACAGTCCCTTATCCCAGTGCCATGTCCCGCTGCTGTCCCTTATTGATGATGTCCCTTAAATAAGCTACATAATAATAAACAACATAAAAATAAACAACAAATTGTTGCTTTTTGTGTTGAATATATGCTATGTGGTAATTTATGAACCTAATAGGTATCTAAAACCATTTGCACGCAAAAAAATATGTATTTTATCAAAGTAATTGTTGATCCCTTATTTTGGCTGCTGATCCCTTATTTTCAAGGCTGCTGGTCCCTTATTTCCAAATCTGTAAGTTGACAGCTATGAAAGGAAAACAGTCTTAGTTTGCACAGTACGTTCCTCAGCATTTACTGTTGTTCTTTGCAAAAACGTAGCTGTGTGTAACAGATTCCCAGTCGCGGAATTCCCATTTTTTTGGGTGCAGAATCTGGAACTGTTGGTACTGGGTTTCGATGGGAGCACAGAGGCTGCTGCATCCCCTACAGGTGGTAGTAGGGAAAGTGAGGCTTTGCCAACGGGAGACGCGTTGCTTCCACGGTCTTGGCGTCACAAATGGATCATCGGTCTGTCCGCCTGTTGGCACCAACCTCCTTGGCAGGGGGGCAAGGGAGGCAGCGCGCAGACGTCAGAGACAGAGCCGCACGCAGACACACTTGGAAGCGTGAAATCCAGCTCCCCCGCTGCTGACAGCCAGAACGGATTGGACAACTTTAGCTCATTGCTACGGGGGGCAGGGGAGAAGAACGCACATTGCAGGCGAGCGAGAATCCTGTTCTGATCAACACCCAGCTTGGAATTTCCCCATCTCCTGTGACTTGGCTCTTTCCTTGGCTGCCGTTCCCCAGCCGTGCCTGGAAACTGTGAAGCAAACACAGCTGGCCTTGAACTCCCATCTCCTAGACTCTTGCAAGCCAATGTCAGAACCAAACAAAACACAGCTTTTGGTTTTTCAGCTACTTTACAAATAGAAGAAACTAAAGGTGATGGCAGGGGGCAGGGGGGCGGATTGGCTAGACAGCTCCAGCTGCCAGCAGGGTGCCTTTAGCAGAGGGCAAGGCACTGATGAGTTCATGGTGAGGTAAAAGTATTTCTGAAGAACAGGATCATTACAGTATAAGGAACAACGCAGAGGTTACAAGGTGATTGATCGTATGCAGTTGCAGCGGCAAAGCAAGGCCGTAATGCTGTTCTGCAGAAGAGGGGGAAAGACCTCAGGATGTGGTACTGGGTGCAGAAAGTTTCTAGTCCTCATGGATGCCAGAAATAGTGTCTGGTGGAATCTCAGAACTAAGCCAGAAAGGTTGCTGATTAAGTGCTTCTTTGTGGCAGCTGCCAACCTAGCAATTCGAAAGCACATTAAAGTGCAAGTAGATAAACAGGTTCTGCTCCGGCGGGAAGGTAAACAGCGTTTCTGTGCACTGCTCTGGTTCACCAGAAGCGGCTTAGTCATGCTGGCCACACGACCCGGAAGCTGTACGCTGGTTCCCTCAGCCAGTAAAGCGAGATGAGCGCTGCAACCCCAGAGTCGTCCGCGACTGGACCTAACGGTCAGGGGTCCCTTTACCTTTACCTGTGGCAGATAAAGCCCTGGGTTCAGTCCCCAGTGGCATATGCAGGGAGGGCTCAGAAAGACTCACTGCTTGAAATCCTAAGGGAGATGCTGCCAGTCAGTGTAGACAATACTGAGATACAAGGACCAGTGGTCTTGCTCAGTACAGGGCAGCTTCCCATGTTCCTAACATAGGAAGGAGGTCAATAATTCCTAGTAGTTGGCAAGCAACTTTTATATTTTATACAAAAATAAAATACAACATTATTGAAACGCCGCTCAGAATTATCTTTCTCCATTCCCGTATTATGAAAGCTCATTATCCCCCAATTATTTTGGTAATGGGAATACAATTTGGGACAGAAGAAAGGGCATTTTCACACAATGCATAGTTAGCTTATAGAATTCACTGCTACCAGATGTGACAATAAAGGCAGGCTTAGATTGCTTTAGAAAGTGGGATTAGACAAATCCATGAATGAGGACAGGTCTACCAATAGCTATTAGTTATGATCGCTGAAGAGACCCTCAATTTCCAGAGGCAGTGCACCTCTAAATACTGGCTGCTTGGGGCAGAAACAGCATAAGGGGACTGACCAGGGTGTGAGTTGCAGTCTGATTCAGTATAAAGCAGCAGCATCACTCCCACCCCCCAGAAAACCATATTTTAGAAAGGAAGAAAAGGAAGCTCCACAACAGGCAAGGCATTAAGAGGAGCTCCAATGTTTCATCTTCTGGTGGCTTTTGGTTTTCAAGCTGCAGCCTTATAAAAGTTCAGTTTGTTTCTTGCTTAGGCCCTTTGAGACCTGTGGTGTACCTTGAGTGCCCCCTAGTGTCTATATGAAAGAACTGAGCTTTATTTAATGCACTACTACAAACTAGCTAAGGGCCCATCAATTTGATGGGTGGTATTTGGAGAGACTGGGCTGCATGGGAACAATTCCCTTTAATAGCTGCAAAAGTTTCCAGCAGGGAGAGTGAGAGAACCAGGGTGGAACAACCAAAGAGGATGTTAATGCAGGATAAGTGGAAATTACATCTGGGAGGAAGGGAAATTATTATTATTTTCAGGACATAAGAAGCTCCCTTATTCAGTCAGATCATTCGTCCATCTAGGTTGTTATGTATACACTGACTGGCAGTGGCTCTCAAGGTTTCAGAAAGGAGTCTCTCAGCTCTACCTGGAGATGCCAGGGATTGAACCTGGGACCTTGTCTGAAGCCCTGGAAAGCTGCTGCCAGCCAGTTTAAACAATACAGTGGTACCTCGGGTTACATACGCTTCAGGTTACATACGCTTCAGGTTACAGACTCCGCTAACCCAGAAATAGTGCTTCAGGTTAAGAACTTTGCTTCAGGATGGGAACAGAAATCGTGCTCCGGCGGCATGGCAGCAGTAGGAGGACCCATTAGCTAAAGTGGTGCTTCAGGTTAAGAACAGTTTCAGGTTAAGAACAGACCTCCGGAACGAATTAAGTACTTAACCCGAGGTACCACTGTACTAATTTAGATGAGCCAGTGGTATGACTCAGTATAAGGCAGCTTCCTGTGTTCCCAATCAGTTCATTTTTTAAGGGCTGTCACGTTCAGTCAAATAGTTAAATTAAGTCGATAAAAACATTTTTGATAGAATGAAACAGTGCCCCCCCATTAAACCAGGCGGCAGATTCTTAATTACGTTTTTAATAAAAGTTCTTGCAAAAAGTACAGATGGCAAGCACCATATTAAAAGACACATTCCTTCCGTGTTCTCTCTCTCTCTCTCTCTCTCTCTCTCACACACACACACACACCACACAGAATGTGGATTGAGCAGGGAAAGACCAAAGTGGGGCCTAATTGGGCCCACCCAGCCTCCCTATTTGGCCTGTAAGGCCACTTTGGCAAAGGCATGCCCAACTGCCCTACACCAGATGACATATATGGTGGCAGTTGTAGGGCAAATAAAGACATGGCTTAACTGAAAGGGGAGGTTGCAGACACTGCAGATCAGCAGCATCTGCACACAGCCCCATAGACATCACTTTACAAGTGCCAACTGATCAGCTGATCATGCTTAGCACTATGCAAAAAAATAGGTCACCTGACATCACTGTGAAGTCAGGTGACCCTGGCAAGACAAATGTAGTCCATGGGACAAATCATGTTCTGGACCACCAACCAGATCCAGTTCCCCTTCTCTGTTCCAAGAGAACTGTTACTGCAACACGTCTGAGTTCACGCGGTTTGTTTCTCTGCACCCCTTTTGAATGACTGGATTTCTTCATGTGCAATTTTTAAAAGAGTTATTCATTGATTGGTTAATCAGTTGAGATTAACCAAATCAGTTGAGATTAATTAAAGTGGGTGTCAGCCCAGTTTATTTCTCATTCTGTATCACAGCAACAGAAGGCACCAGTAAAACCATGTAGTGAAAATGCTCAAGATATGTCTGAAGGGAAACTAGGATGTCTTGTAGCTCAGCATACTGCCAGCTTCCTTTGAGTAATTTGTTTTGTTATGCAGAAGATCCCAGGTTCAATCCCTGGCATCTTTAGGTGGGGCTGGGAATGCCCACCCCCACCAGCCTGAAACCCTGGAGAGCCACTGCCAGTCAGTGCAGACACAATGCTGAGCTGGACAGACCACTGGTCAGACTTGACACAAGGCATTTTTCCCATGTTCCTAACTCTTAAGAGAAGGGGTGTAGCTCAGTTGTAGGACATATGCCTTGCTTGCAGAGGGCAATGGGTTCAATTCCCAGCATCTCAAGGTAGGGTTGAAAACGCACAACCACAAAATGGCTGCCACGGGGAGCATGGAATAACACAAAATTAAGAGACAACCATCCTCCCAAAAATTATGCTTATCATGGGAAGTCACGCTATGTCGTGATGGTCCTGATTATGGAGATCACTTTCTCTCTCACAAAAACACACAGTTGCTGTCTAATAATAACAGGAAGCTTTCCTAAGTACCAGGAAAAAATATACAAGGTGGTGACTCCACTCTCATTTCACAGAAATTGCTTAGAAGGTATCTGTACATTTTGCCCCATAATATTATTTCTAGGAGGGTTAGGGACTTACTTTTTATTGTTAAATGAAAGCTCACAGTCTGGGGCACCTGCCCAGGGCACCACTGGAAGCCTTCACGGGTGCCCAGGTGCCCACCAGGTTGGTGATCCCTGAAACAAGCTGCCATCAAACCAAAACATAGACAGCAGTGCCATCTAGTGGTGAAAGGCACAAAATTACTCTTCCCGGGATGGTTTCATACTTGTTATTAGATTGTAGATGGCATTCGCAGTTATTTTTGCTGTGGATTTTAGTATTTGCAGGCTGGATGCTTGTTATATTATGCTCACCAGGTTTCATTAATTTGATAAAATTAAATTAATACAGGGGGCCAAATTCCACAATTCCAATTGCGGCAAACTCTGAGCGTGTGAGGATTTTACCCTACAACAGATGGCAATATCTTTCTTTAGAACTATGCAGCAATCGTTTGCACAATTTCACACATATAACTCTTATTAAAATAAGCTAATATGGCAATCCTCTCCCCACTGAGCTTGGAGTAATAGGCCTAATTGAACTCGGTGGGATTACTTCTGAGTAGGTATGCAAAGGCGTGCACGGTAAATTAATCTCTGTGTTGCAGGAGGGATAACAAAAGGTGAAAGGAGAATGAGAGGTGAGACCTTGAGAGACTGTGCTATGGAGGAAAAAAATTAATATTTTCCCTCTCTGTCTCCAAAGAACATATGGACTTGTTTTGGTAAACACCATCAAAGTCAAGATCCCAAAATGTCACTGACACACTCAGATTGTAGACAAAAAAATGTATTATGGCAGAAGTTTTTATGTACAGTCCACCCTATCAGTTACATGAATTCTTGTTCCAAGCTGAATGAAATATCACACACACGCGCACCCAAACACTTTGGTCTTCAACCAAACAACAGCGAATCCTTTCTCCACCAGATGAGACCAGCACAAAAGGCTTAAAAACCAATCTGAAGTCTAGAATAGGTAACAGGTGTTTCAAACCAGTCTTCTCTTTCTCTGATTAGCTAGATTGGCTCCCCTGAACATCAGTCGCTCCTACGACTTCATTCTTTGGCTAAAACACTGAAAGATGAGAGGCTAGTTTCATACATTTAAAGCTCACAAGCTTCCGCCCCAAAATCCTGGGAACTGCACTCCACCTTCACAGACCTACAATTCCCAACACCCTTAACAAATGACAATTCCCAGGATTATTTTCATTTGGGAGGGGGGTTAGGATGAGCTTTAGCTGTATTGTGCGTGCGTCACAAAAAAGTGTGGAAATTTGCACTTTTTCTACATTTTGTGTCAGATCCTACAAATGCTAGAAACTTGTTTGTTTGGGTTTTTTTTAAAAAAACCCCAGAAAGCTGGGACTCTGGAGATTATAATTCATTCAGGGGAAACAGAAAGACAACTCCCCCCTCCTGGCACCCATGACTCCCAAATAAACATGGACAGAACTGAAAGCCTTGAGAAACGAAGCCTTTTCTTTTAGAAAATAAAATAAAATCACCGCAGGAGAAGAATTACAACTGAAGGACTTGGCAAATACAAATATATTTAAAAAATAAATAAATGAAAATTGTAGGTGCTTCTCTGTGAGGAGAGGTAACTCAGACCCTAAACCTGGAGGAAGTTGGCAAAAGGGTTGTTGTTTTGGCTTTAGTTATTAAAAATACAGCATTTTTTTTTTCCAAAATAGAGACACACTTCAGATGTTTTCCCACTCTCCTGATACTTGACTCCAGTCCACTCCAACCCCATTACTCTCTCACATGTACAAACAGCTGGCTCTTCCAGCAAGGTCAGTAAGGAAAGAGAAACTTACTAAGCGTATGAAATTAGCTTTCATGCCTCGCAGCCATTCTCCTTCCTCGCTCTCCATCTCTGGACAGTGACCGAGAGCGAGGGAAATGCAGCCACATGATTGGCAGAGGGGCTGGGTAGGCAGGCCCTGCTGCAAAATGCCGCCACGGGATTGGCCGGAGGAAGGCAAAGCTGAGGCCTGCCCGGTTTTTATGCTGGAGACCACCTTTCTTGAGTGGTTTTTAACCCAAAAAAACCAAAACCTCATGAGGGGAATTTTGTTTGTTAATGTTTTAAACAAGTGAGGGGAACGATGTTTAAAATGAATGCTTAAGAGGGGAAAATGTGTCTAAAATGAGCATCTGAGGGAGTGTTAAAATGAGTGTTTGCTCCAAATGTCAGGCTCAGCCCTGAGGTAGAGTTGCCATTATTCGAAAAGTAAAAATCCGGGTGCAAAAGGGAAAAATAAATTCAAATTTTTGGCCAACGTTGTCAAGCTTTTTTCTTAGTTTTGCCCAATGTTGTTCCCAGACATTACAGTGATTTCCGCCCGGAAACTGTTTCTGAGGCCGAATTACGGACATATGACAACCATATGACTCTTTCCCTCACAAGTCCCCAAACAGAGGCAGCTCAAACATGGGCATGAGAGAACATGTGAGCCTCACATTCCATTGACCCGCACACCAGCACAGTTACTCACGTGTTGTTCAAGGAAGGTACGGCCCATGTGCAACAAGTGTGTGCCCTCTTTCGCAAGTGCACACTTTTGCACCTGTGCTAGAGGCAGCTTGCCCCCGTGCTTTGCATAGCGTGTGAACAAACCTCCAGTAGTTGACTGGAAGCCTGCAGGCATGCGAGATTCCAGCTGATTTGTTATTGCAAGTTGTGTGGGTGCAACATAGGCAGTATGGATAGAAAGAGGAATCTCGGGAGGCCTCACCTGCGCTATAAATTTAATGCAGTATTATACCTCTTTAAACAGGGCTTCCCCAAAAAATAATCCTGGAAACTGGTTTGTTAAGAGTGCTAGGAACTGGAGCTCTGTGAGGGATCTTCAAATACCGCACAGCACTCTTAACAAACTACAGTTCCTAAGGTTATTTAGCAGAAGCCACCATCATTTAAAGTGGTATAAGATTGCTTCGAATGGGCACGCATTTTTTTAATTGTATCTTTAATATTTTGTTGGAAGCCGCCAGAGTGGCTAAGGAAATCCAGTCAGAAGGGTGGGGTATGTAGAAATAAATAAATAAATAAATAAATACTATTACTACTCTCATTTATTAAACTTATTAATCACTTTATGTTACAAAAGCAACTCAAAGCAATTTACAAAAATAAATGGCTCCAGAACAGCTTGATTTGGGGGGGGGGGGGGCCCACGTGGAGGCAGCAGTACTTCTGAATAACAGTTGCTTCTAAACTTAAAGCTACGTGCACATCCTCCAACACTGCGGAATGCCTCAGTAGCCCATGTGTAGTAAAAGGCTCTAGGGTACATTTTTAAATACAGCTTTGTTTAAAGCAAAACTTTATAAATATCCCTCTGACGATACCAGTCTGTGTACAGCATAACATGTATCTCAGTAGGAAGCTACTTTTTTTAGTGAATGCTGCTACCTGCTGGCCAAATTCAATAACGTTACGGGCGTCTGGCTGGGCAGGGATATGCAACTGTTATTTGGAACAAAAAAATGCTAATCGTGACCATTCATTCAAGCACACGTCGCTTAAGAACATAATAAGAGCCTGCTCAAGTCAAAGGTCCATCTAGTCCAGCATCCTGTTCTCACTGTGGCCGACCAGATGCCTGTGATTCCCAGCAACTGATATAAAGAGGCACACTTCCTCTGACAGTGGAGGCAGAACATAGCCATCCTGGCTCTATGAATTTGTCTAATCCTCTTTTAAAGACACCCTAACCGGCCATATTACTCATGCCAATAGATTCCCTAGTTTTTTAGCTTTGTGCTATGTGAAGAAATCTCTCCGTTTGTCTCTCCTGAACCTGGTCATGGTGGGCAAACACAAGCCACCATTGAAAATTTCCTGCAATCTTCATGGCATAGGCATTTGTCCCAGACACTGTGGGAAATCTAAAATGGCCGCATGGTGGTGTAATCCAAGGAAGACTCCGCAACAAATGGTCCTGCTGTGGCGATGGCATCTCACCAGTCGACTGAGGGTACCAGGTCCTCTTCTCCAGGTCTGCCTCCAGGACATAACTGTTTGATAAACGCTCCAGTAGCCACCTTGCTGTATTTAAAACAAACACAGAAAACCTGTGGCCCTCCAGATATGGTTGGACTACAACTCTCTCATCAATATTTATCTGTAATTTGGATGTTTATTGAGAGCTTTGCAACAAAATGCTACTGGAGCAATAAAGCAAAATGCAAAGGACTGCCAACTCAATAAACTAACAGTAAAACCAGTTCTAGAGTACTATTATATGGTTATTATTCCATAAAATGGCTGGGTTGCTTTTAAGCACTGGCTATGCTGCCTGGCCTGACCAGAGCTGTAGTCTAACTCATCTGTCCGGCTAGCTAGATAATCCAATACACAGTGATGCTTAATTCACATTTAAGGTGCAGAGACCATTTGCTATGAGCCAACCACCAACCCCCTGCCCACCTTCTTACTTACAACCAATGGAGGGTGGCTCTGGCTGCCACTGACTCTGCTGGTCTCCCTGTTTCTGACCAAGCAGTCCCAATGGGCACCGGCTACTGCATCTTAGTGAGAAAAGAGAAATTCAGGTGGGTTTGAAGAGTTTTATGACTCCTTCCCCAAGCCACTTCCTTCAAGCACATGGCTCCAATCCTTTGGGGTTTCTCCCTGAATGAGACTATTTCTCAGTGTGCCCTTCTTCTCCCAGCCCCCAATGAATGCATCTTCTGTCATCCCAGAACAATACATTTCAAAGACGTATTAGGACAAAAGCTTTTGCTTGACATGGACAAAAATTGATTGGGGTGGTGACAGTGGCATTATCTTGTATCCGTTTCCCCGAAGTGGAGAGAAAAGAATGAAGCAGCAGCCCGAGGCAGGGAAATGGCATTTACATTTAGATGAAGGTGTTTTCTGCAATGGATGAATTCTAGTCACTTGGCATCGTGTTCAGCAGAGCAAAGGGAGGACAAGGACTGGGGTGTGTGTGGCAGAGCAAATTACCCAGAAGAGGGAAGAGAACAGGAGACAGGATCAGACACAAGTCCACACAGGGTCCTGGCGAGTCCATTGTGCAACATTTGGGTACCCGGGCCTGAAAACCTGAATCGCCTCCAGGTTAATTAATCTTTATTATAACATTACAGTATATACCCTGCCCTCCTGCCATGATGGATCCTGGCATTCATGGGATTCTCAAGGTCTGAACTGCTTTGGTAGGGGTTTGCTAGTTTCTTCCTCTATCCCAATCCATTTTCCTTTTGTGTCTTGTCTTTTTAGATTGTAAACCTGAGTGCAGGGAGTGTCTTTTTCATAATGATTTGTAAGCTCCTCTGAGATCTCTCTCTCTCTGCCAAAGTGCAGGATTATAAATAAATATTTACATTTCCTGGATCAGCAGCAAAAATCTAATTTAAAAGAAACCAATGAAGAGCAAAAGCAATGGCATGAAGGGTTTTAGGGCTCTGGTGCTTAACTAAGGCTTCCATATTTCAAAAAGTAAAATTCCTGACACTCACAATGAGCTTTTTCAAGGAAACCACCAAAATGGTTGAGCTTTTCTGGGGAAACCTCCCCCCCCCCCCCCCAAATCCTGACGCAGGTAAGCCTAGCTTAACCGATTAATTGGTTAAATATTTAATTTACTAAAAAGTGGACTAAACTGAGTAAAGTAGATGGCATAAAATGGCAGACTGCAAGCACTGTCAAAACCAGGGGTAGGCGACCTAAGGCCCGTGGGCCGGATGCGGCCCAATCGCCTTCTCAATCCGGCCTGTGGACGGTCCGGGAATCAGCATGTTTTTACATGAGCAGAATGTGTCCTTTTACTTAAAATGCATCTCTGGGTTATTTTTGGGGCATAGGAATTTGTTCATTCCCCCCCCCCAATAGTCTGGCCCACCAGATGGTCTGAGGGACGGTAGACCGGCCCATGGCAGAAAAAGGTTGCTGACCCCTGGTCTAAACTGAAGTTTTCCCCTTTCTCTCTCCCTCTCTGTCTCACACAATCACACGCACAGCAGAGCAGAGGGAACGCCTAATCTATCATGACGCCTGCTACAAGATTCACAGGCATCATTCAAAACCCAAAGAGAGTTTGGGACAGCCATTAACTCTCAGACTAACCTACCTTGAAGGGTGGCTGTGAAGGAAAACACAGGATTAACTCCATGCACACCCAACCATCTTGACACCTTAAAGGCAGGACAGGACGCAAATGTGTTACTTAAGAAAAATGTAACTGAAAAGCCTGTCCCAACCATGGCATATGGCAATAGTACACCTTACAGGGGCAAATGTCCAAAGGGACTGTGCTGCCTGAAATAGGACCCACCTCGTTTTGTTACCTTGTTGTAGGATGGTCTTTGTGCAGTTAAGAGGAAACAGATGAGAAGATGCTTAGGATGAAGCCAAGCCACTCTGGGTGTTGCTTCCGACGAGGTTCATGGTTAGTGAACCCACCCCAACCTCATGCCCCATTAAAACATGCATGCCACACTTTTCAAACAAAATCAAAACTGCCGTAGTGTAGCTTGGTTTTTATTTATGTCCACAAATATTTCAAAAAAATTACAAAATACTCAAATGGAGAGAACACAGAAGTCACGATTTCTGGGTTTTCTACTCTGTTTTACACTGTGTTATCCCATGGTAAACCTACTCATATATACACTAAGCCTCAAGATATATATATATAAATGTAGCTGTCAGAATGTATATTCTGCTTTTAAACGGTGCAGTGAAACTAGCTCAAACCAGGACGACACAGAACAAGAGACGGTTTGATTTTGAAAAAATAAAAGTAAAATCACACACGCACGCACACACAAAAAGCAAAATAAAATAAAATAAAATGGATTTTTGAAGTTCAAAGCAAAAAATAAAATCTTGCTTTAAAAAAGT